TGATTCTTAACAGACTAAGGTAACTCCAGGCAACCTCGACGAAAACCGTCATACATCATTACCTTGAGGTTTAATTGCGCGCTGACCTTGGTAACAACTCCAAACATCTACGTTACTAGTGCGGGGGCGCCACCTCACGAACTTCACGAGAACCTCGAGAGATTCAAAAATAAACGCCCGCATGCCCCCTTCATCAACTGCGCCTCAGATCTCTAGCCTCTAAGACAAGCGCACCATCGTGGTGATCGTGGCGCCATTGTTTGGCCATTGTTTCCATTGTTTCCCCCTAGTTCCCCTGTTCAAAGATCACGAGATGGTTGCAAACACCGCGTATTTAGCAGTCAGCACATCCCGTGCCTGCGTCATCTTCCCCCGAGCCTCGCAGGCGACGGTCCGGTAAGGGATTCCGAATATACCGATGCATTTAGAATAGAATGGGCCGAGGGAAGGTGTGTGAAGGTGAAGGTGAGGGTGTGTGAAGTGAGACATATCACGGTTTAGCACACTCGGCGGTCTCGGACCCTGAAGACCCTGAATTCACTAAATGAAAAAAAAAAAGAGATGGTGCTTGAGGACCCTTGAAGTCGCCGGAGTAGGGTAGTGTGCTGTTGGCGGTTGGCGGTTGGCGCGTGTAAGTGATAGTGGTGTTTGCCCCTGAATACCTTACCAGGTGGTCCTGGTGATCAGATGTGATGAATCCTGAAGGTGGTCACGATGTTAGTTGGGTGTAGACTGTAGAAGGCCAAGCGCTCGGCAGCGACGCCGGAGACGAGTTCTGTCTCAGAGTCTGATGTTTTTGTTGCTGTTCATTGAAGTTCACGATGCTGAAAGTAAGGCGAGGATCAACATTGGATTATTGCAGTGAGGCATGGGAGAGTCCAAAACGGCTGGGTGGAGCAAACGCTACTTCAGTAACGGAGTTGATGTTGAGCAGGCAGGCGCATTGCAATATCACAATGTCAAACTCACAGCTCACAAGAGCTCTCTCTCACCTGCCCCCGCGGTGCCCCTTTCTGTATGTGGTCTCATCCCGCACGCTTGGCTACCCGACTATTGCACAGGGGCTCTTCGAAAGGATTCACAAACTGAGATGACAAGAAGCCATGCATGCCAAGTGAGGCTCGACCGCTGATTTTCCTTCTAGAGGTAAGCAAACCGTAGGTGTAGGTACCTTACTCTCGGGGCTCCCTCCTCTGTACGTTTGTCTGTACCCCAGATCTTCATCCACGTTCTTTCATCACCCGCGCTGCGACTAGTTGCGCCGAGTGGTACCTGTGTCAACTTGTGTCAACTTGTATCACAAGAGGAAGCCGGTGAAGGAGTCAAGTGGACGGTTTTTGGAAGGTACAGACGTGCGAATACGATTCTGTGCCATTGTCCATTGAGCACCAGGGTACCAGAGCACCAGAGCACCAGAAAGACGGAGGAAACATGAACTCAGCGAACAGCTTAGGGTAACGCGGAGGTAACGGGGGGACGAGAGCTTCACTTGACATGTTTGTGTTAGTGATACTTCTGGGGGCTCAATTGTCTCGCGGGATTTCGGTGGTTCGTGGAGGGAAAACGTGGGGGAAAGGACATGGGAGCGGACGTTAACGGCCGTTTGGGGATGAAAGGCCCCGGATTCGATATCCAGAGTTCTTGAAGTTGGAATACTTTACAAACATGGGGGATAAAATGTGATTTAATTTCCCATTTGATCGCTTGAAAAGAGAAAACCCATTTTGGACCATTGAGTCCAGCGAAAATACTGTATTCGAGTACCTACCTACCTACCCCGCGCCGCCTCACTCACGATCCTACCTCTAGGACAAGGCGACGGCCAGTCGTTCGGCGCTGACATGCATCACAATTGTTCAGCACTGCTACCCTAAAGAACTGTTTTTAATGGCCCGCCCCGCGTCACAGTCCCGCGCCCCCGCTGAGGCGTAAATAGCACGACCCTGGCTCGCCTCGACAGCGGGACAGCGGAGTGAGGCACAGTTGCTTTGAATGGAGTCATGTGCCCTATATGTGCCCGTGGAGAAGTTCCAGATATTTGCTGTTCTGTTTTGGGAGTGATACCGAGCTTTTCTTCAAGGATGATGATCGCTGGATTGTCCCTGGTGTTGATGAAACGGGCGCTTCTGGATGGGATTGTCGCTCTCGCCTGGAAAAGGGTAGGAGTTCGTAGCTAGGTACCTTGAAGTGACCCAGCTCGGACGGTCCAGGGGGCTGATCTTCTCATCACCTTGAGCCCCTGATGTCAATGTTGCTGTGACGGCTCCCGCCGACCGGTCGTTTGAACTGAATGCGACTCCTCGCCAGCGAGCAGGACAAGGTACAAGGCGGCGTTAGGTTGCCTGATCAGGAAGGCTGAAAAGGCTGCCCTGGGAAGGCACAAGTCCCCGCGAGGACGACGATCCCGCGTCTTGAACTTTAGCCAAGCGACCTACCGTTAGAGGATATCACAGCCGCGTGTGTCCATGAACCATTTCCCGGAGATTCTCATGCATCCCGGCCGATATCAAGTCGTTTGCCCAGGCGGTCAGGCATGCCCGTCGAGCACGTGCGAGGGGAAGCTCTCCTCTATGGCCTCCTTACGCCCTCAAAGTATCAGCGAAGGCTATCATGAACTCAGTCAACCACGGAACAGGGCTGCTGCTGCTGCTGTTGTTGCAGTTTATCCAGTGCCGCGCTTATCAAAATTTGCCACCCCCCCTTTCGCCGCGTGGGACGGAGGTTTCCACGGGATAAGATACTACAGTACCTCTACCGCGGGTGCGGCTCAGCAGGAGTTGTGATCTCAGGTGACCGCTCATTTTCATGCTGGATGCCGTGCTGTGCTCTTTGGCGTTTTGTCATGATCCCAGCGTTGGGTTCTGGCTTGAGGTTCTCCGAGGTAGTTCCAGTGTAGTGCTGGTTGGCAAGTCGAAAACTTGGAAGGTGAGGTGATTCCGAGGAAAGATTGGATTTCGGCGATACGTTGTGGAAAGACGCCATGGGCGTATTTTACTCCCTGGAATACCCCGATGTACGGTATGGTAAGTATCACCAACCCGAGCTGAAACAGTTGGACTGACGGGATGATCGGGTTAGGGTTGATGGAAGATGCCAGACCTCCACTTCGGACTTCCCCTTTGACAGGAATCAAGACCAAGACCGAAAAATGATCAGGTATAGCTCAACCAAAAGGATCAGTCATGAGTCAGCGGCTCGATAGTTGGCTCCAACTACCGACGGCAATGAGACGCGCCGACAATGCACGATCGCTTCCCCGGATGAGATGATGAGATGATGACCACCCTCTCGCTCGGCACTGACGGACGGGAGAGCCGCGCCGCGCTATCCTTGTCGCCTGACCGTTATCAGTATGATAGCGGTGATGATATCCTGGGATTTTGATGAACTGCCTTGGAGTGCAATGGGCTTGGAAGGAAGAGTCTCACCACTTTTGATCTCATGCTGGCATGATGGTCGTCGTGAGTTGGGACTTTGGTAGGCCCGAAGCGAGATGACTCTGGTCGATGCTGAAAATGGCACGGCTCGCTTGTCCATCCATTTCTGTCGCACAAAACGGAGGCTACACGGCCTGGGTGCTCAGGAGTCCTGGGAAATCCAGGTCGCGAAGTGCGAGTAGTCAGGTAACAGTACTTGACACCTTCGCTGCAACTGAAGCGGTACCGGTACTCCGTTAGAGGTGGGAGATCATTTGGCGATCATACGTCCATGGTTTCTTAGTTGAGACCATCTCCGGTCACTGGTTCTCTGGCTCATTCCTCTCGGACCATGGATAAGAACCAATTGGGAAAGAACAGGACATCCCACGTGTCATGGTTTCCGGACAAGTTGATGTTATGGGACATATCGAGATGTGAGTTTGGTGGCGAAAGTGCCGGGCTGAAACGGAGGCCATCGAGGTACAAAGGCTGAATATTCGAGAGATAAAATGGGCGCCTTTATTCCAAGCCTTCCATCATGTTTAAAAGAGGACGGTAGGTTGGTTTGACGGGCCGATTACCACTGTTTCGCCTCCAGGTCGGTGAGGTAAAGATACTGGTATAGATGTACCGGGTAATCACTGTTCCCAATCCCCGGTTCCAGTGTCTTTATCCAGCTTCCATTTCCGGTTTCTTGTTGCGATGGGCAGCTGAGTATACGGGGTATATCACAGCATCCGATAGAAGAGAGTCGAACCTCAGATTCGAAGCGTCCAATTGTCGGAAAATCCGGGGCAACCTGTTGTCGAGCCGCACATCGGAATGTGAGAAAGGAAATAAATGGATGACGGAGGAGGTTGACCATAAGGGTTGTGAGGTTCCAGGCCCAGACCGCCTATGATGTCAGCCCGCACAGGCCTTCAGCAGCTGCGAAGTGCGAACAGCTGGGATTTTAGCGGGGCGTGAGGGGTACTTTGGGGGGTTCCGTCACTTGTCACTTTTCCTTTTCCCACTAAAATCTCCTTCCGATGCGGCAGTCAAGTTACCCCTGACCAACCTTTGGAGTTTATTTACACCACATCTTGATATCAAGGACACAGCATATAGACGGAAAGACGACGGATCGCAGATGAAGAAATACCCCAGGATATCACTGCCTGTGGCTTTCAAGCAAGACAACGAGTTAAATACCCCTCATTGAGACCCGTTGGCGAGAAGGAAGGAAGGAACGTAACGGTGCACCCGGCGGCAGGCACCTCATAAGGTACCTACCCGATGGAAGGAAGGGTGAATGGTTGGTTGCTCCTGCTCTGGCTGAACTGAAAATATCTGGATTTGAATTCTGGATCCTTTTCCTTCAGTTCCATTAGGTTGTCGCCAATTCATTTCTTTTTTTTCCCAGCTTCCATCCTCGTGTCGCACCTCATCACCACCCGCACTGCATTTCCAGCCGCCTCCGTTTCTTGTGCGCCGACGATGCTGCTACAAGACAAGTACAACCAAGACATGCCATCACGAGGTCGTTTTACCACGCCGGCAACCAAACACGCATTGCTCTTGGGCTGATGGACCTTTCCCCAGATCAGCCCTAATGACGACCAAATCCAATGTTAGTGTCCACCATCTTAGCCACGAGTGCAGGCAACCATCAACGAACTGTTGGCGTCAGCTTAGTACAGACCAAAGACTGCCCAGCTGCAAGACACTCCCGCTATTTTCGCTTCTTTGATCTTTCCCAGCGCCTCAACGCTTACCAAGTGGCTTCGGCTCTTCGCCCGAATTTTCAAAGAACCGTCCCGTCCCATCTTTCTCGAGTCTGGCGTGAGCAATGGCGCAAGAGTGACCAACAAAACGGCGCAGCAAGCATCCAACAGCCGCCGGCTATTGATCTGGATCCGGTGCTTCAACACCACAAACTTGGGTTATGACTGATTTCCCGACTTCAACTCCTGACTTGGAGCACTAGGTTCGAATTCAGAGCGCATTGCCCGTTCGGCCTTGCTTCACTTCTCGATTGGTCCTGACTGTTCGTACAAAGGGCTGACCGGATATTGCTTGTGCAGCCCGAGTATATCTTTAGCATGTCGTGACCCGTCCCAGATCGCTGGCATACGTACGAAGCCTCGCCAATTCGCAGACATCAACCCGTTCATGGACCACTTGACACTCCAGCTATTACGCTAGTGCTCGGCCCGCTACCAGTGTCCTCGTTCTGAACAAGCCCAAGATGGACAAGTGTTACCATCAAGACCTCCAGAGCCGTATTTGGTTATGGAAAAAGGGAAATCGGCCATTCCACAGAGTCTTGATGACTCGCTGTCCGCTCTTGTTTTGCAACTCGACTGCTGGGCGGTGTAGGTTGATACGATACAGTTCGGAAGACTCCCACGCCATCTATCTCGTTCGACATCTCTCAGCCCCCCTGTATTTGGCCGGTCATGTGGACGAGCTTGTCCTCCGTGGCCGCGGACTTGTCTTGAAGCCACCCCGAACAACAACTCCTTCAGCGGCCATGGAAGGCCAAGACACTTCTCTTCTCCCCAGCTTACCCCGCTGCCTCGAGCTGGAATGTCTCTCTTCAATACTCGATAGCGTATTGATATTGATTTCTCTCCTGTCAATGGCGCAGCCCTGTGTTGCGGTTTAATTTGGATTTCATTCACTTGACCTACTCACCGTTGTGGCACGACATTGCATCAACTTGCTTGTGCCACTGATCTGACGGGCCACTGCCACGAGAGAAAGAGAGGGAGCCAGAGTGCTCAGGATACACGGCCCTCGTTCCCTCACCTCACCCCGTGCCCTCTCGCTTCCATGCGAGTCAGGCCGGTCTCAAGACAAGAGCCCCATTTTCGCGAGTTTGACTCTTGTGTGATGCCAACTCACACATCAATCCTGCGATGAGACTCAACAGTACCATCCCTGGCCCTATGTGCCAGACTACTTGGAGACCAGCAATTTGATTCCATGCTTGTACTTCCCCACGAATTCCGGACGTGGGGGCCAGACGCGCCAGTTCATGCTGGTACTCGGTACGGATGTCGGGTGGCTGCCCCGGATCACGTCAGGCGCATCTACCGTGCAACGCCAAGGGTACTAATACACAGCATGGTACCGGTACCTACACTCTGGTTATTCGGGCTTGCTCAAGGATGTAGCACCCTGAGCGAAAAGGCTGATGTAACCCGGGGGAATATGAGTGGGAGCAATCCCACACCAGAATGCACCAAGCATGGAACCTCCGCATCTCCCGCGAGTATACACATCTCATTTCCTCTCCACGATGGTGTGGCTGCTGTTGTGTAGCCAAATCCTCCTCGACTTAACTTTGATTACGAAGAATACCCCTTCGATACCCTCCGGATGGTTTGGTACTCTACGTGAAGAATGTCTAGGATCTCCCACCTTTAGCCTCATTGGTGAATTACCGATGGGGTAGTGGCCGACAATCTATTTGTACCAGTTATCGGGAATATCTACCCCTGGGCTGATATTGGAATACCTTTATCGCCTCAAGTAAGCTTTCGGGAGCCAAGCGCTCCGGGGAAGTTGGCAAGTAAACGCCAACCGCCTTGAAAACCCACACGGTCCGTTCCATGGTGGCTCATCTCGTTTCAAGCTACGAGTTGGGAAATGCCATATGACCTGGGTTTGTAAGACGTTTTCCGTTCTTTCGGCGAGCACGTCTGTGGCACAGCGACGGTCAGAGCGCAAACTCGGTGAGTAAGACGAGCCATGGTCTTTATGTCTGGGTAGGTAAGTTGACGTTACTCTCCGCGCCCTTCTTTACTCCGTGCAAGTGCCCCGACCAACTGGATTCCTTCCCTTTCTTTCTTTTTGAGTCTATATTGAGGAATGGAATGATGTGAGCCATCACGGGATGCCTTGGATATGCCTTAGCTGCTGCACTGGCGGATACATACTTGAAGACGGTACCGCCTACGGTTGCAGAACACCCCCGGATCGCAAGCTGCTTTCCTTCGCTCAAAGTCACTGTCTCGCACCACTGACAGACTGCCATGCCGTTTCAAATTCTCTCAACTGGATGGTCGAGCTCACCCGACCCATATGACAACGACCCAAACAGGCCCTGCCTCATTGGTGTCCTGTTCAGGAAAGATTGAGCCGAAAATAATCTTTTGCCCTTCCATGTCCATGGAAACGGCTCAACATCTTGTATTAACTGGATGCCTGCAGCGAAATAGAGCATACCGACCATGATCGGCGGGATCCCTCGAGCTACTATGCATAGGGGGTTTAACAGGCACATGATCTGGTACCGACAGGCACAAGGTATGCTATAAAGGCGTCCCCCGATTTCTCATGTCATGGGTCTTGACGCAGACAGGCCAATATCATGTTACAAAGAGGGACCCAGGGGATGAGGCTCATCAAATTCACATGCCCCGAATCCCTAAATATGCCATGCCGTCGTACCCTAGCCGTAGCTTAACGGTTACGCATCGCCTTTCCGTCACGCTTAGGCTAAATACCCCGGATAAAAGGAGACGGTTAGCTTTAACGGTGTCGGTGATTGAGAATGCCCATACCGAACGGCAATCAGGGATGCCGACCAGGACTTGCCTCATGAGTCGTGCCGGGTGCTCGGGCTCCCTCGTCCTCGAGTCCGGGAAGTATGGATGGGCGTTGCTTTACTGGCTCTACCAGGGAACGGTATGAAAGCCGATTTGTCCAAGACCGAATGGAACATGGAACTGAGATGAACCGTGGGTTGATGGACAACGGGACTGTAAACGGAGGGCGCCTAGACTCTGGACAACCCGTCGTCGTCAGGAGGGTCGTAAGGGCGTAATGTTCCGGTACTTACGTACTTATGGGCTGCAAGACTCCGTAATAATCATGTGAGGTCTCTTTGAGTCCCCGGCCCCGAATCTACAAGATGAAACCCCATCCGGCGACTAACTCATTACAAAATCAGGGATAAGTGGGGTCTGTCCGGCCCGGTCCGGTCCGGCCCGGCCGGAGGAGAAGGAAGGACCGGAGAATATACACGGTCGGTTACGGTGGATGAAAACTCACACCCAGAAAGCATGAATGAAGTTTGTTTAGATTTGCAGGGAATAGGTGCGACTCAGCCAGTTCGATATGTAAAGTTTTGATTTGGAGGCTGTTGAGTACCCCTCGCGTCGAGTCCGTTACCCGGTACCGTTGGGTCACTCCGTGATAGAAACTCGGGGAGGGCATTCTCTGTGACATGCAGACTGCCGCGAGAGAAAGTGACAAATCATGTTACTTGGCTGAGTATCGGTTTTGGATACGAACTGAGGCGTCCAGTCCAAACTGCCCCTGATGGGTATCAAGGGAAGGAGGAGCAACAGGCTGGTTGAAAGGATAACAACTTGCTGCTTGACTCTATTCATCTCATTCCTTTCAACGTCCCCCATTTCCCCTTGACTTGATCAAACCCACCCTTCTTCGCAATATACTCTCCAACACCTCGCTGCCGTTTCTGTGCAGTATCAGCTTGTCACTACTCTGGACATCAAGATTGAGTTCTACATCAGTCTCCCTCCATTCCCATCCCCTTTCCACTACAAGTCACGAGATCTCTTCTGAAGCAAGGTGAAATCTGCAAGCCACCTCTCTTACTGGTGGTAGCACCGGCAATGAGGCGCTAAGCGTCACGACAGCTGTCAAAAAGGAAGCGTGCCTAGTGCTTGTGGTGGTTGTAACGTGAGCCAGAGGGTGTGTAGGTTGCCGTGGTTGGGTGACATCAACAACACCACCATCGGGATGGGTATGCCTGATACTGACGCTGCTTCGAGATAGATCCCAGATTCGAGTTAGAGACTCGGGACCTGAACCCAATGGACGTGTGCCCGCGATGACATCACACTACAAGATCACGAGGTCTTGTGAGATATCGCAGGTCACAACCGGTAAATCGACTGCGCAGAACTACTGAAGTGGCCGTTGACGGGGGGGTGATAGAAGCGGGTACCGGGCGGGAAATTACCTCTACGAATGCCAGTGCCGGTCATTACCTGTAGGCAGCCGTGCCTTCCGGATGAGAGGGGATGGGATGGGATGGGAATCATGGGATGGAAAGAACGACCAACAGCCGCCACCCGGGAAGGCGTGGACGTGGACTGCAGGCGAGAAGGCAGGTAGGTAGCTGCGCTATGAGACCTATGGCTGCCACTGTTCGTCTGTCTGCTGTCAAGCATCCCGTCCACCACGCGCTCAAAACTTGGCACGTTGTGCGGTGCCTACTTGGTGTACCCCAGCTTCAACAACTCAACTCGATATTCCGTCATTCCAACAAAACAACCCGAGCGAGGCGTCAACGGCGGTGACGAACACGAGCCCGCCATCACGAACGAACTCGTCGGGACACAACAACGGGAGGCTGAATCCCCCATTACTGACCCTTTCACACCATCACCATCTCCTTGTATCATGACGGAAACGTCATGTTGTGGTCGACCATCTTGTCCAGCATCCCGAGAAACAGGTTGACAGATCTCGCTGTGAAACCGTTTACACCCGCCCATCCGTCCACCCGTCATGTCGGAAGTCCTCCCCCACGAACCCGACCCGAGCTCTTGCGCGGCTTCAAGCCACTGATACCACCCCATGACTTCCTGAACGGGAAGTGTTCACACCACCATGTGCTTAAGTATCAGTCATTCTCAACCCCAAACTCGGGATAGGAAGTACTTCAGGGAGTTGAGAGGTGAGAGATATTGACAACCTTGATGAGTTGTCAGGCACGCGAATGCGTAATGTTCCGCTGATGGCAGAACCTCTTTCGATGATCAGGTGGGGGAAAAGACAAGGCAGAATGAAAGGACTTCAAGAAAGAAAGCAGAAAGAGAAGCAAAGGGCAACATTGGCAAGAGAAGGCAAAAGGGAGGCAACAGATATGCCACAAGAAAGCCTGGCAAGAGATGCATCGAGGTGAGTAACACGTCAGCTACATATACTGACTGCTGCACATAGATCGATGAGCTTTCCGGTTACAAGGGAGACAAAGGGGATGTTGAGAGGGAAGTGAAGAACGATAGTAATGCTCAATGGGAGCCGGAAAGCTCCCTTGCCTACAAGTCTGTCCTGTCACAACCACAGAGGTCAAGGAATTTACTTGACGGAGTGAGGAATGCACAGAGCTCAGAGGACATGGCGGTGATCCATGTGAAAACACGGCATAACTGTTCCAAGCTACCTCTAGTATGCGTTGACAGCGAACATAATCAGGTGTCGTCCTACGGATGCGTGTCCTTGACATGAAGCACTGGAGCAGATTCTAAGTATATGATTAGCTCCAGACGGACGCTTAAGGGCAAGGCTCCAGATCTTATCCAAACGTCATCAACCTCTTGTTATTCTCAAGTACCAAAGCATCATAACACCGAGACTCCCAACCCTTAACGACCAAAATCAAACGACCATAAACCGAAACAACAAAGAAACCACTCCCAAACATTACCATTCCAACCCAGGGCCACCACAACCCCCACCGCCAACAGCCTCAACCATCCTCTTCCCAACCTCCCTCCCAGCCTCGCTAGCGCCCGGCTTCCTCCCCCTCCTCCCCTTCTTCCCCTCCACCCCCTTCCTCTTATTCATTTCATCCAACTCACTAAACTGCCCCTCACCCGCCTCCCCCTTCTTCACCATCCATTTCTTCGTCCCCAGCTCCCTATCCAGCTCATCGATAGGCGGCAGCTTGACGTACACCATACCGTCTTCGCGTTCTTCGACGTCAAACGTGGCGATGGAGAGTTCGGTGTCATTCTTGCATGACCCCGAGGTGAGCGAGAAGTTTCGCTTGTGGAAGGGGCAGGAGATCCAAGGGCTGGAAGGGCCGGAGGGGTTGGTGGTGCAGGAGGAGGAGGTGGTGGTTGTCGGCGGGGTTGACGAGGAGGTGGGAGAATGGGGCGGGGAGGTAGAGGGGGATGAAGAAGAGGGGGTAGTAGGTGGTGAAGGCGGCAGGGTGGTCGATGAACAGGAAGACGGCGATGGATCGGTGCCGACTAGACCGTCCGACAGAGCAAAAGTGCGCTTGTGAGGACACATCTGCTGAGAGGCGTAGTATTTCCCTTTGATCCGCCAGACAGCAAGTTGTGTGTCGCCGCGCTTGATGCTAGCGCTTATGCCGTTGGGGAGGTCGTCTGCGCCTTTGAAGTAAGATGCTTCGAGGACTGGTTGCCAGGTGGTTGACGACCATTTGTCTCGCAAGCCCTTGAAGTCTTCCTTGGCTGAACCGCCTTCGTCTTCGCGGGGCCACATCACCGGTCTTTCTTGTCCGCGGTCGATTTCGACTTCCATGGGCGGTTGGCCCTCGTCGGTGTTCGCGAACTGCTTGAACCGCTCTTGCAGGGTTGGGTTGTTGATCGCTTCGGCCCACTCGTCGAAATAGCTGTCTACCAACTCTTGCATTTGGGCTTCCAGCGAGGCGCAGATGCCGAGCCGGTCGTCGAGGATGACTTCCTTCAGATAGTCGATACCGCCGGGAAGGGCTTCGAGCCAGCGAGCGGTCCGTTGGAGCTTGTCGGCGGTGCGGATGTAGAACATGAGGAAACGGTCGAGGATGGGGATGACATTGGTGGGCGGGACATCCTTGGCAAGGAGGATGGAGTGTTTGGGTGTGGTGCCGCCGTTGCCACAAATGAGGATGTTGAAACCTTTGTCGGTGGCTATGAGGCCGAAGCTGTTGTCTGGTCAGTACACCATTGAGCGCAGTAAAAACTACAAGGGACGACTCACTCCTTATTCCCCGCCTCCGCACACTCCCTCACACACCCGCTCACTCCCCCCTTAAACTTATGCGGCGCCCTCAACCCCTTATACCTCTCCTCCAACCTAACCGCCATACCCACACTATCACCCACTCCAAACCGGCACCACGTCGTCCCCACGCAGCTCTTGACCGTCCGCAAACTCTTCGCATACGCATGCCCGCTCTCCATGCCCGCATCTACCAACTTCTTCCAGATCTTCAACAGATCCTGTTTTCTAGCTCCAAACATATCGATCCTCTGCCCGCCCGTAATCTTGGTGTAGAGGTTATACTCCCTCGCCACCTCGCCGATGACAATCAATTTCTCGGGCGTAATTTCTCCCGCCGCAACGCGGGGGACCACGCTGAAGGTGCCGTTGCGCTGGATGTTCCCCATGAACCTATCATTAGTATCCTGCAGCCCGTGATGAGCAGGAGACATGACGTGGTCGTTCCACAGCGAAGCAAAAATGGAGGCGATAGCTGGTTTGCAGACTTCACAACCTAGACTCTCTGGGTCAGCGCCGCCGGCTTCGCGCATGACGTCGGGCAGAGTGCGCAGCCGCTTGACGGAGATGATGTTGTACAAGTCTGCGCGCGAGTACTGCGGGAAATGAGGGCACAGGTTATTCTTCACTTCTGTGCCCAGAGAAGCCATGGTGCGGTTGAAGATGGAGGTCACCAGGGGCATGCATCCGCCGCAGCCGGTGCCGGCTTTGGTGCAGGATTTGAGGTCGCCTAGGGATGTGCATGTCCCGGCTTTGAGAGGGGAGACGAGGTCGGCTTTGATGACGTTGTGGCAGGAGCAGATTTGCGTGTCGTCGGGGAGGTCGTCGTCGTCTCCGTCGTCGCCGGATTTCTTCGCGCCGAGGATGAGTTGTGAAGGGGGGATATCCAGCTCTTTTTGGGTTTTGACCAGCGGAACGAGACGGACGTAGTCTGATGTGTCGCCTATCATCATCCCTCCCAGAAGGTACTTCCCGTCCGAAGTGAAGATGTACTTTTTGTAGATGGAGAGGAAGGGGTCTTTGTAGGTGAGTGCCTTCACCTCCGCTTTGCCGCCGCCGGATTTCTTCTTCAACTCCCTCCTCAACTTCGGCGGTAACTCCCTCGGTCCATCGCGGTCGGCGAAGAAGTCGCCGAAACTGGCCACTTCCACACCTAGCAACTTGAGCTTGGTGCTGAGATCCGGCCGTTTGAATACTCGCGGAGTATGCAGATGCGCCTGGGTGAGGTTAAAAGCCAACACATCTGCCATCTCCACGCCCGGGCCAATCAACCCGAACGTCTGCCCTTGCCAGCTGGCACACTCGCCAATGGCATAAACATCCGGCGCGCTGGTGCGAAGGGAATCATCAACCATTATCCCTCCTCCTCCCCTTTCAGCACACTCAATTCCCGCTTCTCGTGCCAGTTCGTCCCTGGCTTTGATACCAATAGCGAAGCAAACCGTCGAACAAGCCAAGTACTCTCCATCCTCAAACCTGATCCCCTTCACCCTTTCATCTTTCCCCCCCTCGTCCCCCTCCTCGCAGTCCACCTCCTTCACCCTCTTCCTAACCAAAACCTCAACCCCCAACCCCCTAACCCCCTCCAACACCAACCCGCCCGCCTCCCCATCCACCTGCCTCGACAAAACCCACCCGTTCCTCTCGATAACCACCACCCGGTCAAATGCACCCAAATCCATCAGAGCTTTGGCTGCTTCCAACCCCAGCAGTCCGCCTCCCACGACCACGCCCGTTGATCCTTTTATGCGGGAGTCTGAAGACCATGTGATGAGTTGTTGGAGGTCACTGATGGTCCGGTAGACGAAGACTCCCGAGGCGTCGTGGCCTGGTGTGGAAGTGGGCAGGAGGGCGCGGGAGCCGGTGGCGAGGATGAGGTGGTCGTATGGGAGGGTGGTGAGGGAGGGGGTGGAGGGGGGTGGGGAGATGGTGAGGGTTTTGGTTAGGGGAGAAAGGGAGGTAACGAGGGTGGAGAGGTGGTGAGTTAGGGAGGAGGTTTGTAGATGCTGCTTGTACTGCAAAGGGAAAAGGGAGTATGTGTCAGTTACGGCTGAGAGTTGAGTTGAGTTGTGGAGGGAGTTGGGAAGGAGAATGTAGGTAAGTAAGGTAAAGGAGAAGCGTACCCATTCTAGGGGGTTGAGGTAGAGTTGTTCAACCTCGCGATGACTGAAGAAGGAAGTCAAGCCGACGCGGTTGTATGCTACATGGGGCTCTTCCCCGATGACGATGATTTCGTATTGTCGTTGTGTGTCGAGTTTGATGAGTTTCTCGCTGTGTTATCATCATATTATTAGCTTAGTTATGTCTTCCATAACGATTCTGACATGGAAGACAAGAGACAAGTTGAGTGAGAACTTACATAAAAGCAATACCAACCATCCCCAACCCCACAACCACTATCCTCTTCCGAGGAGTAGTTGTGTCTGGGCTTGGGCTTGGGCTTGCAGCCATATCTGGTGATGTGTCTGCCATTTCTGGCTGATGAATCTGGATGATGAACAGGAGGGTATCACAGGGACCTTCAATGGTCAAATAAAGTGTCCATAAACATAAGAGTGTGCAAAGGAATAGCCTTCAACTAGCTAGCTGATGGACTCACAATGATCCCACCAAAAATGGGAAGCAACGAGAAAGACAGACAAAACGTTCCATTCTTGTTGGAGAGACACTTAGTTTTATCAACTCTTGTTACCTAGATACCCAACTCAATGACTTACCCTTCATTCATCCTAATCGCCTCCATCAAACTAATTAAAAACACATAAGGATGCGAAACTAGTCGGTACGATAGGTAGAACGCACTGCAGTACGAACATCTCCGCGAAAAAACATGGAAAACGCCTCTGACGCCAGCCGATAAAACATGCGATAAGGATGGAAACCTTCGTTCGGTCGCGACGCCACTCACTCATCAGTCAAGTATAGTGGTGTCACTCACCGTCCGCAATCCACCGCCGACACAGAGCTGATGTACTGTGCCGGAGAATGACATCTCCACGGCAGCGCGGAGAGTCCAGAGTCCATCTCTCCCGTTGAAACCAAGGAGGCGAAAGGTTGATCTTGATAAGGAGATGGTTACAGTAGTGATATCTTATCCGACCAATCAGAGGCCACCAATTGCTGTAAGTCATCAATCGAGCGTTCGGTTGAGGCTCCCGCGGAGATGTGCGCATGAGAACGGGAGCACTACGGAAAGATAAGCACGCGGGACGTCTCGCCGCACGTAGGGGAAGGGAACGTGGGGTGATGGATGGAGTGGAACGACGAACTCTGTTGTTGACGTTTCGCCCGTTCCGCGGACTCGTTCAGATGGCGTTGCTGAAAGCTTGATACCGAATCCCATGTCTCCGGATGGGTACTGCAATTAGTACAATCGCGGGATCTCGGGGTCTTTTCACTGGTTGTCGGTCTGGACTTTCCGAATGTTTTCCATTGTCGTAAACTAGAATGTTGAATGATTTGATCCCAAGCCAAGTCGTGATGTTCATCCCATCACCTCCTATCTTGCCCCCAAGCCACCGCCTTCATCCCTTCCCTGTTCTAAGTCAACTTGAACTCCCTACTAACCCCCTGAAACTCCGTAATCTTCCCCGTCACCGCAGCCTTCGCATCCCCAAAATACCTAATCCTATACGTCCCCGTCCCATCGTCTCCCTCTCCATTACTCTCCGTTCTCGTCTCCCATCTAATCGTCACTTCACTATACCCCAAAATCCCATTCGTCCTCTTCCACTCGTACGTCAAGTTCCAATCCTCATCACTCCGCACTTGTGTCCACGTCTTTCCATCTGCTCCCAGCTTCTCCACCGCTGCATACGTGCCTTCCAGCCGCAGATTGTTGCGCGGGTTAGCGCCCTGGAAGACGGCGGTGATTACGCTGCCGCGCGTGTACGAAGAGGAGGGTTGCGTGATGCATGTACCAAATGGCTTGGAGGGGGGAGCGCCGTCGTAGACTACGCCCGTGATGAAGGAGAGGGAGTCATCCCTGTTGTCGGGCGGGCTTGGGCCAGGAGGAGGGGAGCTGGTGGAAGATGGGGAGAGGTAAGGGAGCGCGGAGAGGGTAAGGTTGATATATGCGGGCAGTTCGTATTGCCCGAACAGCGTGCTAGCGCCTTCGTAGCGCTGGATGGCGTACTCCTCGGGGGTGGTGACGTAGTGGGAATAGGTGTTGGCGGGACCGCCGAGCACGACGACGGGTTCGGTGTTGCCGGTTAGCTTTTGGGACTTGGCGGCGGCTTTGACGGCGTCGCGCCAGCGGCGGCCGGACATGGTGGTGGCTTCGGAGGGGGAGATAATCATGAAGAGTTGGCCGACGCGGAGGGATTGGACGTCAACGATGTTGGGCGTCCAAGGGTAGGGGAGGTCCATCTCGCCGACATCAAGCAGGACGGGCTTGGGCTTTTGGCAGGCCGTTTGCGAGGCAGATGGAACTCGTAGTACACCGCCCACGACGGACCAGAAAGGGTTGTTGGGAGCGCCAGAGTCACCCTGGGTGAAGTCAAAGGCACCGGGGCCGTCTGTGGTTCCCGCAGCGAACGAGTGACCCAGCGCAGCAGGGCAGGTCTGGACCTCGGTGCCATTGTCGAGGTTGAACTTGTAGTAGCGCATATCGTGGAAGTAGTGGAATGACCTCACGGTAGAGCCAACAACTGGGGTCGAGCTTGAATCGAGGGAAGTCTACGCGTTGTCAGTAAGTGCTTCCCAGTACCTCGACATAGCAAACTTACCCAAACATTCTTAGCACCAGCATACTGCTTCCTCCCAATCTCATAACAACTGCTCACACCCTTATCCAACTTCTGGAAAAGCGGTCCCCTTCCACGACAAGCCTGCACCTTGCCATCGGCACAAGTGCTGCTTTCAAAATCACAGGTAGCACCAGAACCGTCATCGCAAAAGGCACCCAGCGTATTCGGCGTGGTATCACCCACGTTCGCTTGGGAAAAGCCAGCAACGAAACCATCAGCAGCACGGCTGTCGCCCTTTACGGACTGTTCGAACAGGTAGGCAGCAACTCCCTTGTTGTCGGCGTTCACAAGCGTGTTGTTCTGGTAGACGGACGTGCCGTGGACGGGGTACCAGGTAAGGACACCGACACTCTTCAGGTCAGAAGCTCTCCGGAACCGGAGTAGGGTCAAGGTCTTGTCGGTGTTGAAGGGGTATTTGGCTCGCTCGGACTCGGGGTTGGCGAGGTAGGCGGAGGGACTGCGGTTATTGTTACCGTCGTTGATGTCGGTTGTACCGATGTCGAGGTAGCCCTATTCCAGTTAGTCCTGTCCTGTCCCGGCAAGTATAACCGGGCTGATCGTACCTCCTGAAGAGACTCATGCGCCCTCTTAATCGACAACACAGCACCATCCACAATCGCCTGGTAACTCTGCTTGCTAAACCCAAACGTCGTGATCTGCGGAAGCAGGTAGTTGAACCAAGCGCCCGGGCCAGAATGAGAGTGTGTCCCGGTAAGCGCAATATTGGACTGTCCATAGACCGAGTACTCATCTCCCATCCCCTTCAGCGCATCAAGAACACCATTGCGAACAGCCGTGTCTCCGCTCTGCGTATCAAGCACGATATAAACAAGGCGGTTCTTGGGGTTCTTGGTCTCGCCAATGATGAAAGCGCGCGAGTACAACCGCTGGCGCAAACCGCTTCCGATCTGGCTGGTGTCCGCATACCCGCCAAAGCCGATCTCGACAACCGGGCCGGTTACATCGGCCTTTCCGACACCGATCAGATACTTGTCGCCGAGTGGAGTGTCCCGCGGTTCGGATTGGGGGTTTGCGCGTTGGGCATGCTCGATGCGCTGGGCTAGCTTCCGAGCGTGTAACTCGGAGGAGGGGCCGAACTGGGCGATGGCGAGAGCGGCGAGGATGAAGAAGGAGATAACGGAGACGGCGATGGTTATGAGGCGTCTGGGAGGCGCCATGCCGCCGCGGCGGTGTTGTTGGTAGCAAGGCATCTTGCGATGCTGTCTACCTGTGCCTGGGATGTGTTAGTGGAGGTCTGAATTAGAGAAGGGATGTTTCAGAGGACCATGTTCTCACATACCCTTGAAGAAGACGACTTGGGACAACGTCGATCAAGAACACCGTTCATCCTCTTTCCTTGGGGAGGACTTGGTATCTATACCCATCTATCCTCCCTGGTAGGACAAACAACCATCTCGTCTCCCCGCACGGATAGGGACGGTGGAAGATCGAAGCGTGGGTAGGGAGGGCCACTTGACAGCAACAACACTGCCAGGATCAAGGACAAGACGGCAACCCAATCGGAGGATCTCCCACGTTTGCTGTTCATGATGGTGGGTCGGGTGTTTTCCATTTCCATTTCTATTTCCATTTCCATTTGCGACCAAGCGTTGTGGCCATGATTGTCTGTGTTCGTTGTGTCCAGCTGAGGGACCTTGTCGAACATTGGGAAAGACTCCAGCAGGGTGCCATCCCAGGTCTGTTGACCAGGCATTTTGCCAAGTTTGCGTCGTCCACCGCAACGTCTGTCTTTTGGAGGGCTGCAACATGACGCTACAAACATACTTCGATTTTGAACTGGTAGGCGGCCGCCATCCTTGTTCCTGGGTAGATATAATTCCGAAAGCTGGTTCATGCTCGGGAGCCAATCACCGCCGTATATCTCGACCGGCAAACATGGTTGGCAGAACTCTCCTCTGGCGGGAGATTTGAGGAGATTGGATTTTGTGCTGTCACGTCGAAAGCAACTCGGGTATCACAAGGTGGTGTTCAAGCATTATCGAGTACAACATTCGCGGGTTGTATTTCGGATCACGACCTGGATCGAGGAAGAGGTGTGGGTGGCACTGCGTCTAGCCGTTGAGATTCCGTTCGCAGCTTCGGTTGCGAGAGGCACGCGAGGAGGAGGGCGAGGAGGACGACGAGCTGAGAGGGATGATACTGGGCACCTAGTGGACGATGTCTTCCCAACCGAGGTGCCAGCAATGATTTGGTTGATCAAGACTTCAAAGGAGGGGGATCATCACCACCGCAAAACGACCGCAAAAGAGGGGGACGTTGATAATGACTGGTCCAACCTTCGCGTAGGTTGAAAGAAGGTTGCAGAGAACCAGAAAAAGATCACGGCCCAGGCACAAACAGACGAAAGCCGATAGCGGACCTAATCCCGATCCAGTTTAGAGGTAGCGTGTGGGGATGCCCTGTATGACGTAACGGAACAAGCAGTCACAGAGGGTCATCAGGGCACTCACCTCCCGCTATTGGCGAGCTGTTAGCGGATCACCACCTGAACATCAACTGCGCAACACCTCCTCCAACCTCAACTTTATCTTGAATCTTGTGCAACACAAAATGAGACATCTTCGGGATTATCGATGAGCGGAGAGAATCCCTCGTGTTGTTGGTTCCAATCCCCAGAGAACCCCGTTAGGATGGTATAGATCTACGCTCGGATTCGCTTTCCCCTGAACATCGCCTGGCGAGACTTTTTTTTAGGAATTCCGACCAAGCTTTTTAGTACGAGATGTTTCCCTTGTCAATGTTGGTATCAGAGGAAGAGAGGTTGGTCTGGCAAGACACTTCCATGTTGAAAGACAACGCATAACTTTGATTCTATTAGTGAGTATTCTATATCATTGCTGCTTCGCTGTGATAGAGATGATCCATCAACCCGAAAAGCACCTGTCCGATATTCTCCCCGAGAACGTAGGAAACCGGCAGATCGAAGCTCATGTCCAGATACGGAGGAGCTATAAATCGGGACCTTTCCCTGTATCATTCGCTTCGCCAGCGTGGCATAGCTTCATGGGTGGCCAGCATAGAATCTCAAACCCCCTAGAGATATCTCCGGAAAACTTGTAAAGAAATGTGAAAAAAGCTCGCCAGAATGGCTGAAGATCTCGTCGTCATGACTCCAGTGCCAGAATCGGACGCGAATATTCCTCAGACCTCTGAACTTATAGGTCTCTCAGAGATACCCGTCATGAGTGCGGGTGCAAAATAACGCAAAGACCAAAGAAAAAAGAAAAAGGGCATCTGAGCGTTCCCCCTGGACAAAACTCCAACCCAAACCCAACTTCAGTCAGCGATCTTCTTCCAAAGACCTCATGGTTCCTCCGGCATTCACCGTCAGATCACTCAGAGTCCTCCATCTCAACATCTCCGTCATCGTCTGCCTTTTGCTTGCCCTTCGCCGCGTTTCCCTCCTCATCCAGCTCCTCCGGTTCAGGCTCGACATACTTCCTGGGCAGCAAAAGACTATGGGGGCGTGCCGGAGACGCCTCGTACTTCGGAACCCTCCACTCGACCACCCATTGCATCGCGGCCTGTCCGACTTCCTGCCGGAGCGTGGTGGCGCGGTCCGACAGCTTTTGGCTTTTATCGTTGACGGTCTCGATATTAGTGAGCAAAAGGCCGATTTGCTCTTGAACCTTTGTCACGGCGAACTGGGCAATTGCCGAGAATTCCTGGGGAACCTTGGCCAGATGGGTTTCATATCGTCTCTTCATCTTTTTGAACCCATCGTTGAACATTTTCGTGTTCTTGGCCTTGACGTTGTCTTGCAAATACTTGCGGCGGGCTTGGTAATGTCCTTTGCCTGTAAATGTATCCTTGTTAGTTGACCTTTCAAATAGAAACATCTCGAGATCTCGGTTTTGGCCTACCTTTAATTTCCAGACATTCGTCGAACATAGGCTTGAGCTTTTCTTCCATTGTGGTTCGAAACTCCGGGTGGATCTCAGCAGAGCATTTCGAAAGCTTTGTGAGGTGTCTCGTGAACCTTGTCACGTATCTCGTCTTTGATGCCGCGCACGGTCGGGATGCATTCCAGGACATGGGGGAGAAGTTGGGATGCAGTTTCTTGGATCTGGCCAACGAGCTCCTCCAGTACTGATCCCAGATTGCATCAACTCGTGGTATGATAGGCTTCTCAGCCGCTGGGATCTTAACATGAAACACCTTGTGCCAAGTCTTTAAGACTACTTTCTCAAGGATGGGTATAACTCTGTGGCAGACACTTGTTAGCATGGAGCATGTCATAACATGGGATCTCATACACATACAAAGCCTCGGGAAAGTTGTATTCGTGGCTCTCCCCGGTCTTACTCTTAAACTTGTAAGGGCCTCCGCCTCGTTTGAGAATTGCATTGAAGGTCATCCAGGCCATGAAGACCGAAGAAGTCATGTCATTTGGGTTTCTGGCTGCCCATCTAGTGGCAACCCTTCCCGCTTCTCTCCTACAGACCGTCTGTGTCTGATGAATTTGAGCAAACGGATCGAATGACTTGATCTTTTCTGACCACAAGTGAAGTTCGGCTTCAAGTTTCTGTCATTTTCATGTGTCAGTCTCATTAGACAAGGAACTTGAAGAATGTATAAGGACATACCTGGGCACACCTATCATGGCTGCGAGAGAGCAAGGTCTCGATTATTTCGCGAGAAAAGCTAAACATCCATACCCGCTGAGTTGACGTTTGACCATCTTTGAATGCCATGCGCGAGGCGACGGAGTGCGTTGAGGAGACTGTCCAGATGAACTTCCCTGTTCTCCATCACGGAGTCGCATAGCCATTGACTAAGTTGAGGTATTCCAGTGTACGATTTGGTGGGAAACCCAGCCACTTTTCTTCCCTTGAGAAGGTCTCGATATGCGGTAGCGGAGACAGAAAATATGTTAGTGGTGGGTTCGCTTGAACTAAGCCGCTGACTAGTTCCCTCCAACTCCTTCCGCTGTCTCTCGAAGTTTTCTGTGAGCCGTTTCTCAATTCGACTATGTCTCATAGACATGCATGTCCACTTAGCCCTGCCCTCGCATGTGCGCAAAGACAGATTCGCGCTGTATCTCTCTTGTTGGAGACCGTTTAAAACTGATTCTTGGTTACGAACAAGTTTTGTCGTGGTTGTCACCTTGTTCCTTGCCGTCTTCATTCTTTCCTGGTACCGTTTGTCTGTTTCTGATGTTAGTGTCATGAGTGAGGTGAGAAAGGAATGGACTGATCTCATACCCTGCTGTATCTTTTTCGCACCTACCAAAGTGGGCTTCAATGCATCTCGATCAATGATCGCTTTCTCCTTCCTGTTGTTGAACTCAACAAGCTTCTTCCGGCAGTCTTTGATGCGTTGATCAAGAACAGTTAGTCTCTTTGTGAGTGATTTCATACTCTCCAAGTCCTCCTTCAAGCCTGCCTTGTTTCTCGCTTCTGGTGAGCTTCTGCTGAAAACATCATGGTCAATCCCGTCCATTTGTGAGGCCACAATACAGGATCTGTTTTTGTGGAGTTTGCCGTCAAGCTTCATCCTGAGTGCTTGGTACTTTCCCATCAGCTGAAATGCTGTTTTTTCATCAATCGCCCGAACAGATGGTGTCACGATGATAGTTGTGTCGATCCGCTGGTTGTAACGCTCCGCAACCTGGGCGCGACTCTCGACGGCATCAGACAGTCCGGGAAGATCGACCAAGGCGATTCCGTGTCTGAGGATATCCGCTTTGACGAAAATCCTGGCTTCCTTGACCAAAGGCCAAGCCTGGTAGCCCTCAGTCGTCGCTGATGAATCAAGGTAAGGCTTGACCAGTTCGGCAAACTCTTCCTTGTCTGCAGCATGAAGACGCTTGGTGGTACCCAGAACAGAGAGAACATCCTCATTGGATGCGAGAAGGTCTTCGGCTGAAAGCATTTGTACTTCTTCTCTTTCCTTACCCCACACAGCCAGAATCTTCTGCATTCCCTCCTTGATGGTGTTCTCATGTTCCGCCTTTTGCTCGAACCACTCTTCTCCATCTTCTCCGTCGGAACCTTCCTCCATTTCCCGACATTCATCAAGTGCTTCATAGATTTGCTCCAACTCCCGTTGGACGTCTTCGCGCTCGCGAAAGGCCACTACGGCAGTGAACCTGTGTTTGGGATCATTGTCGTAGTTCCAGGACACTCGACAAGCTGAAGATGTCGAGGCTTCCGAGTTGCTGGAAGGGAGAAGCTCAGGCATCTCCAAAAGCGTGTTCAAAATGGTGCTTTTACCGGCACCCGTAACCCCTGCGACACCGACCAAGACCTCGAAGTCCTTGTGCGTCTTTTCCAGCTTGACTGTTTCTTTATGTCAGTTCCTGCTCATATTAAGTTACACATATTCACTTACGGATCTCATCCATCCAAGCCGCAATCTCTTCGTCAAAAAGCTCCTTGAATGTTTCTGACTCCTTGTCTTCCAATGCTGATGAAATAGCCTCGCAAATGAATTTTGCACGGTCAAAGGCATCCTCGACGGCCTGTTGCTTGATGAATATGCGAGACCGCAGCAGCTCCTTAGAACAGCTGTCCCAGGCATAGGGGAGGGATTTCCCGTGACCGACGACGTTACTGGAAATTGCTTCTGCTGTCGAGGGCTCCTCTTCTTTGATGGGGACATCCATGGTAGAAACTGGGCCGATAGATGTGGGAGCAGGAAACTACTGGGGACACCGAATGTGATGCCTGACTTTGAAATCGAATCTGAACGGGAGAATCTGAAAGATGACGGGAGATAATCTGAGAGATGGTTGACCGGTTGCGGTGAGAGGATGAGGGAGGAAAGAAAAAGATTGAAAATGGCAGGGCGAGGAGTCGTTTTTATACCCCTCAACTGCCATGGAGAAAACAGTCTGGAGGATGATCAGCGTGAAGGTTTAGTCAGCGGAAGAAGAACAGACGAAAGACATGCCTACTTCTTGGAGATTCAGAGATCCCTCTGTACCGTGATACTGGATGGAATGAGAGATAGGTATGGACATCAAACAACATCAGCCTCGCCGCGATGTGTTGGATGAATACTTCAGTGGTTAGTGACCAGACGCGTGAGTTATGCAAGAGCTTGATAACAAGAATATGGGACTTACCTACTATGCCAGATCGAATTCTTGCGAATCTTGGCTAAGAGTCTCTTCCTCAGATGCATGAGAAATGGGATGAATGAGCAGCCGTAGGTTTGTTTGCTCCCTCCTCACCCTGGCAGACAGCCGTCCAGGAGAGACATCAAGGTCGATATGGGCGGTCAACAGTTGGGACGACTCGAGCGCACCTTTCAGGCGAGTTTGACTAACAATAGACTGAAGGAATGGTCTACAAGGAAGACCACGCTCAAGCAGAGATTGGAGGCCAGAAAAGCGCAGACTCGGGAACCAGACGTATCTATATGGCACTTCTTATCTGAAGGAGTGATGTCAGCCTCACATTCCACAATCTTGGCCCGTCATTTTGCGATGATTACTCACTACCAATACGCCTACTTTCGTTCCAACATGCTCTGATATATCCCGATGCCGAGGGGTAGAGGACAGACAGCAAATGGCTGATTAACACCCTCTTACAAGATCAATCCAGATGCCCACCGCGAGAAGCTTTCGACATGATCCTGGCCGATGCCAGTACGCAGACCAGTAAAACACATATAGCAGTCCCATCGATCTTTCACAACAAAGATACAATAGTGACTTGACAACGCCGTGAGTTGATCCTGAAATCTTCAACAATCTTCCGTAGTTGCCGAGATATCCATGTCGGTCATTCGTAGCATACAACGCTCCTGACACTCTCGATCTCCTCCCAGTCGGTCAATCTGATGCGCAACACCTCAAGGTCCCAACCAATCTCAGGCTTCTTTGCCTTCCTCGGTCGACACATGCAACGGCACATCTTGTTCTTAGTCTCACCGAGGAACAAGACACTGTCCTTCTCAAGTATGGTGTCATTCTTCCACCCAGTCAAAACGCCGGATAAGTGGGGTGGTTGATCCTCGTACAAGTCAACGAACTGAAAATGCTGAACTCGCGAACCATTCTCTCTTGAGGAGTATGATACCCTGGCAAAAAGCTCGAAAGTCACCTCTTGGTCTTGTCGAAAACATTGAGCTACTTCTTTGAAGATGGATCCCAGGCGGAAGCATGTTCTCAGGACGTTGGTGTTTGATAATCCCTCGACGGGGGATTTGTTTCGCAAGGGGCAGGGGAAGGCTGGCCTAGTGAATGGTTGGTACTTCGCTGGGCTGATTGAGCGAGACTGCATCCATTCGATCGTATTCTCAAGCGGTTGGCTAGTGTTATTTTGAAATTCCAGAATTTGAGACGTATTGACATCCTTGGGAGCAGCGGGGAGGTGTTGAAATACCTCATCCCAGTCAATGTCTTCGTCAAGTAAGTTTTCGGACTCTGCAGGCTGATTGTCTTTCTCGGGCACCGAAGAGCTCTTGGGATTGCTATGTGGCGTTGACCTCTGTAGACTTGGATCAAATATTTCAGGCGTAGAGCTTCCCTCGACAGCTTTGATGACACTGGATGGCGGAATCTGTGCGAGAAGGCTCGGCAAGGAGTCAGCCAGCTTCACCATAGCGTCTTCATCTGACGATGCGACCGAGTACTCGTCAGCAGTCGTTGATTTGTTGTCAGCGAACATAACCTCGCACTCCTTGGTCAGCACGTTATCACAAGAAGAGACATTGTTATATGTGAAGATGTCTTGTTTGCCCGTGTAGGCCATCGGATCGCCACCCGTGAGTGAGTCAAAGATCATGGCTCTGCTAAAGAACGAAGCATCCGTTTCTTCACAATCTTCTCTATCGGCCCGTGGGTTGTTGGCACACAGCTCTAATAGCTCGGATTTGGAGTATGGGGGCGAGTAATAGCCTTCCGGGTCGAAGGGCATGGTGTCCCCATGCATATGCTCTTGGGTATCGCCTTCTTCCCAAGATGAATACCCGACTGGGGCAATGTCGCCAAAACCATGATACTCCGAGAAGATTTCGAGGGATGGGAATGCATGTCCTCGTCTCCTTCCCCTTGGGCAGCCCCCATCGGTGTTTCGGCGTTTCAGAGAAGATGAAGTAGCCGGATGGTAGAGCTCTGATGGAAGTGCACCCGGCCCGTTTATGACGTTGGAGTTGACCAGTGCAGCATCGTTGACCGTTATGGTTGTAGTAGTTGAAAGGGAGGGCACATCATAACTAGAAGATACAAGTTAGCATTGCCGTCCAAGACATTATGCGGATAAACGAACTTACGGAGGATTGACAGTTGCCGCACTCGAAGGGTCTATCATATCCATGACTACACTCGGGCTCTGTGTCTGTCCGTCTGGTTCATGGAGAGACAATGTCTGACTGGGCTGACTGGGTACAAAAACCAAGACTAAGAATACTGATGAAAGTTGGGGAGCGTCACGGTGCTGTCGAGGTAGAAGCCATTGGGGTACAATTGGCCTTTCGAGATTGGCACCGGGCGGGAAACCGGTGTTGAAACGAGGAGGACAGACATCATGGTAAGAGAGGCGGGACAAAAATCGAAGAGGACTTGCCGAGACAGTTGTTCGAAATTTTCTGTCCTTGAAAATTGGAAAGTGCGAGTCGTCAAGTTGTTGATGCAGGTGATGATGGATGTATAAGTCGTGCTTTCCTATTCGGGAGGTCCCCGGCGGGCACCTTGAGGACAGCTGGCGGGCAGCCGGAGCGAGGGTGACGATGCCAAGTAATCCGGCCCCGCATCATAGTGAGCCGGAGCTCCACAATTCGGCACCGGGCCGAGATTTGTGGGGAGCTTGTGCCCTGAAAGTTGAGCGCCAAGGACCGGCGACCGGGGCATTGTCAAGGAAGCATGGAATGTTGTCGCGCCGTTTGAAACTTCCTGGTTCTCCTTTTTCGCATCTTTATCCCATTGTTGAAGGCGCATTGAGGTTGCTCACGAAAGACAAATGTCCTGTTGGTGACACTGCGGTGATTTTGATTGTTTGAAGGGTGTCGAAAGAAACACTGGGCGCGACAGAATCCGGTTTCACGGCGTCACATGAATTCAAGCTCCCTGTACCCCGCCATTGTTCGCATCAGCCCAGCTGCCCCTCGTCAAGTGGAAAGCATCAGAGCATCACAGCATCACATCACCGCTGAACAGGCACGACTGCTGCCGTTATCTTATCGCGCTTGCCTCGACAGATTGCGCTTTCTCCAACGACGACGAGAGCTTCCACACCTTCCATTAATCGTACTACTTTTCCTGGTCAGGCCATTGTTAGCGACTGCGACTGCGACTGCGCCCATCTGAGATCCCAATCACCCAAGTCGACGCGACTGTTGACTTACCTCTTCTACCTCCACCACAACTGTCGCGGCATCGAGCGATACGACTGCGCGGCTTTCTCGACTTCCATCTTCTCGAGTTGATTCTTTACGACAACGCAACCAAGACAATCGGCCTCGCGCTACTTCACGATACAATGTTCTCTTCCTCGGTACACGACCAAGGTGCCCTGAATAGCTGCGTCCGATACATTCGCTAACAGACCAGAACAGAAACCCTACACGGCTGTCACGGTCGACATCGAACGACTGACGAGTGAAACATACGCCGAAGACGATCTTAGCGGTATTCCCGAGCTTATCGAAGCCATCAACCTCCAGGCTTCCGGTCCGACTGAGGCAGCCCGTGCCATTCGCAAGAAACTCAAATATGGAAACCTGCATCGCCAGCTCCGAGCCCTGACAATCCTCGATGCTCTGATCCAGAATGCCGGTGCCCGCTTCCAGCGCTCCTTTGCAGATGAACCCCTCCTTGAGCGCTTGCGCTTCTGTGGTACCGCCGAGCTTTCGGACCCCTTGGTGAAGAAGAAGTGCACCGAAATGTTTCGAAGCTGGACTGCCTACAAGAGTACTCCTGGTATGGAGCGCGTCGCGAACCTCTACAAGGTAAGCTCCTTACAGTCTACACTTCATATCTGCCAGTCATGCTCACACTACACTAGGAACTTCCCCGGCGCAAGCAGGTCGTCACCCAGGAGAGGTCCAAGGTACTTAAGGAGACCGAGAACCCTTTTGGCGAGGACGAGGAGGAGGAACGCCAAGCATCGGCAAGCACCTCAACTGCCCAGGCCAGCTCATCAACCGCACAACCATCTTCCTCGTCATCGCGTCGGCCGACGGTGTCCAGTTCCAGTGGCCATGCTCATTCCTCCAGTCGATCCGCTAAGGACAAGTCGAAGAAGAGCAGCAGCAAATCCAAGAAGCACAGGCCGTTCAACCTCGAAGCCGAGAAGGACCAGATGACTAGGACTATCGCCGAGGCGTCCATTGCCTCCACGAACCTGATGAACACCCTGCAATCCATTAACAGAGAGAAGGAGCGCATTTCGGAGAACTCAACTGCAGTGGAGCGTTTCGAGAAGTGCAAAAAGCTTCGAAGAAATATCTTGAGATATGTAAGTTCCCCTGTCAGCATCGGTTGCTCTTGCCCAGGTTGCTAACAGACATAGATCCAACACGTCGAATCCGAACAGTGGCTAGGTGGCCTTCTACACGCCAACGATGAACTCGTCCAAGCGCTCATGACTTTTGAGCAGCTGGACCGCTCTATTGACGCGGACAGCGACTCGGACGATGATCTCGCTGAGCAAGCACATCTTTATCGTAGTATGTCCACCTTCCCCTTCCTCTCCTATCCCCACTTGCTAACAATCTCCCAGTGGCAACCGAAAAAGCCGCCAAAGCCAAAGAATCCGGTGGCAGCGTACCCAGCAGTCCGCGCGCGCCGGCTGCGGGCATGGCCGGTCTCAGCATCACCAACACCCCCGCGAGTCCACCACCGATGCCTCCTCGCCCTGCTCCCCCTCCACGACCGTCTGCGGCTTCGAAGCCGTCAATGCTGAAGCCGCCTACAAGACGTGTAGAGCCATCCGATGACGAGGATAGCGACGCCGACGAGGACGAGAACGATCCGTTTGCTGACCGGAATGCTGTCTCGACCCCTAAGGTGGAGAGTGACGAGCCTAAGTGGTCGTAGGTGGGATGAACTGGATAGTATGGTGGGGATGAAATGATGATGATACGATGTGCATACGTTTTGAGTTTTAACTTCTTTACTGGATAGCGATTTTGTCTGTCTAGGTAACATTTCTAACGACAGCGAGGGACGATGGTTTTGGCATGAGGGTAGATCGAGCAAAGAAAGCGGAACACTCCGCAGCATGATTCTGAGTTGTTTTACCATGTTTAGCGGTGGATGGAAGAGGAATGAGTTATACCTTTTTGAGCTGTGGAAGGAGGGCCTAATGAAGAGAATGAGCAGCGCGTTTGTTTAAGTGGAAGTCATGATTTAGCGGACGCGAACCATCATTGTTGTTCATTTGAAACGGCCAGTCAACAGACATTCAGCATCGAGCATCATGCGTCTACCTACCTACCAAAGAATCAAAGCTGTATAACCACGACCTTTTCGCCCAATCTACAAATCACTCCCATCCATCACGACAAACCCTCACCCCAAATTTCCAAACCTCCTCAACAACCAACTGCTTTCTCATTGTCTTCCCACTTCCACTTCCACCCAGCAAATCCTCAACCTCAACCTCCATCTCCTCAAAAACCACCAAATCCGCATCCGCCCCCGGCTCCAAACTCCCCTTCACACATTTGAATCCCAACATCTCCGCCGGCGTACTGGTCACACTCGCCAACGCCTTTGGCACCGACATCCCAGTCCATTTCAAAAGGTTGTTCACGCATTCGAGGAGGGTGGAGGAGGAGCCTGCTATTCCTCCCCATTTTTCTTTACCCTTTTCTTGCCCATTTTGAGCTGCTTCAACCCCGTCGTGGCAACCTCCCTCGCCGTTGTTGACGTCGCCATTCTGCTGCCCTGCTTGCGATGACAGTTTCGATGATGACGACGACGACGACGACGACGACGATGGTGGCCCAACAATACACAAAGCACTCCCCCTCTTCTCAATCCATTCTGTTTTCTCACCATTAACCCACTCATACTTCCCATCCGGCATCCCAGATAAGTGCATCGCGTCCGTGACCAGGATGAAACCTTGCGGGTGCAGGTTGTAGGCTAGAGAGACGGTGCAGGGGTGGAGGTGGATACCGTCTGCTATGACGCCGTAGTACAACCCCTTCTTTTGTTCTTGAGGTAAACCTAACAACCCAAAAATCCCCGGCTCCCTATGATGCAGCCCGTTCATGGCATTAAACAAATGCGTAACCATCTTCGCCCCTCTTCGGACCGCTGCCGCTGCTTCAGACAATGTACACTCAGTATGACCCAGCGAGACCACCACGCCCCTTTGAACCAGCTCTGGGATGAGGGTGGTGATGGAACCGAGCTCGGGGGCGATGGTGATCATCTTGATGTTTTCCCCCGAGGTGAGATTGGAAAGGCCGTAGACTTCTTCCAGATCTTGCCAAGAGTTGGCGGAGCGAAGGACGGAGAGGTCGTGGATCCCGTGTTGGGAGGGAGAGAGGAAGGGGCCTTCGACGTGTGCGCCGAGGGATTCGGAGCCATTTTGGGGGTGGCGGATGCGGTTGCGGGTGCGGTCGATTTCTTCGTTTGTTGTAGCGGTAGAGGTGGAGGAGGAGGTATAGGTAGGGGTAGGGATGGGACGGAGAGGACCGAGGTGTGGAAGCGCGGAGTGGTACAGCTCAGGCGTTTGGGAGGTCAAAGTGGGGAGATAGGAAGTGACGCCGGTGCGGATGAGTTTGGTGTTGAGGGTGTGGATGTTTTTGATGTATTCAGGGGAGGAGGTGAAAGAAGAAAAGTTGAAGCCGAAGGCGCCGTTGAGTTGGCAGTCGATTAAGCCGGGGGAGAGGATGCGGTTGTGGAGGTCGATGGTGACGTCGGGAATGAGGGTGTCGTCGGAGGGTGAAATGATCTTGCCGGTTAGGGAGTTGATGAAGAGGTCGGAGGGGATGAGAGAGTCGCCGATTACGAGACGGCAGTTGGTGAGTTTGGTGATGCCGGTGCCGAGTGGAGGTGGGGAGGATGATGAAGCTGCTGGCATGGTGAGGATTTTGTGAGGCTGGATGAAAGATGTCCGGCTCTTGGCAAAGATTTACTCGAGAGATCAAAGTTCTCGGGAAAAGACTTGGTGATATGGACAACGCCTCTGCAAAAGTTCGTCGGACGTTCTTTCCTTGATGATACTTGTCATCGGACGCTAAGACGTGGACCTTGATCTACACCAGCACCGGACGGCTACCGTTGGAATTTCATCCGCGCCATTTCCGGATAACCTCACTGGAGGAGGGATGAGATAACGGCGTAAGTTCGGATGGAGATAGGAGATGAGGTAGACGCAACCACATCCTCGGTGTCACGGCGTAACGAGACATCATCGCTGTCAACAGCGAGGTGTACGAGGTGTGTTGCGTTTCTGTCGCGAAGCTTGTGGATTGTTGTCAACGAAGGGCGCACATGGTGTCTGCCGCGAATGGTATTCGTCAACGACAGAGGTGATTCTCGGACGAAGCTCAGCCGTAGAAGGTTTTCCTGTCACATCAACATCACTCCATCACCACCGCGATTGTCAGAGGAGAGATGTTGGCTCGGCATTGGTCGCTGGACCAGGTACTCGGGTCGCCGGATCCATCACACCTTCAAATCGACACCGAGACGTGTGGGTGTTGATATGGATTGTTGCGAGTCTTTATCATGAAGGTCCCAAATGTAACGTTGCCGGTCAAGTCCAGAAGGCAAGAATACAGAACCTCAAAAGCGACGTTGTCCAGAGGAAGATCACGGGAAGAAAACCAAAAGTCAGAAGAGGTTGGTGGAAAAGAAAAGGAAACAACACCTACCCAATCTGGCCAAGCGCCGTTGATATAATCACCAGTCGGCCAATCATTATTTTCTTTTTCACGTCGGCCACAGTGGTTCTTTAGCGGCTACTGTAGCACTACAATCTCACCACCACCAACAGCACCAACCGCGTTAACGTGTTCTCCATGTTCGACGACCTGTTGTTACACCGGCACACACAACCTTCACCTCCACTCACCACTTCAACACCAAGACCCCATCCGGCGATACTCAGCCATTTTGCTATAGCCGTTACGTGACATGACATTATCCCCATAGTCTGGAATTGAAACATCGAGACAGCGCCGCTTCTCCGCTTTTGGTTCACTCATCTTCAGCCCTACCGACCTTGGTCAACCTCCTCAGCTCCAATCACCATGGACGCCGATCTAGACCCACTATGGCAGGATTTGGACTGGTACGTACACTTCATCTCATCCAAGTTCTACATCACTCACTTCACACGTGGTTATGGTCACCGGACCCGGTATCCAGTTTCCCGGGTTGCCGTCCGGATGGTTTTACACATGGCTACCACACCCGTTATCCCGTTCCCGGGTCGTTCCCCGGGTCATCTTCCGGTCCCGGTCCCGGTCCCGGATAATTGCTTCCATACTCTCCTCCAAGTCACTCAATATACTGCACACCTAGCTAACCTCATGCCTCACTCCCCCATCCAGGGCCATAGGCCAAATGTTAATCATGGGATGGGACGGCACCGAAGTGACCCCCCAAATCCGTGAACTCATAGCAGACCACCACTTGGGCTCCATCCTCCTAACAGCCAAGAACCTAAAATGTAGTCATGATTCTCCCCATCAACTCTCCTTACAACAAGGACTAACACCCCATCACCAGCCGCCCACCAAACAGCAAAGCTCGTCCAAGAGCTCCAAACCATCGCTCACCAATCCGGCCACCCCCAACCCCTCCTCATCGCCCTCGACCAAGAAAACGGCGGCGTCAACTCCCTCTTCGACGAAGAACACATCTGCCAATTCCCCTCCTCCATGGGCCAAGCAGCAGCCGGCTCCCCGGACCTCTCCTACCAACTAGCCAAAGCAACAGCAACCGAAGTCTCCGCCTGCGGCGTCAACCTGATCCTGGGCCCCGTTCTCGACGTCCTCACCAACGCGCGCTACCAACCTTTGGGAGTCCGCGCAACGAGCGATGATCCGCAGGAAGTCTCGCAGTATGGCATTGCCGCCATGAAGGGGTATAAAGACGCCGGCGTGGCTACATGCGGCAAACATTTCCCGAGTTATGGGAATCTGGATTTTTTGGGGAGTAGTCTGGATATACCCATCATCACGCAAACCCTCGAAGAACTAGCTTTGTCAGCGCTGGTGCCGTTCCGGAACGCGATTGCCACGGGCAAACTGGATGCCATGTTCGTGGGCGGGTGCGGGATCGCGAATCCGAGCATGAAAGTGGCGCATGCGTGTTTGAGCGAGCAAGTGATTGATGAGTTACTTCGCGAAGAGCTGGGGTTCACCGGGGTAGCGATATCGGAGTGTTTGGAGATGGAAGCGCTTCGTACCGAGATGGGGGTGAGGACGGGGACGATCATGGCTGTGCAGGCGGGTTGTGATTTGGTGCTGTTGTGTAGGGCGTATGATGTCCAGCTGGAGGCAATTTCGGGGTTGAAGTTGGGGTTGGAGAATGAGGTGTTGACGAAAGAGAGGATTTATACGAGTCTGAGAAGGGTGTTGAAGATGAAGAGGGGGTGTACGGATTGGGCGAAGGCGCTGAATCCGCCGGGGATTTCGCTGCTGAAGCAGATCCATCCGAGTCACCTGGCGTTGAGCATGAAGGCGTATGATGACTCGATTACGGTGATGAGGGATAACGAGAAGCTGTTGCCGCTGAATGAGAGCATGCATCAGGAGGAGGAACTGCTGCTCTTGACGCCGCTGGTTAAGCCGTTGCCGGCGTCGGCGATGACGAAGACTATTCTTGAGAGTTCGTCCAAGGTCAAGTCGGAGAATCCGATTCATGATAAATGGATACATAGGGAGCGGAGTGCTATCATGAGTGGTGAGGGAGTGTTTAGAGAACTTGGAAGATCTCTGGCTCGTGCTAGGCATGGGAAGTTGCTTCACACCTCTTATACCGCCAACGGTGTGCGGCCAGGTAACTCTCCCTTTCCGTCTTCCCCCCCTTCGAGATCCCCTTACTAACAGCATCCAGTTCACGAATCCCTCATCCAACGCGCCTCAACCATCATCCTCCTCACCGCCGACGCCAACAGGAACCTCTACCAAGCCGGCTTCACCAAGCACGTAGCAATGATGTGTTCCCTGCTCAAAGCCTCCGGCCACAAAAAGAACCTCGTCGTCATAGCCGTCTCCTCCCCCTACGACTTCGCCATGGACAAATCCATCGGGACCTACATCTGCACCTTCGACTTCACCGAAACCGCCATGTCCGCCTTGGTCCGCGCCTTATTCGGCGCTTTCACCCCCCACGGCACACTACCCGGTACTCTCCGAAAAGCACCGCGCAAGGCAGTGCAAAGCTCAGCGGGAGGCAAATCCAAGACCCGAACGCAGCACTGGCTCGTCGAGCCCTACGACGTCGAAAGAGACACCAAGGGACTGCAAGATCTGCTCTTCGCCATGGTCCGGGGCAGCGCTCCCAATCATCAGCACTTTTACGCCTTCGGCCCGCAATCGTTCTCGCTGTTGTCTCAACCTTTCATGCCAGACATGGTGGAAAAACACGAAATGGAAGAGCAGCACTTTGTCGTCCGCAACTCCTCGACCGGCGCCTTGTACGGATTCTGTTCCACTTATTACCTCCCCTCCACGTCCACGGGAGTCATAGGCGCCATCTTCGTCGACCCGTCCAAGCGCAACGTTTCGATCGGGTACTCCCTCCATCGCCGAGCCGTGAGGAACCTCCTTCAGAAACACCCAGACATTAAGCAACTTCAGCTGGGGTGCTGTCTACCGGGTATCTTCCCCGGCATCCCGCTCGACAATTCCGACACCCTTTCCATGTCCTCAGCTATAACCCCCGGCTCCACCACTTCCACCACCCCCTCAGCAGCAGCTGCCTCCTCCGGCCTGAAATCCTGGTTTTCCAGCACCTGCGGCTGGGACGTTTCTCCCTCCTCTTCTTCTTCTTCATCTTCATCCTCATCCTCCACCGGCGGGGGGCGCACCAGTTTGCGCAAAATCTTCAACCTCCTCCTCCCCTCTCTCCAAACGTGGTCATCACCTCCAGACCTCCCCACCACCCTCCAGCTTGCCGGCGTCTCCTTCGACCTCATCCACGGCCAAGGCCGCACCCATGCAACCCCGACTACCCCAGAACAGGAATCCGTCCTCGCTTTTGTATCTGCCCATTCAAGTTCCTCCCCCGAGATCCTCCAACTCTACCGCCTAGCTCTCCTATCTTCCAAACCCCAGCACAACACATGGATCATCCGCGCCAAGATCCAAGCCCAAGCCCCGGGGACTCCTCAAGAAGAACAACTGGTAGGCACCGTAGTAATCAGCAGCGACCTGGGGCGGTACTTCCATGTCCCTTCTCTACCGTCGGCGACGTCTAGTGGCAGTGGTGGGATGGAGTTCACGACGGGGGGGATCATTGCGCCTGTGGTGTCGTCGTCATCCATGTCATCCATGACGATGATGGGGCAACAGCAAGCAAACGCAAACTTGGTGTTGCAGGGCTTGGTGATGTTGGGGTTGAGACAGAATAAGAGGGATAAGATGGCTTGTTGCGTTTTGAGTTGGGTGAGCAATGGCGGTGGCAGTGGCTCTGCGGATGGAGATCTTGGCCAGGGCCAGGGCCAGGGGAATAGTGTGGAAACGTTGTTGGGCATGGGATTTGAGGTTCAGCAGGTTTGGGAAGAGGTGGTTAATGGGGTTGAGCAGGTGAGTGTCCCCCCTTCTTTCTTGATACAAGGGAACAATGTTGGGAAGTGATCGATTGCTGACCTGATTACAGTTTGCTTCGCTTGCTTAAGCCGGTTTCCCTCAGCTTGGATATGATTCATGACATGGTTCTCTGCTATTCAGGTACGATGTCAACGCAATGTGTTGGTATTGGAGATGACTTGATCTTGGGCCTCGTTTTTGTTGCTAGTTATTTTGACAAATTGAGCGGGTGTACTTCCTGCGATATACGATTCGATTTCCTTTACTTAGCCACCTAGCCCTGAAGATTCTAAGCGGATCTCTTTACTTCTTAGGTATAGGAGTAACAATGAGAAAATGTCTTGTTTAGTGATTCTGTTCTGTTCTTTGGGTTATTCCAAAATTAGGGGATACAGTCGGTTTACTCCGTGGCGTATCCAGTCATTGGAACAATCTTCTTCGCCACTCTCCATCCACAGGTTTGAAATAGCACCAGACTTGGACCCGATACCCTCCTCACTGCCCTTACTTACCTTCTCCCCTCTTCAGGATTCGGCGTCAACCTTCTCAACGCTTCAGCAGCAAAAGCGGCATCACTTAGCCTGGAGGCCATTCTGTCTGGCTCTAGGTCAATGTACTCCGACTCTGTTTCAGAGTCTCCGTCCGAGGCATGGCCGTCTGATTGTGAGTGGGAGTGGGATCGAGCTCGAGACGGCTCTCGGGAATGGCGGGTGGCTGACTCGATGGGTGGAAATGATGAAGTCCCGAGGAGTCCTAGGAGACCATGACTTTTGGGCACGGGTTGGGCGAGGATTTCTTTCTCCAAGGACGTATAGACTGGGGACTGGTCTGCATCAAAAGATGTGGTGAGAAGTGTTGGGGCCGTTTCTGCCACCGGAGAAATGGGAGAAGATGAGGTGTGTGTGGCAGTTGCTTTTGGCGTTGACTCTGGTGTTAGTGGTCCGGCGGCGGTTTTGAGGTTGGTCTGGGAGGCACCAAGGTCGTTCCTGATGGGCAGGGATTGGTCAGGGCTGTGGTCAGGGCCGGATTCTCGGTGTTCAATCGATTTAAAGTACTGCCACACATTAGCATTGTCTGTTCTTCATCAACCGACAACTGACAGAAACACGAACCTTGACCGTCTTCCACCTCAGCTCACCCGCCGCCTCCTCGTCACAAACCACGATAGCCCTCTCATGCATTTGCAGTGCCGAGCCAGTCCACATACAACTCACCCCCTCCTCTACACACTTTTTCAATGCTCTCGCCTTTCTCGCACCAAGAACAATCATCAGCACTTCCTTCGCCTCCAGGACCGTCTTTACCCCCACCGTCAACGCCATCCGGGGCACTTTATCCACATCATCGTCGAAGAATCGACTGTTTGCGAGGATGGTGTCCTCTGCTAGTGTCACGACACGCGTTCGTGAGGCCAAGCTGGAACCGGGCTCGTTGAAAGCTAGGTGTCCATCCTCTCCCAGGCCGGCAAGAAACAGGTCAATTCCGTCGGCGGCAGCAATCTTGGATTCGTAGCGTGAGCACTCGGCAGCGAGGTCTGGAGCGAGGCCATTGAGAAGGTTGATGTTTTGCGGGGGTATATTGACGTGGGAGAAGAAGTTGTCGTGCATGTAGGAGGCGTAGGATTGAGGATGGGTCGGGGGAAGGGAGATGTATTCGTCCTGGGATAGTTGTCAGCAAGATATGGGAAGAGGAAGATGTGAGTGTTTGTTCTTACCATATTGAAGGTTATGACATTTTCGAAGGAGACCAAACCAGCTTTGTACTTCTCTACAAGAGACTTGTAGATGCCGAGGGGACTGGAGCCGGTTGGGAGACCGAGGACAAAGGGGCGAGTCTGGGTAGGAGAGAAGGAGGTGATGCGATCGACGATGTAGTCGGCCACGTAGGAACTGGCGGATTCGGCGTTGTCGCGGATGATGAGCCCCATGTTGCCGGTTGAGTTAAATGGTAGGGGAAATGAAGACAGGGTGCTCGAATGGGTGAGGGATAAGAAGAGATACTGTTAATGGCAGAGAAGATTGCCAGGAACGGGCTAATGATACTGTTCTTAGAGCAATGTCTGGGTGTACGGGGAGAGAAACGACTCAAGGGAAAAAATGGAAGTTTGTGAGACGTTTAGTAGGACAGCTCTCATGATGGGAGCCATCAAGGTGCACTGGCATCCTCACTCATGACACAAAGACTGGCAAGAGCGACCATCAACTCCGAGGTCAGTCCATGACGGATACCTCCACGAAATGGCAAGTCGACCCCGCAACGATGAATGCCGTCAGCGATGATCCATCGTAGCTTCCAGATGGCTTCCCCAATCTTCAGGTCTAGAGAGAGAGGGGAGGGCTGATGGAACGTTCATCTTGGAAATCTTGATGTCGATAGCTTCGGAAGATCACTGGGGCCAGCGGTCGTGGAGGGAAGAGTGACAGGTTTGTGTGATTGTGATTGGCGGCGACAGACACTCGTCGTTCTGATCTTGTCACATAGGCGACTGAGAATAAAGAGAAAATGTGGAGGGAGAGACCTGAGTGAGGTGACGTCTCAACACCGTTATCTCCGTCGTCCTGCGCTGATCCACGCACAGGTGATACCTGCGTCGTAGAAGACACTCGTCGCGATTTCATCCGATAGGCAAGGCGGCTTTGTTGTAATAGTGAAAATCGGCATTGTATTGCAACCTTCAACTCGGGGGACTCCTTGTGAGCTAGTGGAGGAAGGTACGCACAAAGTTTGATGGAACTGGATCGTCGTCGTCGTCGAGCTCTTTCCTCGATGTGATTTGATATGGCTCGTGCACTCCAGCCATAAGCTTTTAGTGCCCAGATTCAAGGCAGGACCTGTCGCACGGGCCATGCTCAACGGTGCACTGTACTTGGCTCGGCTTGTCAATTTGGATTCCGACTCCTTCAATCTTCAACCTTCAATCCCACATTCCAACCCTCCATGTCAAGATCGCATTCTGGATGGACTCCAAACAGTCGAACCGGTCCTATCGACCACGGTTTCTTGTCCATTGATTGTCACACTTTCTGCCCCTCGGTTGTTCTAGATTACTGATCGCAATGGTTTGAAGTCAAAGTGCCCCCTCTCTACTTCCAGCGCCCAAAAGACCGAGCAAGTGCCAACCCAAAGACCGACACCAAGGCAACGTTACTTTCCCACCAATTCCCGAGACACACTCGTTGACTGACACGGCGAGCGGCGACCATGGCACTCAATGATAGCCTTCCACAGGCCTTCTTTCTCCTGCACAGAACCCCGCCTCGCATCCGTCCCTTGCAATCAAGCGCTGCAAGTTGCAACCCGCTTGCCGTTCTCCTGGTTACACTCAGCTGCTTTGTCTTGTCATTGGCTCTGCTCTGCTCTTTATTCGCAATATTTTCACACTTGCACCCAACACCTCCATATTATCCTCCAGTTGAGGTTTCGTCTTGACAACTCGTTCCCTTAAACTTCAGAAGTTGAAGCTGTTGACCTATCCATAACTGGCACACTGAATCACCAGGTTTGACTCAAAGAGTGTCATGCCTGCGATCGGTCGATGCTTCAGCTTATTAGCTTGGGGTGAGGAGCCTCACTACCTCACAACATAGCATCTAGATCAAGAGAGCCATATCCCTTGCGATCCTGGGCGACTAACAGTGCCGTCTTCCACGGCTGTAACATGACATTTTGTTAGTGGGTTTTCCAGCCGCGGCTCCTTACGAGCCTTCTGGTCTTTCTCCCCTCATCAGCTCGTTACCTTTTCCTTCCTTCTTGTCACCTTACCTGTTGCTTCTCACCACCACACCACTGTACTCTACCTCCAACAGTCTAAACTACTGCTTCTTTTAGAGCAGAGCCTCAAGGTCACCTTCGTATTCATTCGACGATCCGTATTCATCGGCTTGTCAGTCTTTGGGCTCACCAGGTTACCCAGTGGTGAAGGAGACAAGACCAGCGACGTGTTATTTTCTCACTCTCGACAGCATTCATCATTCTGTCAGAGTATGGTTAGATCAGGCGCAACCCATTCATTCGGCACTTGTCTTATCCTCCCTTGATTCTTTCAATGACTTAAGAAGGGCGTCCTTCCTCTACTTCACTCTCCATCTCAAATGCCAAGCAACCGCTCGTTTCCGCAATGGCATCCCTCAAACGAATTATAATAACCGCCCTCAAATCGATCTCGCGCGGCAGGTCCTTCCTACAAGCCTTACTCGCGTTTTGGATTAGTCCAAAATCCGACCAAACAAAAGTCAAGCAGACCAAGACATTTCAACGGACTAGGGAGGAGTTTCTCAAAGAGGCCAAAGAACTCCTTCTTGGACCAATCGACAACAATCTGTTCCCGCGAGACGGACATTCTTGGATCACACCAAACAACGGCGATACAAGCGCAAACCTAGACGACCCTCTTCTGTTGCTCTCCAAAAAGCTCAAGGAACAATTTCGAGAAGGGTTACAGACCAACCCAGCATGTATGCTTCCCTCTTACAACCACCAACTACCTGGCGGACACGAGCGTGGCCAGTATCTGGCGGTTGACGTTGGTGGTTCGACACTCCGCGTTGGTCTGGTGGATCTGAAGGGCCGAGGAACTGCAGATGATGGCGACAGTACCATTGTTCACATGGACAACTATACGATAGAGAGAAATGTTCGGCTACTTGCAGGGGCAGATTTCTTCAAGTGGATGGCATGGAAAATAGATTCATTTGTGAAGAAAGCAATCGACGCCGGGCGCATTTCAAAAGACGGATACGAATCGGGAGTTCCGATGCCTATGGGACTAGCGTGGAGCTTTCCTCTAGAGTATGTCATCCACTTCACTTTTCTTTCATCCCGAGACCAGCCAACTAACAGCACGACAGGCAAACATCACCCAACGGAGGAAACATCTGCCCCATGGGCAAGAGTTTTCTTGCATGTGACGGACTGATCGGACAGGACCTGGGCGCCACATGTAACAAGATTCTCCGAGAACTCCAAGTGAACGTCGAGGTAGTCTCCATCGTCAACGATTCCAACGCCACCTTGCTTTCATCAGCATACTACAACCCATCGACCCGCTTCGGGCTGATTCTTGGCACGGGTGTAAACATCGCCGCCCACCTCCCGGTAAATCTTATTGGAAAATCCAAGTTTGGGGCAAGACCTACCAGTTGGTATGAGCAAGCGAGCCACGTGATGGTTAACACAGAGTTGGGCATGTTCGGCCGTGACATTTTGCCCCTGACGAGATGGGATAAGATACTCAAAGCCGCTCATGAGAGACCGGACTTCCAGCCACTTGAGCATCTAGTCAGTGGGTATTACCTAGGTGAAGTTTTCCGGATCGCGCTGGTGGAAGCTATCAAAACGACGGGTGTGTTGGGAGGAGAAATACCGCCACTGCTGTTGGAAGCTTACTCGATGGATACCGAGACCATGTCGTTGATGGTAGAGTAAGTTACGCTACTTTCTCTCTTTCAGTTATCTGTTGATCCCCAGATTGCTAACACGATGCAATGTATCAGTGGCTTAGATTCCGGAGGCAAGGCCAACGCAGTCTTTTCACAGCTTTACCGCCTACCAGCGGGTAATCCTAGCACCGAGGACATGCGGTTCATGCAGCAACTAGCGGGTTACATAGCCCAGCGGTCGGCTTCCATTGTCGCTGCTTCGTTGTTTGCGCTGTGGGAGCTGAAGAATGGGGCCGAAAAAAGCTTTCCAAATGAACTTGAGCCGGAGTCGCCGTTCAGTGATGAGACCGCAGTAGAGTTGAAGATAGAGCGGACCGCGGTAGGCTATACCGGGTCAGTTTTGTCATACTTTCCTGAATACAAGGAAACGCTACAGTGGTACTTGGACGCGCTGATGTTGTCGGCGGGTCAGGATTCCAACGAGCAGAGGATAGAGCTGGTTCAGGCGAAGGAGAGTTCATTGCTTGGGGCGGCAGTGTCGTTGGCGGGGGTGATGGAGGAGGAGGGGAGGAGGCTGGATGAGAAGGGGACGGCGTAGATTTGCTGGGCATTACTGATATAAACCTTGGTTGTGGACATTTTTCTACTTCAACACGAACCGATATGATCAAGTCATCGTCGTGATATCTTCGAGTTTCCTGTGACCATGTCGTCGCCAAAACCCACAAGCAAGACTATCGGTCAATTGACACTGTGTTCGTCGGAACCCCAGACTCCACTCTTGACGGGAAGAAGGTCTCCACTTGTCCCGTCTGGGGTTCATCTCTTCTCCACTCGAGTTTCTTTCTTCATCCCGTCTTCTCTTCAAAGTTCAAGATGCCAAACGCTCGTCAGTCTGTCATGAGCAGAAAGATGACTTCCGACAACAAGGCATGAAGCCTGAAACGCGATTGACTCTGATGGCGAAAATATGAGGGGTCATCGAGCGTCAGTGTAACCTGACTCTCTAGGGTTCTCGGTGCGAATTGGATGTTTGGCACACGGCACATCCAACCCCCAAGCGGACAGTGTCTTGGCAGTCAATATTCTGTACGACGCTACCATGGCCTCGCCACTTTGGCCTCTGACTGAACACTATAACCACTGCAGATACAGTTGATCACAGCCTCTCTGCTTGGCCTCACTGACATCCGACTGGATCAGTTGGTGCAAGCCGACAACGATAATACCACCACACTCTTACCCGTCCCGTCGCAACCCATTCCACCTCGACTGATCACACGGCGCAATCTCGACAAGACCCTTGATATCTGGCGATACTCCCAATGATAGCATCTTTCGCCATCGCCGACCAACAAGTCCAGGCCGCGATTCCCTCAGCCTCAACCTTGGCCGATTGAACGGAGGACGTCGAGAAACACCCCGGATAACGGACACACCACACCATGTGTTTCAAGGCATAAGCGACATCGTTATCCGGGATCTCTTCCGCCAGATCAACACTCGATCGACACACGAGACCGATACTGATCTGTTACACCACGACAATGCAATGGCCAGCTTCAACTCCATACCACAGCTCCCCAATGGCGCAACGGCCAATACCGCCGACGCCCTCGGGCTGAACGCCGCTGGTCAGCCTATGGGAATGGGAATGGGAATGGGCATGGGCGATCCCTTTGGCTTTGACGAAGCGCTTCTGTATGTCATGTCACCACCTCAACACCACCAGCAATCGCAAAACTAACCTCCCGATCCCAATCCACAGCGATGTCAATTCCGACCTCCACGCCGGAATCCCCTTCACTCCATCCGCCTACGACTTCGACAACTTCACCTTCGAAGACCCCTTCTCCACGACAACATCCTACCCTCCCTTCCCCGGGCACTCGCAAGGGCGCAGCCACGGCGGCCACACGGCATACAACCTCCCATCCGTCGGGGGCCCCATCGTCGGCGCCGTCGCAGCCGAAGCCGAAGCCGCCCTCAAAATAACCACCAACGAAGCCGACTCCCCTTCCGACCTCCTCGACAACAAACTGCTAGGCTTCAGCCCGCCCATCCCCTCCGGGCAGGCCACCCTCATCGACTCTGAAACCGGCCGGTTCGCCGACCTTAACATGACCGCCGAGCTATACGGCATGTTCTTCGTCGCCGAGGACGTGTTCGCCAGCAACACGCCGGAGCAGGGCCAGGCACAGCACCCCGGCGCCAGACCTTTGGAGTTGACGTGTTATCGAAGGAATCTGTGGCAGTGCACGGGGCAGGTTACCCTGCCTAGACATGCGCTGCATTGCTCGCTTTTGATAGATGGGGAGCAGCAGGGTGGGGGGAGACAGGTGCCGATAAAAGAGTTGTGGGCGTCGATTACGGCTGCGGAGAGTATTGAGGGCAAACAGACGGAGATTATCAGCATCCCTTGGAAGAGCAGTAATCCTGCTTTGGCGGCGGGAAATGGGCAAGGAGGACAACAAGCCCCAGGACCGCAGGAGGAACCATCGAAAACAGCGACGACGCCGCCGAAGCAGTTACTCGACTTGTCAGCAGGCCAGGAGGTAGATGGGAGCGGGAATCGGGTGTCGATACCGGTGTCGTGGAAGCGGTTGCAGTTTAAGCATGCTACGGCGAATAACGGACGGCGGAAAGGGTTGCAGCAGCATTATGTTGTGCAGATTAACTTGTTGGCGAAGACGAGCGAGTCTGGGGACAAGTTGATCAAGTTGGCGGAAATTCAGTCCGGCCCGGTGATTGTGAGGGGGAGGAGTCCGAGGAATTTTGATAGTAGGAGGGATGTTCCGCTGACGGGCGATCGGAAGGGGATGTTGCAGCGGACGAGTACGGAGGGGTCTGTAGGTGTTGGTGTTGGCGCTGGCGGGAACGGCAGCAATGGGAAACAACAACTGCAAACGCAACAGCAACAGCAACAACAGGGTATGGATCGATCGGAAATGCTCCAGAGGTATCACTCCTTAGGGAATCAGGTGTGTTTCCACTGCCCCCCTCCGGTACTTTTTCATCCCCTTCCTCTCCCCATCATCACGTACTAACTCCCGTCCGTCCAAAGCCATCATCATCAGCCTGGTCCTCAACCCCCACCCCTCAATCCTTCAGCACCTCACCCAACCCTCAACAGCAACAACACCACCCCAACAAGAAACTAGCCATGTCCGTTTCTCCGAACCCCGGCTCCCGACCACCAATACCATCGTGGGGATATTCCCCCTCAGACGTCAACAACAACAACAACAACAATAACGCCCAAAACAACGGCCCCCGAAGAAAGCTGACTCCCTCAGCTACCACCCACAAAACTCACCACCGCAGCACCTCTTCCACGACTTCAATACCGATGATACCGACTGCTCTGCCGATTAGTCTGTCTCTATCGGAGGACGAACAGCAGCAGAGGAGTCCGCCTATGAATAGAACGAACTCGGGGTCGGGTGATAATATGAGAAGCCCGTTGTATCCGAAGTCGGGTGGTGGTGGTGGGTTGAAGCAGGAGGGTGGGAAGGGGATGGGGATGGGGATGGGGATGGGGATAGGTACTGGTGTTGGTTTGGGCTTGGGCGGCGCAGCATCTGGGACGGGAATGCACAATACGAAGAGCGAGAGTCTGAACCAGAGTAGTCAGAAGGAGAATGTTGTTGGAAGTCCGTTGGAGGCAGCGGATTTGTTGTATGAGTACTTCCCGCTGAGTTTGGATGATTGGTTAGTTTTCCTCTTCTTCTTCCCCCTCTCTTCTTCTTTTTCTTCCCCCCCTCCCCCCTCCCTTATCTTATCTATCCGTCCTTCAGTCCTCCGACGGACCATGTCTATATACAACAACAACAACAACAAACAGACATGGCTAGCTAACCTTGGTACTTTTAATTTTTTTTTGTGTGTGAACAGGATGCCACCAGTAGACGCAGTCTACCGCCCCCACGTCGTTCACCACACCATCGTCCCGCCCGAAGTCAAGGCTCAACAAACGAAAAGCAAAACAAAACGATATTTTGCTGCGGAATGAATGACATCTTATTTGTCTCTTATCTGTGTTGTCGAATGATTTGGTTTGGTTTCATTTCAGGTTCTGCTTTGGGAGTTTGGGTTTGGGTTTGGGTTTGGGTTGGGAGGATGGATACCTATCATCGTCGTCATTGCACAGCTGGAAGATTGTGCCCCTTTTTTTTTTTTTATTCTTGTGTTTTGTATTTGGGAGATACCTAATGTTGTCATGGGAAAAACGGGCTATGCTATCTATCATCGGAAGTGGAATACACGATACGATACATCACATCACATCACATCACATATATGCCTGGACTTCCTGTAAAGAACAATGGGAGGTCATATTCTATGCTATGTGCTATGTGCTTGCCTTCATCCTCAAACCGTGTCTTGGACAACACTACTTGACAAGAGATAACTGTGTCTTTAATGAGGCTTCAACCCCAAGGCAAGTCCCATCTCGGTTTGACACACACAAACTTGACGATCCTTCGTCGTGGTATTTCAATTAATCGTTCTTGGGTCATGGAGAATTATCAAGGAGCGTCATGCATGTAGCCTGGCATTCATCCATCCCGAATCTCCAGTCATCACCAAGTCAGTGACAACCAACCCCCGTCTCAAAATGCGGTATTCACAACATCAGCCAGACCCATCCAAGTCAAAAGTTGTCAAATCATGTTTTTATCATTTTTTTCTCCTAATTTCGCTATTGAAGTAACCAAAACCGCCTTGTTCTTGTTTCCCACTTTTACTTTTCCCCTTCTCATTGCGCGCGATATCGGCAGTCTGCCATCTCTCATCAAGTCATCAAATGGTGTCGTTCATCATCCAGAGTGCATGTATGCAGTACAGACAGACAGAGAGAAAGAGCCAAGAAACAGACGAGAAAGAATGCAACAAATCGCTGATGAAATCAAAAGCCCCCAAAAAAGCAAACGCTTCGTTTTATCCAGAGACGACACAGCAGCTTTTTCTCTTTTGGCCTCCCAACATGACCTTGTCGACTTCCCGTCACTTTTATACTCCAGTTCCATCTCCACACCCAGTTGGCAAGCCTAGATATAGTACATGGAATTCCTAAGGTTGGGGTGAATAGCCCCGGCGCTGCCATACTGTGCGAAAGCATCGGCCTTGACGCTTTCGTTGTCATCGATGGCGTCAAAGAGCTCCTTCTGGTGAATACGCGCCCGGTCGCACACCAAGTCGGCATAGTACGCGGGCGGGCAGATGCTGACGGCCTTGGTGGCTCGCCCAAAGAGATAGCACATGTCGTGCGTCAGTTTCTCCAGCATGTCGGCCGCCTCGTTTCCATAGTCGGCCCTGAAGATCTCATCCACCAGAACCGTGTAGTGAGCCGAGCGGGCCGTGCCCTGAAGCGACGCGTGCGCCTGCAGGAAGAAGTCCCAGTAGCGGACGTTGGTCACGCCGCGGTCAACAACGGTACCCTCTTTGGGGCTCTTCGACCTCAAGTGAATGTGGTTCGGGTCCGTTGGGAAGAAGCGAGTCTGATGGCGCTTGACAGAGACAATCAGCGTAATACGCGGTAGCTTGCCGGCTGGATACACAAGCTTGCAGGCGGCGCGAACCAGGGGTAGTTCGTCCTTGATGACCATCTGAAATTGTCCCTCAGAGACGCCATCGCGGAAAATCAGGATATTGTCGGGGAGAGTGCGGTTGTTCACGGGATTGCTGCGCCACAGTTCCAGACGCGTCTTGAACTTCTCTGTAAATTGTTCGGTCATGGATTCCTGTCCGTGGGGGTTGTTCCAAACCATTGCAGGCCATTGTCCAAGGTGGCTGTCGATCGTTGAGACCAGGCCGACGATACTGGGAGCCGATGCAGGCGATTGTCCCGCCGATAAATTGGTCGGATGGGTAACATCATAACCAACCACCATGGTCTTCCCCTTGGCGAGCAGAGGAATTGGCGTCTTGATATTGTGATTCGTGCCGCCAAACTTGAGGTTGATCTTGAGGCCCACGTTGGCAAAATACCCCAGCTGCCCCTTTGGGTTAAGAAGCTTATCGGCTACCACGCAGACCGTATGGACGCCATATGTAATATCGGCAGCCCGCTTCACCCAATTGTAGAGCGTAACGTCCTTTTTGGGTAGAAGAACCACAATAAATTGGGTCTGGGTCATGATTGCCTTCACGCTGGCTACAAACTCTTTCTCGCTCCCTGGAATCGCAAGGGATTGGCCTGGCGGGAAGTTGGGGTTGATCGGGATGCCCGTGATGTTCAGGAATCTGGCAAAATCTGTCATAGCTTGCGGTACCATTGCGTTGGGCACGGGATTGACGTTGGGGTTCCGCTTTTCCATCAATTCCAAGTACGTCCACTTCTCAATCTTGCGGCCAGCTCTGGCCACCTTGACTTGTTTCATCAACCACCCGCCATCGTTCGCCTGTACCATTTTGTCACCGTGGTACGTAAGCACCGGAGGCTGGAGCTCACGTCCGACGACGGTAAGCAGCTCCTTGTCGACCGAGACCTTGAACTTGCCAAGCGTCAGGCTTTTATCAAGACCAAGGGTCTGTCTACCTTTCGTCACGATAGACTGGGCGTTCAGCGAAGGAGCTCTGCACGCAAACTTGATCATGGCGTCCGCTTCGTTCGCGTTTAGTTTAGTCTTGACGGAGCGACCTTTGACCAGCGTACAGAGCTCGGCCAAGACGTAGATAGCCTTTTCTTTACTGCCCACGTTGACCAGAGGAAGCGAAGGATTTGCTGCCAATCCGTACCGTTTTTTGTAGTAATCCGCTACCGTGATGTACGCGTTGGTCGGCAGGCCGGGGACCGGAGGAGGGGCAGAGCCACTCTTTGTCTGTGGCGCACGCAGGTAGAACTGAACAGAGGCCGGGCCGCCCATCTGGAGATTGGGAATCCCGAACAGTGGTGGATGGGGGGCATCGCCATCCTTCTTTGGCTTCACCACCCTTTCGTCGCTACGGTTCGCAATGCCGTTGAGCGTGCGGTGACATTTCTTCCAAGCAACCTTTCCATCAGCGATGAATGGGAGGTTTACCTCAACGCGGGCTTTCGCCAGGACCTTGTGAACTCTGCGCATCTTGTTGTTGAGCCTTTCTTTGTCCCCTTGGCTCCAGGCGTGGCATTTGTCCATTACGTCAAGTCCAAGTTCCTGGAACAGCTGTGCAAGTTTGATGCCAGGACGGAAGACGCCATGCGTGATGTTGGTATTGAGCAGAAGTCTTCCGGTAGCTGGACGGACGCTGGCAAAGTATCCACGCAAGATGACCAAAGGGGAGTCTTCGGGCCGCTTTTGTTCAACGAGGTCATCACCGAAGGCGAAAAACCTTCCCCTTCCCACCACCGCAACATTTTCGTCGGCGCGGGCATGATGAGTGACGATGGTGTTGAGGGCATCGAGTTCCACATTGTATTTGGGGAAATCTCCGTCGAGCTTGGGATCAAGCGTCGTAAGCTCGTTCAGCACCTTGCCGAGGTCGCAGTTTTCGACACTCTCCTCAACCTTGACAACCCAAGTCTGGGGCTTATTGGCCAAGTTCTGGTTGGAACTCGGCTCGGTCCATGTCACCTGGAAAATGCGGTTCTCGGGAACCTTGAGCTTCGTTGCCGTCACCAGGTGCACTTTGAAATCGCTGGCAATCGCCACGGACTGTGCGTCGGCGCCAATCTGCTCGAGCAGTTTCCCAATCACCACCTCCACTTTCTTCGATGCGACCTCAGCTTCCTTTCCGAGCATTTCCTCGCTGGCGGCAACTTTGATGGTGTACCTGTAGACCGCTGGTGATTTGATGTTGATTTTGAAGTAGTTGGCCCAAAGCTTCACCTTCCCGCCCGTTGTGCCATGGCCAGGGCGAACCGGCAAGTTGTTGGCTTTCTCCTTGTCGCTGAGCGAAAGCTTGCTCATTGAAGTGACCAGATTGTTGCTGACATGCTTCTTGATCCAGTCGTCCTCGAGTTTGGTGATCTGGGCGTCGGGCTCAGGGGCACCACGACCGTCAATTCCCCTAAAGTCAAGTTAGCATCATGTTGAATGGTACAAAAATGGAGAGGCACCTACTTGTAGACATCAGGAGCAGGGGGTTCTCTTGGTTCGAATCCTCCCCCTCCCCGTCCTCCGCCACGGCCACCACCACGGCCACCACGGCCGCCGCCGCCTTGGTAACCGCCGCCACGGCCACCCCTATCACCGCCGCCTTGGTAACCACCGCCACGGCCACCCCTATCACCGCCGCCTTGGTAACCACCGCCACGGCCACCCCTATCACCGCCGCCTTGGTAACCGCCGCCACGGCCACCCCTATCACCACCGCCTTGGTAACCGCCGCCACGGCCACCCCTATCACCGCCGCCTTGGTAACCACCGCCACGGCCACCCCTATCACCACCGCCTTGATAACCGCCTCCACGGCCTCCACGGTCACCAGCACCGCCGCCGCGACCGCCTCCGCCACGACCTCCACGACCGCCACGATTGTCAGACATGATTGTTAGACTTGTGGTAGTAGTGGTAACAGATTGTCGAGTAGATCAACAAGGCACGAGCTTATTCGGCTGGTTGGCTGTTGTTCGGTTCGGTTCGGTTCGGTCGATGAGATCGTTGGTTGAGCAGAGAGGTGAGCAAAGAGGATAGGCGAAGGGAAGAGCTTGTTGAAATGGTATAGGGTTGGAGAGGTGGATGACTGGATGTCGGATGACTGGACAAGCCAAAGGATAGGTAGGTTGTTTGTCGTGGGAGGGTGGTGTTTGCCAAGAGAGAAATACCACGGATGGTTTTCAACTTGGACTTTGTTATAAGCCGCTACTGTGTCGCACTCCGGACGCAAAAAGAGTAATCGAGCGAACGACTACTCCAGTGCGGGATTACTGGTAGTAAATGATGATGTTGTTGTTGTTGTTGTTGTTGGATGATGTGTCGATATCAGAAAATGATGATCGGTAGGTCTCTGGAGCGAAAGAGAGAGAGCGAAGAGGTGATTGCCAAGGTCATGATAACCAAAGCAAAAGAAAAGATGTGTGCTACGCGGATCCGCGAGCAAAGATGATAAGGCTGACGATTGTAGGCAGACAAGGTGTAGAGAAAATGGGATGCTTGGTGGAAATTTTGCGAGAGGATTGTCGTGGAGGTGGTGTTCTATTTAACAGCACCGCAGAGCAGCAGAGGAACGCGCCCGCTGTAGCTCCTGAGCTTGTAGCTGCCCGATGGTTGAAGGTCCCCACACGAGTACCTTCTGCACCGAATCCTCGAAGCTAGCAGGTGGGAATGCGGGGGTTTTTTTACTGCGGCCAGCAGATGGGTCAGGTGTAGCCTGTAGGGACTTGATTAACAGGAGGCAGTGATCAACTGCTGGAAAGGAAGTTGTGGTAGGACAATATCTATTTACTGTGATAAACGGCTGTGGAAGCGGAAGTGGTGAAGCCATTCACCGGGCGGGAGCTCCCACCAAGAGGGCAGGATGAAATGAATTGCCCCTCATTTCTTTCCCCAGAGCCTCGTTGACCGTTACACTATCACTGCTCTGACTGCCTCCGAAAACGCAGGAATCAGTGACTCAAACTCGCTGCTGCAAACGAGCAGTGGGTTGGACTGAGCGGCGAGAAACAAGCAAGCAGATTGGACAGATCATTGTTACCCTTTGGGCCTCCCGCAGGAAACAGGTCAAGTGCGGCGACGTGGTGGTTGATGAATAGCCATCAGTGCTCCCATGTCGAAAACACCAAATCACCAATGTGTAAAAGAAAACGCAAAGAGCGATGATGATGATGATGATGTCGGAATCCTCTTGTACAACAGAGAGAGACTCGCTTGCTCAATTGACTGTTGAGTTCAGCAGAAATGACAAGAGCCACGATGTCTTTGCGGACTCACTGAGGTGTCCGAACGTACAAAGAAAACCTCGAGGCAAAGTGCAACCGACGAGTAGAACTGTCCATGGTTGATTGACTCTTGCACATCATGAAGTTGTCAATGGCAATTGCAATCAACAGCCCAGACACCGTTGCCGTCTCGCAAATCGCAAATCGTAATCATAGAAGCAAAGAGCATACGGCAACCAATGACAAAATGACAACATCATGTGCAGGCAGGCAGGCTCGCAGGCGGGGTTGACAAGCTGGAAACTAAAAGGAAGGAATGAGAATGGCACCCGGGCGCCGGGGCCCGGGGGCGACCGATGACGATGAGGCCTACCGTCGTACCATCACTCCGTCCCGTTGATCATCACCGACTTGTCGGGGGAAGAGCGGCACTATTAAATGGTATCACAGCTACAGTCTCCAAGCCAGGGCAGGGTAGCTCAAATGTATGGCGATCAGTTGGGGGTCAGTTACAATGAAGGAGCTCGTGTCGGTGGATGGCAATTGCCGCTCAAGCCAAAAGGCGATGGATGGGACGGCGATTGACGTTGGAACCTAGTCTCTGCGGTCGTCGTCGACTCGGCCGTCGGTGATCACCCGGAACATGCATCAACCACCTCACTGGATGAAATTCTTGGTACGGTCCCACTTTTCCGTCCCTACTCCCGCTCCCGCTCCCGCCCGGGCTCCCGCTCTCGTCCCGGTCCCGTTGGGCCGTGGGTGATCCCCGATTCCAGTTCGAACCTCCGGAGGGGATCGGGGTAGTGTGTGTGATGGAAACTGGGTTTCATCCGATCTGCCACGGCTCCAGCTCCGCTCGCTCTGTTCCGTTTCATCCTCTCAAACTCACCGTGTTGTTTGGTTTCGTTTCTTCGATTTGATTTGTTTTGTTTTGTTCTGTTTCGTTTCCTCCGTCACAAGCGGAGCCTGAGAGCCTCAGTTGCATCATGTCGTCCTGGAGCCGTTCCTCACACCTTACAGTACCCACGAACGTGATAAGCGCTCCGCCTCGTCTATCTCATGTTCTGATCTCCTGTTTAGCCACCGTAGCGTTTGACGATGAGATTTTATCTTGTCGCCATCTAACGAGCATTTATTTACTCACGACCATCGGAAAAATAGAGTGCAGTACAAACTCAATTATCATTCTTCTAAACCTAAACACCATGCCCTAGTTTTTCCTCCCCTTGACCCCTTTTCTCCTTCCATAACTACCTACCATAGCAAGATAAGATCTAAGAGCATACGCAGAACTCCGCCGCTTTCAAAAAAAAAAAAAACCTTTTAAAACCCAATTTGACAAAAAAACGTAAACGTAAGCGTTTTTTGGGGTATATCCACGCCCAATATGCTCGGAGGACAGACAGCTAGCCTGCTTCTAAACTTCGTATTCGTGCATGCAAAGCTGATGACCGCCGCGACACACTGGATGCGTGGGATACACATTTGCGAGCGAGGACACAGCAAAATCTGGCCACCGCCGCCATTGGATAGATACCTCAAGGGTAACATTTCATTCTGAAATCCTCCTTTTGGTCCATGATCCATGATTTGATAGTATAGCAGTGACAACAACAGATGAAGAGAGAGGTACAGAGAAAAAAGGAGTAGATATGAACCAGGACTAAAGGTATTTGTCTTCACCGTGGCGCAAAGCAAACATAACAGTAAACAAAGCGAGGAAGTGGAGTAGCGTGGGTGATAAGATGAGTGGTATGGCAGTAAATTCAACGACATGAACAAGAAACGAAAAATCAATGTGTAGATTCAGGGGGCGATTTAAACTTTGGTAAAGGGGAAAAACCTGACACGTCGCCAAAACACCAAATGATTTTCAACCATACCATAACCCCAGACAGATATAAGCCAATAACGTGGAAAAACAACTTAAAGCAATCGCAAAAGGGGATCACCAAAACCTAACACCCCCCTTCCTCCCTCTCCTCACAATCACTCATACTCCCATACCCGGGGTCATTTTCCATGCCCATGACCGACTTGGTAATCGACAAACACCTGCCAATCATCTTCTGCCTCATCTTCCCATCCAAGCCAACCTTCTCGCCCTGCGAGCTTCCGACCCAAATCCTCAGCGCGCCAGCCAAGCGTTCCAGCGCACCAGAGCACTGCTCCCTGCAGACTGTGTGGCGCTCCAGCAACTCCATCAGATGATAAGCCGCGGTGCACGCCAAGAGGGACATACCCTCGTGCTTAGACTGGTCCGTGCCACCGGGGAGGATCGAGTTGATGAAGTCGATCGCCTGCTTGGGCGGGTCGGAGAACTTCTGGAGGTGGGCGATGCGCATGGCGTACTGGAGGGCCAAGAGGGCGTCGTGGTCGGGAACGATTTGGGCCATGGGGGAGTCGATAAGCGGGGGGACGCCGCGGCCGTATTCGGGGTGCTTGTCGGGGTTGAGAGAGGGGTCGGAGGCCTTGAGGGCGGCGGCGATGCTGACGCCACGCTTTTCGGAGACGAGGACGGCGCGGGCGATGAGGGCGCGCAGGTAAGCGTTGGAGCCAATTGGGGCGATCTTGACGGCGAGGGCAATTTCGTCGATGGTTTCCTTGGTCGCTTCGGTGATGCCGTCTTGGGCTTTGGCGAGGCTGGAGAGGAGGAGGTGCTGGAGGATGGAGCTGGAGTACCAGGCGGCGACGGCGTCCATGGGGGAGCGGACGGCGGGGTCTTCAACGACGATGTTCATGCCGTCGGTTCGGTCTACCAGGTTGAAGGTCGTGGGGCGGTTGAAGGCAAGGTTGTGCGCTCTCTGGACGATGCTATCGTTGAGAACGTCATCACAGTCCTGCTCCAACAGAGTAGCAAGATGCTCGGGGAGGACATCTTCAGGGTTAGTAGAAGTTCGCTGAAGGATCATGTTCAGCTGTCTGGCCTCATTCCATCTCGACCTCGCAATCTTCGCTGCAGGAAGGTTGGCAAGCGAGAACTTGCCGGAGAACTGCCAGAGCAGAACACGAGTGTGAAGTGCCTTGAGCATCAAGCGAAGGGGAGTGTCCGGGAGGGTGCCCGAAGCGAGCAGCGTGAGAGTGAGACGGCTCCTATTGATCTCGACATCACCGCCGGCAAGCTGGGCATCCAATGCAATGGTCCAGGCCTTAACACGAGCAGCCTCCTGTTCCTCACTAAGTCCCGTCATCCACAGATATGTCCGTGCACCAAACACATTGCGAAGAGTGAACTTGAGCGTCTTGAGTAACAAGGCAGCAGCTTCGAGCAAAAAGTTGTGTCGTGGTACCCAGACGGTTTGGATAGCCGTGAGCCAGGCCTGTCTCCTGACATGAATTGGCGAGGCGAGCGAGGGCACGGCCTCCACCGCCGAAGTGGGGCCTTTTGGCTTCTCCGACTTGGGCGCGTCGAAAACGTTGTCGGGAAAGAGCGCCCATACGAGAAGAGCGCCAAGCAAAAGAAGCTTGAGCTTGGCCATAATTTCAATGGCCGAGATGTAATAGCCACCGACACTGAGATGCGATGAGCGAATGAAGGATCCAATAAGCCGTAGCGGCAGAGCGTAGAGACCACGTCCCTCGGTGGTTTCGTTGCTGGTTTCGTCCTCCATGAAAGCCTCGACGAGCATCAGTCCGGCCAGCGAACCAACCATCATCTTGCCGAGATAAGGATTCCACCGCCCCTGCATCTGGTGTTGCTGCTGTTGTTGTTGTATTTGTTGTCTGCGAATGACGCCCGGATTTGGCACGAATCCCGGCTGCATGGCCGGCGGGCCCACTGGGTACGGTCGTCCAGCGTTCATCTGTTGAGCCGACAAGATGCGCTTCATGTCGTCCGGTATCGGGATTAAGCCCGGAGGATCCGGACCCCGAGGCGTGTGCATCGGGGTGCTCATGAACGCTGAGACGTCCTGAGGGTACTGAATTGGCGTAGGCGGAGCTTGCATAGGGTTGGTCATGCCGGTCATTGCACCGGCCATGAATAGCTTCTCGAATGCGGCAATGCGGGCCTGCATGCTGTTGTTCTCCTCAATCAACCGGTTATTCCGCTTCTCCAAATGTCGGATGTATTCCGTCGCTTTGCTCAAAACCTGTAGAGGTATCTCGCATGTCAGTAGCATGCCCCTGAAGTGTGCATCACGCAAGTACAATCCTACATACCGTAGCTTTATTTAACTTGTGAGCTGGAGTCAATCCATGAAGTTCCTCCCTATCTTCCGTTGTATCTTCTCCCCTAGCACTCTTTGACATGATTCTCAAAGCAGGCACGCTATCTCTCAACGCTGCTATCTTGTCATTCAGATTTGTCCTATACCTCTTCTCAATCATGTTATGCGCCGTCTTCTTTACAGGCTGATGTCCATCCAAATCATCGTCATCGTCATCCTCGTCGACTTCGGCCGAGGACTTTCGTTTCCTACTATTTGGCTTCGATGGCTCCAGGCCGTCTGGTGATGAGGCGGAGCCCTTGTCGTGGCCCATGCTGGCATTGGAGTCGGGGCTGCCGGCGCTCCTGGGCGAGTGGTATTGGAGGTGAGGCGGCATGGCGATGGTCTTGAGCCTCTCTTGCTGGGCTGGAGTCAGCCTGTTGCGGATGTTGGGGTTGATGTTGGTGCGGACGGAGATGGGTTCGGCCGATTGTTGCTGAGGCGACGGAATGGAAAGGGCAGCGGCATAGATGCCGGGGTCGATGCCAGCACCGGTCGTATCGGGATAGAATTGGCCTTGTTGTTGCTGCTGTCCCTGTTGTGGGAGGCCAAAGTGGACGGGGAGGTCCCAGCTCTGAGGGATGGGCAGACCGTGCGGCACAGGGCCAAAGTTGAAGTCGGGGCCGGGATCAAACGGAGGAGAGTCCCCAAGGGCCCAGTTGGAGATGTTGTCTTGATTGAAGTCGAAGGCCTGCTGCTGCTGTTGTTGTTGGTACTGCTGCTGAGGGCTGATGCCGTTACCATTGAAGGCATTGGGATGCTGGTGGTGGCCTATCGGGGGGGAGTTGTTGGGATCATGATGCTGCTGAGTCGGCCCACCGGTTGAGGCTCTCGATGTGTCGGCCAGGGAGGAGGGTATGGAGGTTCCTCTTTGGGAGGTGGGATCGGGGGAAGTGACGGCGTCGTTAACGTTGTGACCGTTCAGGGAGCCGTGGTGTGCGAGCGTGGGCTCGCTCAGCTGCAACGGGGTGCTGATGTCGAAGTTGTCCAGACCTCCTTGGAACAGGCCGGGCGAGTCAGCATCGGGATCGGCCATTTTGCTTTGGATGCACACTGGCAAGTGCGGCCGCCGGATGCTGGTATTCGGGAATGCTGGCTGATGCCGGATCTGATTGCTGTACCCCAAGACCCCTCAGCTCAGAATTGTACAATGATGGGCTGTTGCATGCAGGCGGGCTGTGAACTATCGAGCCCTTCCCGTCCTTGCGTGGTGTGTTTGGCAAGGCGCAAGGTATGAAAGCGGCCCGGGGTTGGCGTGTGCGCTCGGTCGTCTCCAGTCCTCAGGTCGTCTCCTCTTTTTTTCCCGGTAGGGGCCGATAATGAGCGATACCCGACTGTTTTTCCCCTTTGCTGCAATTTTTTGGGTTTGCGATGCCGAGCGGGAAAGTGCGTCTATTCCTGCTTCAAGAATTGGGGATCGTGAAATTCCCTGATTGGAGACAAAACCAAACCGAAATCCAATTTCCCCGTATGTGCGTTGAAACTGCGTTGAAAGAAAGAGCGACCTTGCGTGTGCTGGTCCGCTCCGTTATCCGCACTTGCACCACAACTTGCGTGCTTCCAATGCCGGCCGAAGGGGTAGTATGCAGCAAAAACAACAATAACAACCGTTTTTGTCGCACACCCGCTTGACGTTAACAGCTATACTCTTTTACATTAACTAAACCCACGACAACAAGCTCGATGTTTCTTGAGGCCCGACTCGACTCGACAAACCCGAGTCTCGCTCCTTTCGTCGAGAAGAACAAGTCGCGAATAGAGTGGGGTACCTCTACCTGGTTTTCCCCAACACACTTCGTTTCCGAGTCTTCTAAACACTTGGTCCTTTTCCCTGTTTCTTGGCTTCCCTCTGACGAAGTGGGCCAATGATGAGATGGCCGGATGGATGAATGGATGGATGGATGGATGGATGAATGGATGGGTGGATGGGTGGATGGTTGCCGGGTCCGGGACGGGTCAGGCGCTGGGCTGTCAGGGAGCTTGGACCGCGTCTTTCGGTTTGGATAGTGTCGACAATTGACTTCTTCGGTCGGTCTGGCGTCTCTGGCTCACTCGCACGCGCTCTCCCTCTTTCTCCCGTCGCAAATGTCGAATTGTTTGGGTGAGCTGATGCGCGGAGGGAAAGAGTGGTGTCGGGAGTGGAAGGGCGATGGGGTTACGGGTGGGACGATTTAAGCCAGAATCGTATGATGATCATGGAAGGACTGACGGCTGGAGCCGAGCCCAAGTGCCCGCAGGAATTCGGGGGGCACCAGGCTTATGTAACCACTTGGATCACTCGTCTCTCTCCCACGGAAAGACGAGACAAGGAAACAGGAACGCCCGGGGCAGGAAAGGGCTCCAACACCAACACAGCCGGCGACGGGGTCGCCAAGAGTCGGGACACGTGCAACCAACAAACGTTCTGTCACTGAGTGGGTCTCCACAAGAGGCCACTCCACCCCGGAAGAGGCCCAAAACCAAGGAATGTAGCCAATCATTGTCAGCCAAAGCAGGGCAAAGACCCCACTTGCGTATCGATAGAAAACGGCCTTTTTGGACGTACCTTGTTAGCGCCTTTTTGATTCGAAAAGTCATCAACTTCAAGTTGTTCGGGTCAAGAACACTTACTCCAGTCAACAACAAAAAGCTAGACTAGCAGCAAGAGGTGCGCCAACGATCCGGGAATTGGCCAAAATCGATTCGGGAGCGGTGGTAGGGATGCTGGGGGGAGACAGATTATATACTACGAAAATTGCTTTTCCGGTCGAGTTCCTCCGTCCCCATCGCCTTCAGGTTTTGTTCTGTGTCCTTGTTCTGTGCCATGGTTTTGATGACTAGTTGCAGAACCAGCGTGCGTGACCGAGGTACCTCTACAGACGCACGACTGCCCTGCGACTGCCCTGGGTTTTGCAGCTCCCAGCATGCATGCATGCTTGTTTGTTGTTCGACAAAATTACCGGAAACAGGTTAGCTCGGTCTGCAGGCTGCAGGGTTTGCTACCTTGACTTTGCGATTGAATTGGATTGGATTTGCGCTAGAACATCTCGAGAGGGAGCCGGTGGACAACAACCAGTGCAATCATCACGCATCACCGCCCCCCGCAAAAGTTATCTCTGGGAGTCGGGAGTCGCGAGTCGGGTCGATAGAAGGGACGGAACGTCGAAGGTCGAGGGTTCGCGACGATCTATCCCCCTGGCTCTTCTCTCAACATGGTTCCTGCTTTTCAACGCCGTCGGTCCGCAGCAGATCGAACACAGGGCAGAGCCGGGCGGTATGTAGCAGATGATGGTTTCACGAACTGTGTCTCACTGTGATGGGAGGACAAACTCTATCCAAGCAACAAATGGAGCTATCTATCGATAAAATTGTTATCATCACAGCCTGGATGGATTTCCCATCCCCCATCCCATGCCATCCCGCCATTTTCCCATCCAATATCGGAGCACCATCTCTATGCGGAAGACTACCTTTCACATCCATCATATTTCTTCAGCACAGAAAGCACAGATTACAGAAACGCCCCGGCTTTCCCAAAAACATTTCGATCAAATCTCGGGGAATTCTTGGGAAAGCAATAACTTGATGACAGGGTTTGCCGAAGCTACGAGAGCTATCATATCTGGCATAGTATCCCCAAATATCCCAACCAACGCAAACTCGCATTCGCACCGACAACAGTGACACACCAGGAAAAGGGGTCAACCTGGGTTTGTCGGACTCTTTTCGGGGTGCTCAATTCTCGACTCTCTTTTTCCGCCTTCTCCGACTCCCACGTCGTCGCCGGTCGGGCCGTCCAAAAGGGGCAACCTTAAAATGGAGGGTACACCGGTAGGGTGGCAAACAAACCAAGACAACACAACTCGACAACCAAAACCCCAGACCGGACCAACAAAATCTGAATTGTCTCGTGCGACACCACTATTTGCGACTTGGCGACCTTTTGCGACTCGGCTCTTCTATGAACACAATATTTTCGGGGCCACAAAACGGCGAAACGGCTCTCTTTGGTAACTCTAGGCGAAACCACGTGTAGTGCATATGAATTGCACTACGTAAGACCCGACTCCGTGGCATTCAAGCCGAGTTGTCTGGGCAACAGCACACGCATACGCCGCCGCCGCCAATTCTTCATGAAATTTGAGAATCGAAACTTCGTCCTCGGGGAGCAGAGAAGAAAGGCAGGGAGGGCTGCAGTCAGCCTTTCACCCTCATCCTGGGATAATTTGACAGGCTGCCTGCCCTCTGGGGGGCTCGTCTTCAACCCAATGGATGTTAGCCAACTAACAACACCCAAGTGGAAGACACAGCTGTGAGCTGGATGACAGTTCACTTACCTGTAGAGACGTCATATTTCCCATCTTTTTTTTTTTCCTTTCCAGGCCTGCATCTTTTTTCTAGGTCTGTTCGCATCTTTCTTCTCCGCCCCGAAGCTGCAGTATGCAATCCCCCTCCTTGTCCCCGACAAATTCCTTCCAAAACTTCCTGATTTTCAGATCAACTCATCGAGACTGGGCATCGAGACTTACTTATAAGATCTTGAGAATCTTCAATAAAAAGACCCCTGGAACCTACAAGTTAGCTGCAAGCTGCTAGCGGGCGCTGTGCTTGCTGCTGCTGTGCCGCTGGCTCTTGCTGTTGTCACTAGTGTATGAACTGCTACGGGCCGTCACTTTGATAACCCGGAGATGCTGGATGCGATCGATGCCGAATACCCTGATTATGCATAGCCAGCATTCTACATAATTATACATACCATAGAAACTCGAAATTCGCCATCGTCAATATCCTCTTTGAGCGCCGGGCAGAGGGCAGATCTGTACAGAGCAAGCCCGAGTCTGTACGTTGAAACGCACGCAAGTTAAAGTGGTGGGCAATGTCCATGTCCTCGAGTTTTCACTAACAGGACAGCCACATCTGCTGGTGTATGCGTGCTTACGGAGCGCCGCGTTCTGCCCTGCTCGGCGCTCAAAGAGGCGATTGACGATGGCGAGTTTCGCGAGTTTCTACGGTAGGTATGTATACACCAACTTTGCCCTCTAAATGCATCATCAAGGCGTGGTCGCATATCTTATCGTTGTCTCTCACCAAAATGTCAGCTTCTGATTCTGCATACATGGCAGTTAGTGCATAAAACCTGGCTCGTACCGGGGATAGGGAAGCAAGCGCGGTTCCGGTAGGCTTCCGGTAGGGTTCCGGAGGATTCATTCCGGTGCATCTTGTTTCGTCGTTGTTTTTCTTCCTTTAAACTCCACAGGTTGTTTCTTCCACAATGTTTCTTTTTCAATAGTACCTGGAATTGATATCCTAGGAGCAAGGTTGCCCCAGCAATTGGGTTGTGGATGTTTTGATGAAGATGTTTCGAAACTTTTTCTCCAACTTCTCTATGATGTTTTTTTTTCGGAACTTCCCCCATTTCTGCATGCATGCTTGCTGCGATTAGTATGATATCCATGGATCTGTAGTTGTAAGTTGTGACTGCGGCAGCAGCTGTCTATACTGAGCCTCACGGGTATGCACTGGATGCTTCATGTCCGACGCTTGGATGCTTTGCGGATGGTTTCGAGATGCATTGTGGGAGAGACGAAAGATTTTCACCGACATGTACCTAGAATGGATTAAGTACCTTATCTTGCATACCGATTAGGTATCTTCTATACCTCGCTTTCGTGTTTCGTCCTGTGCAGTACATTCGATCTGGGTCAGGTAACTTCTGCACCCCTCTTACAAGTATACCGTATAATCTCGGGAAATTCAGATTCCAGGACAGGCATAATCGTGCGGATTCTGTAGGGTTAAAGGTCTGCCAGTTGCGTTTGGCTGTAGGTACGTGGTTGTAGAAGCAAATGGCAGAGCTATAACCCTGCGTTGCCGGACTGACCTGGAATCTGAATTTCCCGAGATTATACGGTAACTCGAGGGCATATATGAGACACTCGTCCATGGTCCATGACTGTTAACCTCCGGGTACAAACTCAAGCGTAGGTCGGCTGGTCCAGGACGGGAGAGGATTCAATGCGGTAGTTGGGACGAGCCTATGAGCTCATTCAGCTGATGAGAGGTAAGAAGTGGTTGTAAGCAAGAAGACCTGGAAGAAGATCGGTATTTCTCCTTTCCAAAAGCCCACTTGTCACATTCGTCCCGTAGCAATAACTCTGTCCCACTAACAGAGCCGATGCTTTCACAACCAGGAAACCCACCTTCCATGCATCCAAAGGAAAAGAACCAAAATCCGGGATTTCGAACGGTACCTATAGGTACCTATGCAGTACGCAACGAGGTGCTATCAAACCCTCGTCGAGAGTTAGTCAACACAACTTCGACACATGATTTTATGTCAACGTAGGCGGCTCACCTCGGTACCTTGCGGTTGTCATGTCGACCAAATGCTAATCAACGTCATACCGATCATAGATATGGATCACTTGCTCTGTGACGTGATCCCGTTGCGTCCCTGGAAAGCAGAGACCAACTTAAGCCAGGTTATTGAACCGAGTTGGGTTATCTTCCATCTGTGCCCGCATATGTCGAGAAGGACCTGAAGCTGGTAGGGACCGTTCACACCGCCGTGACTCGCGGAAAAACCATTTTCGGGATCTCGCGGACTGCATAGAGCTAACGGTCTGGCAGTTGCGCTGGAGGCCGCCCGAGGAGCTTGTGTGTGGTGATCGCACCCCATCAACCATTCAAATAGGTCTTGCAGAGGTCTCCATCTCCGCGAGGTGATCCCATTGTGCCCCTGATAAGCCTCCGATAAGGCATCCGGGGGCAAAGAGCAACTTATATCCCGGATCCTTCAACCGGTTTCAAGCTTCTCAGGCTCCGCCTCCGGGTCCGGTCCAGTCCGAAACCAGCATGTTGTGGTTATGAAAAAAATTGAAGTCGGGCGTCATCAGCTGCTCTCATGTTATCTCCAAATTGCGTGCATGAAAGCTCGGAAGAAGTCCGCTCGGCCCGATCGTCCAAGAGTATTGAGTGCCTCTAGATCTCAGATGCGGTGGTGGATGTGGTTGGAAAAGAAAGAAGTACAAGAATGCCAGGGAAGTGGAAGTTTTATCCAAGTGTCCCCCATGGAAAGTTTGACCGGACGTCAACATGCGTAACATCGCAGGTTTTACGAAAGCGAAGTGCAGATGGGTTAAGGTACATACCAGGCAAATATGACCTTAACACTTTGGTTTGTCAGTGTAGTGTACGTCCGTTATCAGCCTATCTCCGTGGCTACCTTCGGCGGGAGCTTGGGGACTGTGATCGATATGGCAAGAAGTTCGCTGGCAGCAGAGGCTTAAGTGAACAGAAGGGTGAGGTAACTGGACTCTCCCAGGCTTGACTGCACTGGTGCAGAATTGACGACGACTAAAATGGGATTGGGATCATTCGTCAAGGCGTTGCCGACGGAGGGGGGCGGCAAACTTCGGGACATCGCAAGCGCGACATAGTGAGAAGAAGTGAACTTGAATGGTGGAAAATCCTTGATGTCTGGTCTGGTTGAAAGAAGAAGAAGATCTAAGACGGAGTAGAAATTCTAGGCGGGCTGCACCTTCCATACGTAACAATACATACGCAACTTTATGATCCCGTTCCGAACACCCCCAACCCACCAGGCCGTACGGGGAGGAGGGGGGTGCAGCTTCCGGTCAATTGACCGTCCGTTAGTTTACGAACGGGAATCTATTATTCACGATTAATAAACGTTCGTTCTTTCCAACGTTGTAACTTTTCAACGTTCTAGAACCTCCTGACTATGGAGTAACGGTCAATTGCTTTCGGACGTTTACATTTTCGAACGTTTCCCATAGTCATGTAGTTATCTGACTGGACCGTCAACCGCCATCACACACAGGACGACATCACAGTAGAAGGGAGGTATATGTGAAGTGTAAACCCAGGTATCAAATTGACTTTCCGTCAAGGAAAAGAAACCAAAAAGAGAAAATGGTATAACGGTATGTGTATGTACAACCCAAAGAAGAAGAAAAGAAAGGGAATCAAAAGGGTAAACGAAGATCCTGCTTTATCATCACCATCACCATGCCACGTATCCCCCACCCAAGCATCACCCGTCCATCCATCCATGCGACCATCCAATGTTGTTATCCGATGCTTTCCAAGGTCCATCCCAACTCTTTCATCCAATCTTTTTTTCCTTAAACCCAACCCTCATGCAATCTTTACCCTTTCATCCTACCATCCTATCATCCATCCTTCAGCAACCATCTACCAAATCTCCTCCTCACTCCTCACCATCTCCACCGTAGGCGTCTTCGGCTCAAACCTCTTCATCCTCTTCCTATCCGCCTTGGTGACCAAAGACGGGGTAATCGGCACTACCGGCGAAAAGGGCTGGTAAGGACTATACGGCACGGGCGCGCCGGTCCAGGGCGTCCTCAACCCAGCAGTATTCATGCCCGGTGACAACGGGCCATTAGCCTGCCTCGTGAAGACGGTTTGCTTCGTCGTTTGGCTACCGCTGGTGGGCGAGGCAAGAGAGGGTTCGTAAGCGCGAAGCGGCAAGGCGCCGCCGGCGCGGACGGCAGAGGAGGAGGCGTTCCCGTTGAGGGAGTTAAGAGGGGCCGGAGCGTTAGGGCGGAGGGTGGAAGAAGTTCCAGAGGCGCCGGAGCGCGAAGAGGAGAAAGAAGCGCCTGGTTTGGGAGAGGAGGGGAGGGTACGTGTTGAGTCAAGGCTGGGGAAGCGGTTGACGCCGGGGCGAGGGGAGGAGGGGAGGCCGACAGTCCCGGAGACGAGGCCAGAGGTGGAGCGCTCGGAGACGGCGGAGGGCGGGTCGGCGAGGTAGGCGTCTCCCGTCAGGGAAGAGGCGTTGGAGGCGGCGGAGGGGTCGCGGACGTGCGAGGGGAGACGCTCGTCGGAGCGGGATCCCTCGCGCTGTGGAGGCCGGTGCAGGGCGATGTCGATCCGTTGGTCGATGGATTGAGTGCTTACGGGGGATATGTCAGGGGTGGGGTATTGCCCTTGCTGGCCGCTGTTTTGACGGCGGAAGGGGAGCACGTCCGAGGGGATGGGAGGTGGCTTGGCGGGGGCGTAGTGGCGAGGCGGGATGGGGTTCATCTCTTGCCCGTCGACGTCGGGATGGTAGCCACGGGGGAAAGTGCCGGACATCGGGGTCATGATGGGCGAAGAGATGGAGAGGCCTTGCGGGGCCTTGTTCTTCTTGGGGGATTTGAGGAAGTTGAGGAGAGAGGAGCCGCGGGATTGCTTCTCTTCTTTTTCCTTGGAGAGGTTCAGGTTGGAAGGCTTGTTCTTGCGGATGGTTCCTGGTGCTTGTTGCTGTTGTTGCTGCTGGGAAGCAAATGATGACACCGAGGGCCTTGGTAGGTTTGGTGGTATGTACTGCCTCCCCTCTGCCTTTGCCTCCTCCTGCTCCATCACATGCTTGTACATCTCTTCTAGCTGTTGTTGCGCCATGGCTCTGTCGTGTCGGATTACCGTCTGGTCAACTGAAAGATCGTAACCGGCTGCGAGAACCGTCGAGGTTGGTGAACCAGCAGAGATGACTGAGTGTTGCGACCTGCTTGCGCTAAGTGGTCCTTCTCTGAATCCCCAGTTCCTGTATGGGCTCTGTGGGATCTGAAGCGTTGGAAGTGGTGGCAGGAATTGTCCCTGCTCTTGCTGCTGCTGGTAGAACTGCTCTCCTAGTTCTTGTTGATGGAACTGAGCAAGTGTCTGCTTGAACTCCTCCTCTGTTTGCTGAAGGTATGCCGGGAGAGGGTTGAAGTTGAGATACTTGTCTTCGTCTGGAAGGTCGGCGTTGATCAAAGCTTGACGCCGTCCTTTGGAAAGCACAAGAAGAAGAATGGCAACAATGACCAACGATACCGCGTACGAACCAACAATGCCGCCAATCTGTGCTGGGAGATACGCCGGGTCACGGATAGCACCTCGTGACAATGGAGGGCCGTCTTCTGGTGCCGGAGCGGGATCCCAATCGATGTTTAGTGGGTTGTTGTTGCCTCTCGGAGACAAGTCAGGCTGACCGTTTGATGGTGAAGGAATGGCGAGGCAGAGATGAGGCCAAGTGAGAACGAGTGATGTGGTCAAGAATGACAAGACCCAGGCCGAGTTATACTTGATGTTGTTTCTGCTGATGGAAGTCCTGATACCAGGGGGCATGATGATGTGAGGCAGGATACCGGGAGTGATACCGGGAGTAGTAGTTCCTTTTTGTTTGCCTTCACCTAGATGCTGACCTTTTTGGGAACTGTCGATCCCTCAGGCAGAGTATCCGCTAAAGTGAAACGCAATGTGATATGGACCAGCACAGCATCCGCATGAACAGGAGGTCAACGGGAGGAGGGGCGTCGAGGCAAACGTCTGGGTATATACTGTGGTAGCGGCTGTTGATACAATTCTGGTTGGAAGGGTCGTGAAGCATGTGTCGAGTAGATGAGCACTTTGGTCAATTTTGGAGCGGATTGGCCACTAGCATAGGGGCCGAATTCAGGCACGTCTACCACTTGCATTCTCACTCGTGGCTCCCGCATGATGACCTTCAAAAATAGCTTTGGATGGAGGCCAAAAAATCGGTGGTGTTGATTGGGGTCTTGGTGAGCACCAGAGGTGGTGCTACGCTTGTATGAGACATGATTGGTCGGGTGGACTTGATAGCACCGGAGGGCGAGCGGCAAGGGACTCGACGCGATTGGCTGGCACATGGTGACCACGCCGGCGAGGTTGTCTATCCCCGCCTCCACCCGTTGTTAACCCCTGGCGATTGGTGCTGCTCCCGCGTCCCGTCCTTGGCCTCTCTGTTTTTTCGATTTGGATATGTCTTGTCCCTGGACCCCAGGCCTCGCACGAGAGAGCCTCGACTGTGGCATTCTGTGAAGCGAGGGTGAGGCTCTTCCTTCGAAATAAACTCTTCCAAACCCACCGCCTTTTCCCAGGAATGTGACTCGTGCCTGGCTAGCCTTGACAGGTCCTCCAACGATGAGGCGTACCTTGCAGTGTTCGAGCCTCGTTACCGCCGCGATGGGTCCAGAACTTGTGATGGTTACCAGTGACGGCAGTTGGCCTGAGAAAGTCACAGTGATGGGCACATGTGATAAAAGTCACGACACCACTAGTGAAAGGAGAAGCCAACGGTTATTGATAAAGAGCTCTCTATCCACCAAGCTATCGCCTTGGGTTTGGTGGATGAGCAGTCACTTTGACCAACAATCACACAGCAGCAGGTGATGGTGATGGCCCCAAAGGAAGATCACCATTTCACGTCAGCCGCATGTGCCAATGCCATTTGTTGGTTGAGTCTGGCACTAGAGTCCGAACTGATCCTGATCGATAGCACAATCCTGTCAGCTATATCACGGATGGTGGTGTTCATTGAGCTTGATATTTTAGACGCCCGGATCGCTTTCAACGAGCAAAGCCGTGGAGCGAGTTCATGCTGTTGTCGACCGTGCCCCTGATTCTAGCTGGCCCCTTAAACCACGATGCTGGGTGGAAAAGACTTCGCACCGCGCAGTGGCCGAGATATGATCCGAAGTTGGGTTGAGGGGTCGAGTCTTTGCGATCGAGTTGCGATATTAAAAAGAGGGCTGATACATATCAGATGTTGAACTGCAATGCAACGGTTCGGCACCAGACAAGGTCTGCTTTATCCATGGTGATCGCCATTGGGTCCTGGACATTTGAGGGGTTTAAAGGATAACATGATGATGAGATCTTTGCGTTGGGTTAAGGGCCTGATCGGCTGGATGTGCTTCCGTCGGGAACACGCCTTTTCTATTGCTTTTTGACCGCCAAGATCGATTTTTTTAGGAAGCTAGACCAAAATTAGCAGTAGATTACCGCTGTACGCTATTCTTAACAGCCTGTATACTAATTAGGGTGCTAAATTTTGTACCGTGCTAATACGGACCGTATTACTTCCCTATTTAGGTTTAAGTATCTCAATTTTTCATAGTATTGAATATTATATACTCGATATTCTGCCAGAGTCGACGAAAGCTCCTAGACTATGTTTATAGTCGAATATACGAAGTATACGAATATATAACGAATATAAATATAAAAATCCAGCTAAATTAGTATAGTTACGGGGTATAGTTTTAGTTCTATTGTATTTTAGAATATTTTGTCGTAGGATATTAAAAGCGACTACTTACTATAATGTTTATACAAATCAATTCTTTAAATCCTGTTATAAAATCGATATAGATAGTATCAGAATGCAACACGGGCGCGTATAACCGTAGCACGACGAGTATATACAAAATAATAAAATAACTAAAGCTAAAGAAGGAAAGAGGGAGAGGTTGAGAATTAAGTTCGGTTGAATACCCTTATATAGGGTATATCCAGATTCTGCCAACCTCTACCGCCTTCCTAATCTAATATTACATATAAATGCGATATGCAGGTCGTAGTACTAATTAAACGGTCGCGACGAACTAATTAAATAGGCTTATATATCTTAATTCTAGTTTAGCTAACTAGAGGGCGTACATCCCTAAGAATATAGGTTTTATAATAGGACGAGTAGGGCCTTAGTACTTATATACAGGGTATCGGGACCTATATCGTTATACTACCCCCCCCCCTCCCCCCCTGGGGTTAAGGCTCAGCCTTAGAGCTGAAAAGAAAAAATGAAAAAATTAATTCAAATAGGAATCGAATACTTCCTTCAACTTTATTTCCTTACTATCGCTTTTCTCCTCAATCCTACTCTTAAACCTTCCTTAAGTTTATTATCGTTAATATAGGGCTCTTTATCTCCCGCTAACTAATTAATTAAGCGTTTAGGTAGTTCTAATATTACTAAGTTTATTTTATAATAATCCCTTAATAGCTTTACTACATTACTAAAATTATTTACTAGCTAGAATTAAAAGTCGGGGTCCTAACTTCTTTATTCTACCTAATACTCTAACTTTCCTCTTATAACCTTTAATAAAATTACTTTTAAAACTTCCTACTCTTCTTTATTACTAATTATCTTACTAGTAAGGTTTTCGTTATTTTATTTTAGAAGGGGGTTATTAGGATAGCGTTTTAAATCATTAAGATAGTAAATAATAGTACCCTTCCAAGTTTTAGGGACTTCCAATTCGTATAAGTAACCCTTTATTACTTTAATACAATATAGTACTTAAGTTTATCTTTAATCTAATTTATCGCTAGGCCGGTCTATAATCTAACCTCGCTTAATAATAAAAATTCGATCGCTAATGCTGAAATCGGATTCCCGTTTATCTTTATTCGTTTAAATTATTTATTACTATTAAACCTTTTCGATACTTTCCTATACTATTATATAATACTATTTTAATTAATTTATTTACGGGGTAAGCGTAAGTATACTCGAATTTCCCAATTTAGTATATTAGGTATAATATATCCTATAATAACCTCTTTAGACAATAGCTTTTTTAAATTATTATAAGGAAGGTTTATTTAAACCGCATTTAGTATTAGAATATATTTTAATTAATTGTCTTAATTATAATTAATATAAAGTTTCATTCGCTAATCGATATATTAATAGAAATTCTCTACCTACCTTATAATTTGTAAATATCTTAAAGTAACTAACTTCTATTTAATATTTAAAAGTAATAATATTTCCTATATTATTTAAGATACGAATTAAAGACCGTAGTTGCTAATAATTTCCGTCAGTGAATTATAGAAGCGGTAGGGTCCGCGATAATATAAAATTATTACATCTTTAATTATAATAGAATTCTTATAAGGAATATTCTAATTAGCTTTCGCAAAGTAATCTATAATAATTATAATTATATTATATCCGTAACAGTCTTTTAATATCAATTTAAAATTTATTACTAGCGAATTAAAAGGTTTATATTCCTCGATTAAAAAGATAAAATATAGTAATCTTAGTATTTTATTTCTAAATATTTTAGAATCCTTATATATTTAATAATTATTAATATATTGATTTATATTTATAATTATAGTAGGCTATTAATAACGTTTATATAATACCCTTCTTATTTTATTACAGCCCGGGTAAATAGCTATTACTAAATAATAAGCGGTTTCGATTAATTTAATACAAAGGTTATCTTTTTTAAGGATTACTAGTTTATTATTTTTTAATAATAAACCATCTAAAAAAAAGAGTAAATTTTCTTCTTATACTTTAACGCGATAAATTAAAAAAAATTCTATAGTATAATTAGTTTAAATTAACTAATTTACCATATCGTAATCTACATTTAGCTTAACTAATAAAACCACTTCTTTTATTAATAGGGCTAATTCGTCTTCCCCCTCCGATTTAATTAGTATATCCGCTAATTTATTATTAGCGAAGGTAAAGATATTATTATTAATAGATTTTAATATTCGTAAAGTAAATTAATTTTCCTTCTTATTTTTAACTATTTTTAAATGCTCTAATTTTTGCAATATAACGTTAATAACAACGTTATCTATACTTAGCCGGTATATTATTTTAAATTAATATTTTAATAGGATTTCGGACTATTTTACCTATTTCCCATTAAATACTTATTTTTCGCTAAAGTATTTTAAAATTTAATAATCTATAAAAATTATAAATAATTTTATCCTTTTTAATTCTAACTACTATTATTTAATACCCTTTATAATTACTAGTAACTCTTTATTATAAACCAAGTAATTAAATTTAATAGAATTTATTATTTCAAATAGAACGCTACTAGGTACTATTTACTATCGTTTTAAAACTAATTTATAATATTAGCGTAAACGCTATCGCTAACGTTAATTTCAATTTGGGTCTCCTTTTCGTAATTAAAATAAGACAAAATAGGTACGCTAAAGAAACTCTCCTTTAAAAAAAATAAATACCTCCTTATATTTTTTATTCTAATTAAATACTAAATCCTTTTTTATAAAATTAGTTAACGGCTTAGCTATACAATTAAAATCTTTAATAAACTTCCAGTAGAAATTACAGAAGGCTAGGAATGCTTATATATTTTTTATTATAATCGGGGTCTTCTATTCTTTAACTACTACTACCTTCTCTAAGTCAATTAAAATACCTTTAGTACTAATAATAAACCTGAAGAATTTAATTTTAATTATATTAAATTCGCATTTCTTAATATCGGCTTATAACTTTATTTCTTTGAATTATTATAATACTAAATCGATATATTTATTATAATCTTCCTAATTATTAGAATAAATTAAGATATCGTCAATATAAACGCTATAGAAATTATTTAAATAATTTATTAAAACGTCGTTAATAAATCTTTAAAAAGGTTGTTGCCAAATTTCTTAAATCCTCCGCTATTGAAGTAAATCTTTGTATTACTCTTTTCGGTAAAATTATTATTATTGGGTTGAAAGCTTCTTTTAAAGAAAGGTTTGCTATTATCCTTATTTCCCTAAAAATTAAAATGGACGGCTATTATAGCGTTATTTTCCGTTATGTCATTAGTATTATTAGTAGCGAGATGGGCTAAATATAGACCTTTAATGAAATTTAGGAGTTTATTACGAATAATTAAAAAATTTTCTTTAATATTATTAATATATTAATTAATAGAGTAACTTTTATTAAGTTTAACGTAGTAAGATTTCAATTTGTAATATAAATTATTCTAAAGACGGATATAAAGTCAAAAGTCGGTATTATTCCTTTATAAACGAGCGTATTTAAATAATTCTATAGAAAGATTGTATAAAGCTTAATTGTTTTTCTTATATATTTCGACGGTAAATTTATTCGTATTAAATTATTTTTACGCTTAATTTAGTTTGATGTTGAAAATACGATATAAAGTATGAGTAATATAATTAAATTTTTTATAAAAATTATTATATTCGGTATGAAATAAGGTATTCATTTATTAAGAGAATATAATACTTTATAACAATTATTAAAGATTATTAATTATAATTTTACAACGTTCAGTATAAATAAGCAAAGTATTATTAATTATATTAATAAATAAGTAATAATTAGTATAAACGTTAATTTTACTATTAGTATAGATTCTTTACTTTTTCTTATTATTAAGTGCGTTAAGGAAGAATACGCCGACGTTAAGGAGTTTTTATTAAATAGATTTATTATCAAGAATATTAATTGGTATATTAGATTTCTTATTAAGAATAGTATCATTACGAATTTTAAATTCCTTAAGGCGGTTGTATAAATTTTCCAGTATTTCGCGGAAGGTAGTATTGTTTATTATAGTGTTATTATTATTAGTTTTAACCGATTATTGGGAAGTATTAGAAAAAACGTTAGCGAAATATATTAAAGGTTGTAGAATATTTATAAATTAAATATTTTAGCGAAAAATTAAATGTAATAAGGAAATTTAAATAAGAGGAGTTCGTATAGGGGAAATTTAAATAGGAATTGGTTAGACTAAGGGAAGTATATTTTATTTTTAAATTTAACGAATTTAACAGGTTCATTTAATTAAATAGGTTCGCTATTTAATTTAATAGAATTAATATTTAATTTGTTTTTCGTTGGTAGGAGCGCTTTCTTATTTAGTAAATTCTTTAAGAATTATTTTTATAATATAAGTAGAAATATAATGGTTAGTTAATGGAAATAATATATTATAATAATTGTAGGTAAATTATTAATAAATATTATTGAATAGGGGTAGACGGTTAATATAGTTAATCTAAAGGTTCTTTATTTGGTTAATAAAGTTAATAATATTACGTTAATCCTTAATATTAATTATAATAATATTATTAATAATATTAATAAGGCTTATAGTATATTAAGGCCGATTAATAATAAAATTATCAGTTTATTAAGTAAAATTACGTTAATTAGCGGTTGGAGCGGATAAATTAAAACCGGGCTTTATATTATCTTAGGTAAAGTATAAAGTATTTTAAATTAAATTAACGAAATAAATTAGGAATTTGTTAGCTATAATCGGTTTTAGCTATACGAAAGTTCGTTTTTATTATCACTTTTAAATAAATTTAATTAGAGTTTCCGTTTACGTTATATTAGCGAAGTATTTAATGGTAGGATTAGTTGTAAGCTATTAAGTAAAATTAATAGCGATTTTAATAATTGAATTAGCGTGGGAAATAACAGATTCAATAGGCGAGAGTAGACGAAGGGATTGAATAGGGTAAGAAAATTATTTTATTAAAATTAGTAATAAAGAAGGAAGAATGGGAATTTGAATAGGATTTATGAGAGGCGGCGCGTTGATTATTTTAACGGTATTAGAAAAGTTGTTGGGCGAAGATTAAAAGTTAGAAGCGACGGAACCGTTAGTATTAGGGGGAATTAATATATTAGTAGTTATTTTAATAGTGTCGTTATTAATTTTATATTAAATAGCTTTATTATTATTAATTTTTAGTTTGGTTATATATTATTATCAATACTTTTTCTTAAATTAGGCGGAAGTACTATTTTTTTCCTTAGGGAAAATTCAAATTTAATGTCCTTTAAAAGGGTATTTACCAATAAAGTTACGATATTTATATAGAATTTATTAGATTTCTCTATTGGCCGTATTAATATTAACGATTCAATTTTTATTATAAATATTGTTATTAGTTTCACTAATTTAAATTTTTTTAAATTTTGATATAGCCGGTTTTTATATTGAGGTGAAGTTTGGCAGTTTTAATAAGAAGTTCGGCGGTTAGAAGGGTGAAACGTTCTTTATAGTAAAGTTAGGGCTAGAATATTATAAATTTAAAAATTTAATACATTTTACGTATTAAATTATTATTTTAGAAATTAAAAACCGTTTAGGGAGTAGCGTTGCCGTTTAATATTATAAAGGTTAGTTTTGAGATTTGAAGGGATAATAAAAGAATTATAAAGAAATGGAGTTTAAAATTGAGCGGAATAGGTAAGTACTTAGTTTAAGAGGGTAAGTTGAATAAGTGGTAATAAGTTTAATAAATTATTATTAAAATTAACGAAACGATAATAGAATTTCCCCCTTTACGAAAGGAAGAAATAAAAAAGATATAAAGAATAAAGAATAATGAGGTTGGTTTAAAATTAAATTATAGGTACTAGTTATTACGTAAAGCGATATTTTCTAAGTAATACTAATATAGAATAATAGAGTAAATAATTAATTATTGGATAGAGTAATAGTGCGTAACGGTTAACGATAGTTTTATTAAAGGAAGTTGAAGATAAGTATTATTGAGAGCCTTAATTTAGGACTTCGTATACGATTTTATAGGGTGTGAGTAAAATAGACGTTAGGTTGATATAATATAAATTGATAATCTAATTAATTTTGACGGAGGTTGATAGGGAGAGTACTCTTATATAATATGTCCTACTCGATAGAGTAGTCCTACGCTCAATAGAGTATGTGCCAAGATAGAGTGGGGCATTTAGGTACCTGCCTAGAATATCCTATAATAGCCGCGATGTTAAGCTGCAATAAAACTATTATTAACGTTAATAGCGACGAGGATAAGGAAGATAGGGAGGAGGAGGAAGGAAATAAAGAAGGTAATAAAGAGGGAGATAAGTCTAATACCGCCAATAAAAACGACGATAATTTTATTTTTAACCGCGACTCTTACTAGCCATCCCAGACTGAACCCCGCTATTTTATATAAGAGGTCCTTATTATAATTGGGAGAGCTCCCCTCTTAGTAATTAATTCGAATCGTTACTATAGCAGCGAGGCAGATAAAGTGCTAGAAAAAGGGGGGTTGCTATTAAACTACCTATTGTATATTAAACCTAATAAAGTCACGTCAATAATTACTAACGTACATCGTTTCTACGAACTCAGAGAGATAGAGTAAACAAATACACATCACAGTAATACAAAGCACTTGTTGATATTCAGAAATATTAACGGCTTCAATTATGGTCATTAATTGAATATCATGACATTTTAGGTATGTTTGGGTACGATATGCGGGTGCGCGCACGGACCTGACTGTCCCTCGATTTCTAGGTGTCCCTCGATTTTTTTACCCACTCTCTGCAAGAGAGTGGGTGTTGCGACAAAACGACCAGTCCAACTCACACCCACGGTTAAAAAGCACTGACCATCATTTCCGAAAGTCGATTCCGGACCTATGTCACCTGGAAATTTGGCCCGCCAAGACCTTTTTGGACCAACCACACAGCGCGCATCCAGCTTAGTGGAGTAAATCAACTTCCAAGCCATTTCCAAGCCCAATGAACACTCGGAAGTTGTTGAAAGGTACTTCGAAGGAGTGACTTCGATCAGGAATTAGCCCGCTTTACTTCGAAGTACCAAACACGGACCACATTTCCAGAAACCATTTCCGAAAGCCATTTCCACGTCATCGGACACGCCCTTAGTTATGACAAAAGGAAAAAGTTCAATTGCGTGGAATTTGGAATTGAAGATGTCTCCATTTCTTGGCAGGTTGAAAAGGTGGGCGGTGGATCTTCGAAGGGTTAGGGATATGCGTGGGTTGTGTCCACCAGCTGCACTTCAAACAAGTCACATGCTTTCGTGCAGCAATAGTGGAGCCGTGCACCTTGACGGCGCGACCGGTTTGTTGTTCGCGAATTGACAATCGACGACAACGAACTGCAACCTGTACAGGCACAGCAACTTGCCCGACTTTGCATACCGCGAGCTGGGCTCCAATGGTATCACTACCAGCCAACATTTGCTGGATTTAGCAGCCTTAAAGCGGCTGCAATTGCAGTCTCTCACGCGCTCCCATGTCTCCCTCCGCACCGCCAAAACACTCCATCCTCGACAGCTTGAACAATGCCCAGGCACGCGCCGTAACCTCCGATGCTGCAACCGTCGCCATTCTAGCCGGTCCAGGCAGTGGCAAGACACACACTCTTACTTCTCGAGTCGTTTGGCTGGTTGACCACGTTGGCTACCAACCCCAAGATGTCGTCGTCGCGACCTTCACCGTTAAGGCAGCTCGAGAGATGAAGGAGCGTATAGGAAAGGCACTTGGAAATGGTCGCGAAAAGAAGATTATTCTGGGGACATTTCACAGTATTGGTCGACGTTACCTTGCCGCGTACGGCCGCCATATCGGACTGAGCGAAAAGTTTAGCATTGCCGACGACAACGACTCAAGATCCATCATTACGAGAATATGCAAGAGACTGCAGCTGGGGCTGGATCCACCCATGGCAAAGGCGTGGATTAGCAAGAAGAAGGCCAAAGGAATGGAACCTAGCCCTTCGTCTGTGCCTCAACCGCCGAAGAAACAACCGATACAGCAAGGTCAACGGGACCTGGAGGTCTGTTATAAGGAATACCAGAGTCACTTGGAGCGTTCGAACTTGCTAGACTATGACGATCTTCTGGTGCGATGCGTTGAACTTCTTCGCAAGTTCCCTTCTTGTGTGTCTAACATACAGACGGTCTTGATCGACGAATACCAAGATACAAACGGCGTGCAATACGAGCTTATGCGACTGCTTGCCCAAAGGCATCAGAGAATTACCATTGTCGGCGACCCAGATCAGAGTATCTACGGATGGCGATCGGCCGAAATCAAGAACTTATGGCGATTGCTTCGCGACTACCCAAAGACCGACGAGATTTCGCTCGAAGAGAACTACCGCTCATCCCAAGCTATCCTCGACCTATCGCTGCTGGTGATTCAGCAGGACAAGAAGAGATATCAGAAGGTGTTGAAACCAGTCCATGACAGAGGCTCCCGTCCAGTCTTGCGCAAACTCAAGAATGCATCTACTGAAGCAGAGTGGATTGTCGCCGAGATACGCCGTGCGCTTCTTATGTCCGGGTCAATGTTGACCTACAACGATGTGGCTATTCTTCTGCGCTCAGCATCGCTGTCAAGACACGTCGAAAGTGCCCTCGGAAAAGCCGGAGTTCCTTACCGCATGGTCGGTGGCTTCAAATTTTACGAGCGAGCAGAGATCAAGACTGTCCTCGATTATCTACGAGTTATTCATCAGCCAGACAACAACGATGCGATTGGGAGGATCATGAACGTCCCCAAGCGAGGCATTGGCGATGGCACTATCAAGAACCTTATCGAAGAAGCAGAGAAATCGACTCTCAGTCTTTTCAGTCTTCTTGTCAAACACTGCCGGGGAGATCGGACGGCCAAGACCAAAATCACCAAGCATGCCGAACAGAAGATTAGTGGTGAACTGATTCGCATGTTGAATGGTATACGGAAGAAGATGGAAGAGGCTACAGAGAGCAAACCGTTTGGCTTGGTCGATCTGATCGAGCATTTGCTTACGGCCTTAAACTTTCAAAACTACCTTCAGGTTACGTATCCCGACGACCACGAACAAAGATGGGCCAACGTACAGGAGTTCATTAGTCTTGCCAATGACTTCGTGCGAGACTTGGACAGGTCCGGAGAGGATGCTCTTCCAGAAATCGAAGGGCTTGAGCAGTCAAAGGAGGAGGAAGTTCTCCCGCAGTTCTTGGCCAATGTGTCCCTGGCTTCTGATGCACAAAAAGGAGAAGAGGGCCAAGAGAGCAAGCCCTTGGTTACCATATCGACCATTCATGCCGCCAAGGGTTTGGAGTGGCCCATCGTTTTCATACCAGCTGTCTACAACGGCTCTATCCCGCATATGCGGTCCGACGACGGTGATGAAGAGCGAAGACTGCTATACGTCGCCATGACACGAGCTCAATCCTTGCTATACCTCAGCTACCCAGTCTACAGCAGTCCCGGTAGCAGCGAACGTACCGAGTTATCTTCTTTTGTATCACCTGTTGCCAACTCTTTCGCGAAGAAGGGCCCCAATTTCGAACGATCACTGATGCGCCACATCGCAAAGGTGCTCCAACGGGAGCTACCTTCCGAAAAGGATATCTTCAAGGGGATCCCCAACATGTCCCATACCGAGGATAATATGTATCCCATTGACCCAGACGAGAATCTCCAAGAAAGTGGACAGGGCTTTGACCCGTCGCGATCGAAACGTCCCAAGCTCTACAACCCAGTGGCGATATCAACAGGAGACGGTCATGAAGAACCTCAATGGGCCAAGCCACATGCTACGACGATGGACCAAGCCTCAACCTTCACCATGGCTTCCCTCCCCGGCTTCGTCAACGCAGCCGTCCATCAAGCAGCCATCACCGCCGCGGCCAACGCCAGCGCCGCTGCCGCCCTGGAAGCCAGAGCCAACAAGGCCTCAGCTTCATCAGGCATAAAGCGAGGCACGAACAAACGACCAGCCGACCAGAAGAGCATCCTCGGATTTGTTAAGACCAATTTCGAGCCCGCCACCGGCTCCGGTTCAGCCATTACCTCCACCTCCACCTCTATCACCACCAACCGTCCCTCTGCCCCAACTCCCCGTCTCCCGCAACCAAGCCTATCCCGCAACCCATCACTCCCCACAACCCGCGCCCTCACCGGCCACGGTCTCCAAAGAGCCCAAAGCCATCCCTCCAAACCCTCTGTTCCCATCGCAGGAATAGCCGCAGGTATAGCCCCCGAACTAGCGTCCCATAAGCTGGGAACTAGTCGTGGTCTGAACCTCAATGTTACTCGTCCTCCTTCTCTGCAACCACCCAAAGATTCTTCTGCGTCTTCGTTTCACTATAAAAAGCAGTATGTCTGTTTTTCTAGCTCGCCTACGAGGCCTGAACCTGACGATTTCGCTGCTCCAACTACTGGGAGTGGGGAGAGGGAGGAGGAAGAAGAAGAAAACGAACAACCGCCTACTCCTACAAGACCGGCGGGGAGTTTGCATGTTACTACTTGTCATAATGTTTTGCCTACGGGGTTGGGTGGGTATCCTGGGAGACGGGCAGGAGGCGGAGGAGGGGTTGGGGGAGGGGCAGCGGGAGCGGGCGCGGGAGTGGTGAGGAAGCCTGTGGGGTTGGCGAGGTTGGGCGGAACGGAGGGAATGGGGGCGGGTATGGGTATGGGGGGTATTAAACCGATGGAGAGGTTGATGAAACCTTTTAAGCCTTTGACTATGAATCGGGCTGTAGGTTCTGGGGTTAGTGGTGGAGGTGGTCGAGGGATCGGTGGGAGTGGAAATGGAAGTAGAAGTGTTGGTGGTGGTAGTGGAAGTACGATGGGGAGACCGGGGGTGCAGAGGCCTGGGATGGGGAGGTAAGGCTGTGAGGTATGAGATTTAGAGAGTTCGAGGTGTTTATGGTGGTGTATGCATTGTGAAATGTTGTGATTGTTGTACTGGTGTAAGGTGTTTGATTCAAGGAAAAGAGAAAACGGATCACAAAAGTTGACGGCCCCAGGGCAAAAGTATCATTTTCGAATTCGGTCACGGAGTATCTTTCAGCATGTTTATCTGATACGGAGAAACATTTTATATTTAGAATGGAGCACGCAGGCAAGCATCATCTATTTCCATGACAACCTTTTACATTCCAATTCACCAATATCTTTTTCATCACTGGAAGTCCAAAACCTCCCCTCTCGTCAACCGGTTGCCGTGTTGTCGGAACCAAATGCATTGTGCAGTAGTAGGAGTTCTTAATGCCATGTTCTGGCCACAACTTTCAACGAATCAAATCCCCGCCCGCATGGCTCAGTGGTAGAGCGCATCACTAGTAATGATGAGGTCGTCAGTTCGATTCTGGCTGTGGGCATTTGATTTTCGAGCGGTTGCAATTTGCGATTCCTTGTTTTAGGTTTTTTTTTCCTCTCTCTGTTGATTTTCTTTTTTTTTCAGTTTCTGTTCACGCGCGGATAAAGATGTACTGTAAAGCTGTTGTTGTCGTTGGTGATGATGTGTTCCTGGTGTTGCGCGCATTTTTTGGAGTGATGTGAGTGTGAAGGTGCAGGTTGCTTCCGCGTTCGCGACTTCCGAATTATTATGGACATGGCGCAATCGGACTCTGTTTTCCCCTCATTATTACTTCTTCTTCTTTCTCTTTTTTCTCTCCCTTTCTCACGTTCTCGTCGCGGCACAACCAAACAAAAATTTTCGCACAGTATCATTTTACTTGTATTCCATCCGTCGTCGAACACGATTGCAACCCAATTTGATGACTTGGCAGTCATGCAGCGCCACGGCTTTCATCGCCAGTCAGCGACGAGTTTTGATGTCAGAGGCCATGATGGCGTCAGAACTCTTGATTGGGCGTGAGACCAGTTAAGGTGCAGAGTGAGCTCGAGCACGTGAGGCGGAGAGAGCCTCTGGAGTTTAGCCATCCTCGGGGGAGAGCACTGCCCCTTCGGGTTTGTGTCGTCGAGCAAGAGTTAAGAGTCGGTCAGTCATCCTTACGGTCTTTTCTCCACCCCAACCCCTTCATCTCTATCTCCTGAACTTCTATTGTCCTCGTTGCACTTGCCAAATGCCTTTCCGATGCACATTTTCTCTACAAGTTCATCACCCATGGCGACGCCTGGTATATAAGCTGACAAAGTACTGCATCACTTGCAAGAATCTACGGTTTTCTCGTTTGATCTATCTCAGACGTGAGGCTAAAGCGTCAGCCAGCTTAGGCTGTCGTTATTGCATCCTTATTCTCAACGCTTTGGAGCACTTCTGCCCCAACAGCGCTAATGACGATTTGAAGCTCATAGACTTCTTCCGCGAGGGAGGGCGCTATTCTCTTCGTGTTGATGGAGATGTCCTTGACGTTCGCCTTGAGCTAGAGCTATACACACCGGCAGGCAAGTATAAGTCGTGTCTAATGTGAGAGAAAGTGGTGTTGATACATGAGTGTTCAGGTCATCCGCCAGCTTGGCTGGGTATTCCCCAGAACGCCAATCCCCTTGACGTCAATATGAGCGGCTCGCCTCAGATACCCGAGACTTATGAGTATATTCGTTCCTGTCTTCGAGACTGCGAGGCCAATCACCCGGAATGCAAAGTTGCAGGTCAGGAACTGCCCACGCGGCTGTTAGACGTACAGCATGAAGGCGCGCAGCAAGTGATACTTGTCGAAACAGCGTCGCTTTCTGTGGGGGCCAAGATGACCTACATAGCCCTTAGTTACTGCTGGGGAAAAGGACAGAGTCTGACGCTGACGTCCGAAAACCTGGAGGTTATGAAGTTAGGTCTTATGGTCTCCAGTCTGCCGCAGACTTTACAAGATGCCATTGCCGTTACCCGAACGCTGGGTCAACAGTACCTATGGGTAGACGCCTTATGCATCATCCAAAACTCTCCAAGCGACTGGGAAGTTGAATCGTCGAGGATGGCCTCGGTATACCGTGATGCCTATCTAACTATTGCTGCTGCTACTGCCTCTGACGTTACTGAGGGGTTTCTATCTCGCAATTACCGGGAAACAAATCCTTGGTACAGGGAGCCATGTCACGAGGAATGGATCAATCAGGAAGCCTGCTCGACCATTTTAGGCGTTCGAGAGATAAACAATTTTTTAAGGCGCCAGGAGGACCACAACCGGGCTCTTGCGCTGCCCTGGAATCTTCGCGGGTGGACATTGCAGGAACAATTACTCTCGAGGAGAGTACTCAAATATCACGCTTACGAGCTTCGCTGGGTTTGCCAAAATAAAGCGGCGTGCCAATGTCGTTCGAACTGGAGTTGCAGCTTGGTGGCTAAAGACCCGCTGGATTCGCCCACGTATAGGTTCGAATCTGCCAAGTTGGCCCATACACAATGGCGCCACATTGTTGTTGACTATACTGCCCGCGAGCTTACCGATGCCCGTGACAAGCTACCCGCAATTTCTGGTCTTGCACAAGTCTTTCAACAAGTCATACAGTCTCCATATATCGCAGGCATGTGGGAAAACCAACTACCTTTGAGTCTCTTGTGGGTTGCTTCCGGGAGCCAAGTAAGATGTGCTCCAGAGCTTTACATAGCACCTACTTTCTGTTGGGCGTCAACATCCTCGCCAGTCCAAGGATTCGTGGAAGATCGGTTCTACTTTACAAGTGAATGGGTCTCTCAGAATGTGGTCGAAGATACTTGCTCCATTGCCGATGGTAAAGATCCATTGGGTCGGGTGAACAACGGCTGGATCAAACTCTGTGGTTATATCTTCAGAGCCGCTCTTGTTGACTACCCTGAGCGTGGGGCAAGATATTCGCTTTCCACCAAATATCTGGGAGAAAACCCTTTTGATAACGACACCTGGCTAGAAGAGTCTGAAGCAACAGACGAACATGGCAACCTGGAGAGATCTGTTCGTCGATTTCGTCGACTCTCGTCCATAACTCCACAAGAACACGAGCCCTCGCCGCCTAGAATACCTTCCGCCGCTGTTGTGTATCTGTTCTTGGTCGGATCTATATCTGGGCGTGTTTTCTTCCTAGTACTAGGGTTGTCAAGCGACAAACCAGGGATGTATGAAAGACTGGGTCTTCTCCAACATCGTGAATACACCCAGGGACAATGGGATGACTGGATTTCTGGTCTCATCTCTGCGGCAGACGAGCACAAGGTAATCACCATAGTTTGATCTCGGGGGCAGTTGGGCAGTTCATGACTGGGTTACACATGTACATATACGAGTCTATCCGGATTGGGACTGGAGTTTCTGTTGGCTTGAGAACCGGAAGACATGTTACGCGTTTCTTTTTTCACATCCTGTTCCGTTATCTTGGTTCATTTACAACACTACTAAAGGATGTGCAAATATCACGACTCGACTACACCTTGAACTACCGGGGGACTGAATGATGGCAGAATAATTGAGTGTACATAAACTAACCACCCGGGACGCATCAAATAGTCAACGCCCAATACCCGCGATTATGAACCAAAGGCAACAGAGCCCACATTACACAAATATAATCAAGAAGCGGGACGTTGGCGGCTCCTCGGACAAGGTTTCAAGGTTCATCGACGTTGCGCCCCTGAAGTGAGTCAAGAAAGCGCAAATAAACATGGGTGTCTGTCGGTACAACAGGCCTTAAACGTCCAACTCATGTTGGGGAAAACATCTCAATGAACTTGATTTCCTGTTTAGATCGGTCAGTCTCATACCCTCATGCCTGCAGAGAAACGGTGCCTCACGCTAACACTCACTCTTAACATGACCGAGACGGCCTACAACCAGGTAGCCGATCTGGAGTGAGCAAACATGGGAGTCACTACAACTTCAACCAAGTCCCAAGAGAACTAGCGATATATCGACAGAACAAATAACGAGTGAATTGTCAGCTACTCTCTCCAGTACCTGGAAAGGTACGTTTCCAAGTTTCTCCTTTACCCCCTAAACCCCAAGTCCCAAAAATCAACCACTTCCTCATATCGACCCGATACGCCCATCTCGTTCGTCGTTCAGCTTAGTTTCCTCTTAGCTTAATGAGAGAAAGAAAGATACCTATCCAAACCCAATCATCCTCCGAATCACTCTTTCTCCTTCCTGTACTACCTATCGCCTGCCAGTGTCCATGTCCCAGATCCCAGCTCCGAGTGAGGCTACCGTCCAGCGTCTCGGTCACTCATGCACCACTTCCATTCCCCCCAAAGAAGGAAACAAAAGCCAAAGTAATGGAAACCTCGTAAAAGCCTCACCGTGCCCTTTCCCATCCAATCCCAGAAGCCATCAAGACCAACCCCATCAATGAGGTCATGTAGCCTTGAAGGAATGGTCAACTTAACCTAATCCTCAATTGGGTTCTGGGTCGTGCCGTGGTTCTTAGCCCAAGGCTCCTTCTTTCTGCATGTCGCACACGGAACCTGCACGTTGCCTACGGAGGCAAGCCCAGAGGACCGGCCATTCGCTTGCGGGTCGTGTTCAACGACAGTATCGCATTGACAAAATCTGCTGTCGTAGGTGACCTCCTGGCGCTTTTTGTATTCAACCGCGTGGGAGCACCTGGCCCCGACGCCGGCATATTGTTGGTTGGTAGGGGTCCAGTCGTGTACGTGGACGCCGGGGAGAAGGATGTACTTGCACATGGTGGGTGGGTTGATGGGTTTTGTTGGCTTTTGGTGTTTTGTGAGGTTGGGTTTTTGGTTGTCGGGGGGACGAGTCTGTAAAGGGAGATGATGAGTTGGTAAACGCTCTGATGCGTTGATCCTACAAGGTGAGGGCCCTCCTCGGCGTTGAGGGATGAAAGTGCTTACCTGCTTGGAAGGTTCTGAGGGAGCTTGTAAAGAATAGACCGGGTATTCAGAGAGTTTGGCTTCGGTTGTGTCTGCTCCTTCTCATAATCGAACTTCCAGGTGAGAGAAACCCGCCCATTTTGTAGTCAAGAGGCATCATACCGTCGAAGATGTCCACTACGTTACGCGCAGAGGTGAATAAAGAAACACCCAGCATGGTGAGTTTCCGCGCGGTGGCCAAATCGATTGGAGGATATCACCAACGAGCCGGAGGTTCTTGAAGGTGGACGGGAAGCATCTCGCGTTGAAGACTCTCTGGTCAAAGGAGAAGGAGAGCGGAGGATGATGTTGGTGAGCATTCGTCTTTCGGAAGAGCCCAACTCGTTCATCATCCATGACACTGGATGACGGAGATTGTCATGAAGACCCGATGATAAAGAAAGAGCCGAGTTGGTGATATCGTTGGTAATCTGGTAGGTCATTCAGCTTTTTGGATAATCACCAACTACCCGGGGCTTGGTATCATAACTACCTGTTTCTCGAAGGCTCGAAGCGCTCCTGACTCGATGTCCCAGTAGGTGAGGGCTGTAAACGCTTAAGCCATGGCCTCTGCTTCCATCCAAAGAAGAAGAAAGAGACGGCCGGCCTGTTGGCGCTTGGTTTTCGAATTATAGGGCATCACCAACTTGCCGCTGACCTATGTTGATAGGCGAGGAGGAAGTCATAGACACCACTCTTTGATGAAAGGATCTCAAGTCGTCAGGGACCGCACCAACTGCAGGATGTCATTCAAAAAGAAGGGAGAAAATGTAAAATACCCGGCTAAGGGGACGAATACGTTTTAGAGGTAGACAGTGACATGCCTTACTGCCACAGGGGATCGATCCCAAGGACGAGTGAACCAATGATGGCGAAATCAACTGTACAAACAGTTTGATACAGTGTCGAGAGTGCCTGCACGTCAACATCCTTACAACCTCTACCCTGCAGACCGAGACGGCCCGTTGGTGATGGATCTCCTCAACACCATTAATACACTTCAGGTAATTTGGTGTGTTGCACTACCAACTGGACGTTGGAAGCATGGTGCGAGAAGTATAAAATTTCTGTTAAAGAATAGGATCTGGGACAGGAAAAACCTAGGTAGGAAACTGGTCCGGATCCGAGAGCCGGGAGCCGAGAGAAGTGACATGTATTTCCAAGGGAAGGATAGGGAGCCATCGGTGTGGCAGGGTTGATTCGAGCCGGTGTGAAGGGCAAGATCTTGAGTTCGTTCCTTGGACTCGGGGTTACTGCTACTGAAAGCCAGGAGGGTACAGTTCGCCAGGAGTGGTTCTTTTTTGGGTGGGAGCAAGGTGGTGGTTAATTAGAAGAAAGGAACTGTCAGAGGGGAGACCCCCGAGCAACTGGGTATACTATATACCCCTGATTGTTAGGCGCACAGCGCACCTTCCCAGTACATCACAGCGAGGAAAAGTAGCAGTTAGTCTAGTAAGGAAAGAACAGTCTAGGGAAAAGGAAGGAATGGATGTGGTACAGTAGGTGGTGATTAAGTAATAATCGGTTATTACCGAGTTACCGGGCACGGAGGATGAGAAAAGGGGATCGAGAACATCACGTCCATACCTGAGTATCCCTCCGTAGACACTTGACTTGTTACGGACACTCCGATTTTATTGACGGCCCATTAATGACAACAGTAACGGGACACAAGGAAAGGGACCAACGTCGACTCCGGTAAATATACTGACGGAACGGTTTGGCTAAGGAAGGAAAACACAAAGTATATGCTGGTGCTGGTGCCGATTCTAAACAGACATTACGCCATAACACTTTTCCCTTTTCACTCTTAATCTGACTCATGCTCTCTCAAGCTTCAACTTCTACAACAACAAACTAACAAAGAACGAACATAAAAAAAAGCCCAAGTGGTATATCAAACTGAACGAGCTGCTTTCCTTCCCTTCCCTTCCCTTTCCTTGCTTCCAACACCAATCACACCAATCCAACACCTTGAAAGAACCAATCAACCAGGCAAGACCACCAGGCACAACAAAATCCCCCGACCTGGCAAGCCTTCACTCCTACTCCTACTCCTTACTCTTCCTCCATCACCACAAGCTGCTCCAACCCGTCAATGATCTCATCCTCCTCCTCATCCTTCCCTTCCTCTTCCTCAACACCATCGAGTCCACCATCCACTAACCCCAGTGCATATTGACCCGGGCTGAGCTCGAGACTGCCGAGTACCTAACGCAGTCCAATCACACTCATCTCCAGCGTCCACACCCTGCGGATCCACACCTTCAGCTTCGTGCCGGGCTCGAGACCCTCGACACCCTCGAGCTCGACACCTTCCCACCAGCACCTGCGAGCGGGCTTGCGCCAGAAAAGCAAAAGCTTCTGGGCCATGCCGACGGCGTTGCTGCCCATCTCGTTGCCCTTGATGTCGGAGCGCAGGCGGGCGAGGGCGAGGGAGCAGATGACGGCCTTGTTGGGCTCGCCGGCGCGATGGCCCCAGCGGTCGTCGTAGTTGAAGCCGCTGTAATGTATTGTTAGTGAAACTGTTCTTTCGAGTAGAATTGGAGGATGAGCTCAGAATCAGAGAACAAAACTTACCCAGCAGTCAACATCTCAATCAAATGCGCCTCGGTCGTGCCCGGCTCATCACTCTTCTTCAGCCCGCTGAAAATACCATCCTGCTTGAGCAGCGCTCGAGCAGCCGCGCGCTTGATCTCCATCATCTCAGCCTGACCAAGGTCGGCGCGAGGGGGGATGGCGTAGAAGTCCAGGTCCTCGCGCAGCACAATGATGCCGGCGCGCTTAGAACCGTCATCACCTCTTGCGCCAGACGCCGGGTCGAGGGGTACTATGCCATCGCTGCCATCTTGGGGGTTGGAAGGGTCTACGGGGATGGACTGGGCTACTGTGCGGAAGAACTCCAGCATGTATTGTAGGGATGCTGGGTCATACTGGTCACGAAGTTAGCGATGGTCTGGGTGGATAATTCGTGAGCGCGCAAACTTACGTCAACTTGTACGGCATCTCCCTCGCCAAAGCCACCCATGTGTCCTTCGGGGAAGAGTCCATTGGGAAAGAGGGACAAAAGGACGAATTCGGGTAACGTTAGCAACTCGTCGCGTGATAGTGTGAACCGCGTTCCCCTGTGAAGTGAATCAGTAAACGTCCGCTATAATACATCTTTTCGGGGCATTCTTACCGCAGGTCAATAGTAATCGTCTCATCGGCGGCGACATCTATCCAACAAACCCCATTGTTAACCTCTGTTTTATCCCAACATTGCCCAATTGACCACCTTCATCCAGAGCAACCCAACTCACCTCCAAGGGTATTAATAGGCGGTCCACCCTGCTGGACCTGAGTAATGATACTCGACGCTCCTCCCGCGGCAGCCATTAGATATGTGAAAGACTGGAGGGGACTGGATCCCTCCGAATATGCCGGTGGCGGCTCTGCTTCTTCCTCCTTGCGAGATGACTCGCCCTTGGTATCCTCCTTTTGAGAGAGCGCGCGCTTGGTTTCGTCCTGGAACTGGAATCCGGGGGACGAGGTCGAAGGCGCGGTGGCGACAAAAGCACTACTACTGCTTCCTACTCCTGATGGATGATGTACAACGAATGGATCGGACGGCGCGTAAGCTGGGGCGGCAGATGGCGATGATGCGACTTCGTTTAATTCGTCTTGGTCGTTGACGACGTCGTTATTATCGAAATCGGTGACTGAAACGGCGGCGTACTTGCCGTCGAATGGTTCAAAGACGGATGCTGAACTGGCAAGTTCGGGGTCCGCTGATGGACTGGCAAAGAGCGACGAGAAGGGCGGAGGTCGTCCGGCTGAAGAGGACTCGGACGCCGGGTATTGGGGTGGCGGAGAACGAGAGGCCGATGGTGGCTCAGGACCGGCGACAGCGGTGGTGGTAGTTGGGCGACGGAAGCCGTTGACTTCTGCAGTGAAGCAGACAAGACCCGGCGGAAGTGTCTCGGGTATGGTGTTGTTGTCGTCGGACAGGTGGTTTAGGTGATGGTGATCCAGGGCCAGGTTGTCCAGGTTCAGGTCCAGGTCCAGGTCGGATAGCAATCCAGTGTCTTCTTCTGCGCTACGCCGTTTGGGGAGAGAAAGGCGAGAGGCCCTGTGGTGATGTGGAGGGTGGTCGAAGATGGGCCCGGAGGACGAGCAGCTGGAATCTCGCGGCGCAGACAGGGTGACGACGGGGGTGGGTGTCGCAATTGGGAATTAATTCGGTCGTGATTTTGGATCTAATATAAGGGGCTAGGGACGTGATAAAGCTGGGGGAGCCGAAGAAAGGTTAGCCAAGTTTCCATGGACCCAGTCGTCACAGTGTTCCTCTTGATGGCGATGGAGAGTGTTTGCTTTGGTTATTTTCCACCTCGACCTGTTTCCATCAAGAGTCTTGACTTACCTTCCTGAAAAAACACACACAGTCAATTGATTGCATGGGATCGATGGTATTGGGTTACGCGATGGAGATGGCAATGGCGCGACTTGTTGAATTGGATGGGATGGATGAGTGATGTTGTTGGCGCGGACAATGGTCGGGAATTAGGATTAGGTGAAGGGCCAAGTAAGATTGGGGTTCCTCTTCGGGGAGAGTGGGATGCTATTACCGTGGCAGATATACCCAGCAAGTACCTGGGCGTAATTACCTGCGAGCCTCCACTGCCCAATCTGAGGTAGGCTAGGCTAGCTGGTCCAATCGTCTAATTAGATGGCCCTGTCGTCTGAGATGTCAGATGGTCCGGGCGGGAAAAGGTCCAGAAGAGGGTCGAATGGTTCTTTCGTGACAGGTTTCGCTTTCTGGCAAGAAATCGGTGTAATTCGACACTTTGGAAGTGGATGTCCTGAACAAGCAAACAAAGAAGAGATTCTCGAAGAAGAAAATCAAGGAGCTCGAATCAAGGGACCTATAACTCTGGTGTGACAGGTCTTAGATTCGGTAAATTTGTACTTGTAAGAAGTTGAAATGCGAAGAAATGACGCGGAAAGAATCAAGAAGACGGGACGGCAAGACGGGAGACGACAGGCGAAACTTCCACTTCCAAGCACACTTGTCAAAGTTGACAGCAGCACTGACGGAATTGATCGATTGACATCCGATGGACACAACAGAAGAAACTTTGGATCTTTTTTTCCTGTCCGGTTGTTTGAGATCAATCCCGTCCGATGGATCAAGGATTCTCACTCTTACAACAACTGCACCGCGATGGATAGATCCCCCGAAATGCAACTGATGCAACTGTATGGGGCGGCCAGGGGTGCTGCTCCATGCTGTCTGCTGTCACGCTGTGAAATTACCGCTGAGGCGCTGGAATTGCCAATCACTGCTCGAGCTGCCAATTGTTAGCTGCCAAGTGAGCCAAGCTTCCAAGCAGCACAGTCCCTGCTTCTGTAGCCGCCCGTCTACGGACCAATCACCATGTCAACAGACCAACATCACGGTTGGGGATTGTCTCGTGCATATAGCAATTTGGGGAGACCGATGCTGTTCAAGAAGGTTCATACGTTTGACATCAGGATTGGCGGGTGATGGGATTTTGAAGCTTTGGAACTGAAGCTGTTCATACAGTGTCTGTCAATGACATATTCGATGATGCATAACCCTAACCCTGCCCCTGACCACCTAGCCATTAGGGTACATAAAACCATCAAGGTCCCCTTCCAAGACTTCCATCTTCATCAGTCATCATCATCACTATCCCCAAAAATGGCCTTGAACACTTCATCTCCCGGCCTCTTCCCTTCCAACGCCTCATTCCTCGACGTATCAAGGACCGCAGCCGCAGGCTTCTGTGCCTCTCCTCCTCCTCTTTCCAAATCAGCCATGGCCGTACTCCCTCCTCCTCCTCCGCCGCCAGTGCTCCCAAACTCCAAACCCAACAACTCCCTCTCAACAGCACCTGCTCCACCACCACCCTGATACCCGTACGACTGAAACTGCGACCACACGTCATCCTTCTTCCTCTCACTAGTCGCATCGTAATTATCAGGCTGCACATGTGCCGGCGGCTTGACTCCAAACCGCTTACACAACAACCTCGTAGGATAAAAGTCCGTCGTAGACCTAGTCATGGTGCCAAACATACCCAATCTCGCCGCCTCTTCCGCTGGATCCTCTGGTTTTGGTGGCGGTTTTGATACCAAACTGTCTTTGTCCCCAGTAGTTGACGTAGCAGCTTTGGTCGATGAACTCGTAGTAAACCGACTAGCCATAAACCCCGTCATCGGCTTAAAGATCCGCGCACAATTGAAGAACTCATGAAACTCCCTCAACCACTCCTCATCCGTCAACTTCTTCGGCTTCGGTGGTAGTTGCGGTCTAAACCCCGCTTGGAACTCCAAGTACCCTCTATACCGTGCACGCTTCTCCTCGTCTTCAGCATAGGGCGCGCCACCGCCGATGCCGCGGGAGATGGCGGCTATGGCGGTCTCCTTGTCGAGTTTGGGAACGCGGTCGAGGAGTTCTTGTTGCTTTTCGGCTTCGCTGCGGGCGTAGGCGGCGGGAACTTCCCCGAAAGCTTGGGGCAGGTCGGAGCGGCCCGTGACGGCGGCGAGACGGTCGCGAGAGGCGGGGGAGATGAAGTCGAAGACGGATTTTCCGGGTAACTGCTTTTCGCCAAGGAGGGCGGCGCGGGCTTTGGGGTCGAGGGTGGAGGCTTTGGCTACGTCGGCTGTTGAGACGTAGTTTGCTGCTGGGGACCCGCCGGATTCCGGTTTGGGTGTCCTGGATGATACCCACCCTGGAGGGATCTGGGGAGGTGGGTATTTTCCTTCGGAGTTGGTTTCGGTTGTGAGGGCGTCGGGTTCTTTGCCGAAGACGAACCCGTCGAGGGGTAGGCGGCCGTCGTGGCATTTGCGAACTCCTAACCCTACTTTGCCTAATATTGATGATGCTGCTTTCTTGGTGATGAACTTCGGTTTTGCTTGTAACGTCGGGTTGGCCGCTATCGTAGCCTTCTTTTTCTTCTTGTCTCCGCCTATTACTCGGTTGTAGGATATTTTGGGGCCGACTTCGTATGGATCTTCGTCGTCTGAGCCGGTATCATTCAGGACGCCTATCCCTATACCTCCTCGAACCTTGTTGGTTTCCTTCTTCCGAGCCCCGCCTATTGTGAGTTTTGGTCGTCCCAGCGAGCCGTAGTCGTCTTCATCTTCGTCGTCCGTGTCACCGTGACTGCTTTTCTTTGACCCCGACAGACCGATTGGCGTCAGTCTGCTCTCTCCCGCGTACCCTAAGCCCTTGCGATCCGTCTTCTTCACAAACGCAATCATGGGTACGTTTTCCGGCGCAAAGAGGAAAGTTCCCCCTTGGGCAGTCGCATCGTTCTGCAGCTCGAGTCGCGCTTTCCTCCGTACCTTGGGGCCAATGCCTTGACCTTCCCTCCAGCCCATCTTCTTGAGTAGTTTCACACCCATAGTTTCACCCTGGGTACGAAAGAGGCCCATAAGGCTGCTCGCTCGTGTGGCATCGTTCGCGGTCGAGCCTAGCCCGGCGAAGGCGGCGTTGGTCTGGATTTTCTTGGCTTCTTCAGCATCGGCAAGATCCTCCTCGTCCATAAAGTCCTCCGGTCGTTGTTGGACAGCTTTCGGGGCATCTTTGTGACGGTTGGTTCGTGATGAGACAAATGTCGAGGGTGTCCATCCTTCTTTGGAGCCGACGGTGTTAAAGTAGCTAATGGAGGTTATTGTTAGCAAAAAGTGAGAGCGGTCTTCGTGGAAAGGAGCTATACATACCCTGCACTGAATCCTCCTGTGAATGCGCCGTGTAGTCTTTTCCTCCCTCTCTCGTCCCTCACCTCCTGCTTCCAGATCGGTACGTAGGAGCCATCGTCGCGAACTTCGGGGTCGCGCGGTGGAAGAGGTGTGCCGAAGAAAACGTAGGGTGATTGTTGAGCAGTAAGATCGGCCTCGAAAGTTGCGCGTGACCTCTTGTAGGACATGGAGAGGATGGGTGGTCGAAAGGGTGATTATATCGTGTGTTGACAAATGTGGAATTCGAGGCTGAAGCTCAGCACAAGCTAGCTCTATGCAAGCTGGAAGGTGTGGGTGGTTCGTGATGGAACGCGACGGTCGCTAAATTTAGGGCGCTGTTCAGCCTTGCTCCGGGGCTTCTTGGCCAGCTGGCAGGGGCAGGCATGTCAGCGGTCAAAAGGGAAGGCGGTACCAGTTCTAGAACGGAGCGGGGTCATTCTGCCGCTGCCGATGCGGGGACGGCGCTCGACGACAGGGGCTGTCCCTGGGGAAAGTGCCCTGAAACTTGTGTGATTTTAGAAGCCCGACGGTTGAGACCAGACCGAAAGACGAAAGAAGCAAGACATTCCTGTTCACTTTATGTTGAAACTCATTGACCGATGGAAGCATCAATTCTTCTGCCATGTTGAGCCGCAAAGTCGCTTTCAATATCAGAGCCGTGGATCAGACCGTTGGAACCTCTCCCGACGGGCTGGATCCGGGCGTCCGTCCGCTGGCGCCCGAGAGCTTCAGACGGCAGAAAGTGGAATTGCAAGTGCAGCATCTCGGCCCGCCGAATGCAGCCCAGTTGTGTTTGCTCGGCATCATGAAACAAGCCGATGAATTTCATTCTTTGCTGGACAAACACGGACGAAGATGATGAATACCTATCAAGCCTCACATTGCACAAATCTGTTCAAGACGACGAGACGGTTGGAAACCCCGCATGAAGGTGATAACTGTAACCCAACAACCTGGAGAGGTGATCAGGTTCCTGTCTTGGAAATATCGCTTTGATCCGCAGCATGATATCATTTCAGCGGGCAATATCCGGTACGCATTGTTGGTCGATCCTTGATATTTCGGTCTTTTTTCCACGCATTTTGTTTGATATCCTGGGAAAATTCTTTGTAACGTTTCAGGTCTTTCCGCGTGGATATCGTGAGATTCCAAAGGAGTGATTAAAAATGCTTTCAAATGTCTCCCGCACAGAAACGGATGTCTCATGCTGTACAACACCGGCCTCCTCTGGTGATTGGGGTGATGAGGACAGCCGGCAATGAGAGTCAGAAGAAGAAAGTTGCATAGTACTTACCATCCCGTCCCATGTCGACTCAGCTCAAGTTTCTGAAAAGAGTCTGGTGATAAGGTTGCCTTGCACTCCGACGCTCACTGCACCAGAGCTGCCATTGGGCAAAGCTTCCCCGCAAGTCGTGGGCTTGAGGCACGGCCGCCATTCCGCGATATCCAATGTTGCAGTATCAAGGCTGCGGTGTGGCACAGAGAGCTTCCTTTTTCGAGATGTATCAGTCAAGAGAGAGTATCCCAAATCTGACAGTTCCCGTCCGAGCTGAAGGAGGGCATCCCGGAGACAAGCATTCTCTCCTGAATTGCTGGCACCAGTCTGAAGCTGCCCGTCTCTTGAACCCCAGCTTCTGGCCAGTCAGATGGGATCCAGGAGTTGCATCCTTCTCGAAGCTCGCCGCGGGCCTTTTCCGGGTGCTGTAGACGTGGCATTGGAGTCTGGGACCGGTTTTGGTCGAGAACGAATCAAAAGAGCTCCGCGGCGGAGGGCAGGTCGTCAAACTCCCCACCACGCCAACAGCGGATCCCGATCCAAGCTGTGAGAGACGATGAGATGTTAAAAGATTCTGTGCTGAATAGTGAAGAGCGGTCAATTGGTCGTTTATTCCTAATCTTTTGATCAGTCTCAAAAAGAATAGTTAGCTGCCTATAAGTTTGGTTATACCAAGGTCAACATCCGACTCACATGTCAAGATATCGGAATGGCTTCAGGGGCTTTTGAGGGGAACATGTTGTGGAGGAAGGGTGGATGCGGTTGAAGGGCGCCGGCCAAGAAGGATGATCACGAACGACAACTGTGCCCTTTGTGGGTTTAGAAATGCACGGCCCTCCTCAAGTGTCCTGGCCTTCCTTGTCCTTTTTCTCATGGTGACTGAAATTCACAAATGAGATGCCGGATTGCCTTGGAACTGCTGGATCCCCCGGTGGTTCTTGGTGGTCCCTTTCTTTGGTGTGCCTCGGTGGTCCTCAAGAAATGGACAACATTGGGTCCAGGCCAGGAGAAAAGGAAGACCATTCGAGGCAAAGGTCAGGAGAAGGACTACATGGCAATACTTAACACGAGAGGATAGACTCGAAATTGTAGCCGTTGGTGATGGCCTCGTCTGTCCGTTACCGTGCCTCACCTTCAATGTCTCCGGAGTTCTGGCTGTGGAGGAGGTCAAAAGAGGCTGATGTTTAGCGTTCGGTATAGTGTCATCTGTGGTGTTAAGCGCGCTCCTATTCAAGGCAACCTCATCATTCACCCCAGAAACTGGGAACTGACCTGACAAGTGAATCATACCCGCCGGCCTGGTTCTTAGGATGTCTGGGATCATGTTGAAACAATCACAGATCTTTGTTTTTATATCGGGCCTGATCTCTTTTCAAAAGCGGTCGACCTGGCGGTGACGCTTGAAGAAGGCGGACAGATATTCCCACATGTTAACAGATGAGAGGCAGAAGTACCTCGAGCAATAGCACTAAAGAGGTAGACCCACTCCAAGTCCCTTGCCCAGGGCGCCCCGTCCGTCTCACTGCAAAACCCAACCACCAATTCTTTGTCAGTGGCCGACGCAGCGGGCCCATCTCCAAAGCCTCCCCGTCGGGCCCCTTCACTGTGCTTGCATCCTGTCTCCACTGCCCTGCTTCCGCCATCCCGACTTGGCCAGAGACAACACAAGACCGGGCAGACAATCATTAACCCTTTCCGACCATTATTTGACTTTTGTCAACAACACCTCTCTAGACAACTTCTTACATTTACCTCGCAGCTCGCTCACCCCGTCACAAGAGTTGCTGTCGGGAACGCCGTCTCGAGGTTTGACACATGTGCCAAGGTTGAACCAACTCCCGTCTAACTCAATCGAAGCACGGGCACCTCTCCTCGACTGACCCTCACAGCGACCAAAGCTCCCGTCCTGTTGTTCTCCGCCGGACCTGACTGCGGACTGCACTTCCACAACTCCTCCCAACAATCTGCTGCTTCATCTCAACTTGCAACACTGCCCTGCACAGCACCAACCCAAAATCCTGGATCGTTTTCGGCATCGGGCAGCCGGAGTACAGCATTTCGCTCCCTCCTTGCATTTTCACCTAGTACTCCCACTCTCCACTACTTCTCTCCCGCAACCGAATTCGCGTGGATCGCTCGAGACCAGATTCCCCATTACGCCCATTTCGCTTTGTACCTGAGCCCTGGATTAGGTCCTGAATTAGGCTCCCGGGCCCGACTGTAATCTTGCGACTTGCACCACGAGGTCAGTCCGGACAAATACCACGACATATCCGCCCTCCACAATCCTCGTAATCGACCAAGCCGTATCCAGGTAGTCATCTCTACTCGCCTATAGTCAACCATTGGCTTCGCCGACTGAGACTCGACCAGAACACCCCAAGACCCCCGACCCCCGACCCCCGTCCTCCCCCGGCTGCGACTAGGGATCAGGACTCCGACCGCCCTACCGCCAACCCGGCTCCATCACCCTGGGAAATCCCCTTTGCTTCAGACCAAAAGAGTACTCCGTACCACCACACGCGTCTCCACCCCCCATGGCGACGACACTCTCCTCTGGCGCCGCCGCCGAACTCCCCATCCGGTCACAGTCTGTTCGGACTCGGCGTCCCCCTACCACATCACGACCAGAGCCACCACTGCCGCGGTCCGAATCAACCAGCAGAGCTGAAGCCTCGCGTCCCCACCGCCGGAGCAGTCAGCGATCTGCCTCAGGAGCAACCGCAGCAGCAGCTACCACTACCACGGCCACATCGTCGAGACACCACCACCATCCTTCACAACAGCAGCAGCATCACCATCAGCAGCCCGACATGTCCGCTGCCGCTGCTGCTGCCGCTCCCCACGGCCACCCCAGCGCCGGGGACGACCATCGCAATGGCGCCGACGCAGCTACCTCGACACACCGCAGTGCCACCGGCACCACCAAGCAGCGATACCGTACCGTGATCCCCGCGCCTTCCGGTAACTATGCCTTCATCAAGACAATTGGTCAGGGTAGCATGGGCAAGGTCAAGCTGGCGAAAAAGGAGGGCACCAATGAATTGGCAAGTCAACCCATCAAATGCGACATCCCGGTTGTTCCGTTTCTTTAGCTAACTCTTACCTTTCTTTCTCTGTTTTTAGGTTGCCTGCAAGATCATTGAGAGAGTATCGCCCGACGATGGCCGACAGTCGAGGGAAGAACGTGAAAAGGCCGATGCCGCTAGGGAAGACCGTAACGCCCGTGAGGCGGCTATCGTCAGCCTCCTGAACCATCAGTACATTTGCGGACTCCGCGATAATTTGCGAACAAGGTGGCATTGGTACATGCTTTTTGAATACGTTAATGGCGGCCAAATGCTGGACTACATCATTTCCCACGGTAAGCTTAAGGAGAAACAGGCTCGCAAGTTCGCTCGCCAAATAGCCAGTGCCGTCGACTATTGCCACCGCAACAGCATTGTGCATCGCGACTTGAAGATCGAGAACATCCTGATCAGCAAGACTGGCGACATCAAGATTATTGATTTCGGTCTCAGCAACCTTTTCTCCCCAGAGGAGGATAGGAAACTCAAGACATACTGCGGCAGTCTCTACTTTGCCGCTCCCGAGCTTTTGCAGGCAAGGCCATACACTGGTCCCGAGGTTGACGTATGGAGCTTTGGTGTTGTTCTGTTTGTGTTGGTGTGCGGCAAGGTTCCGTTTGACGACCAGTACATGCCCGCTCTTCACCAGAAAATCAAGAAGGGCGTAGTTGACTATCCCAATTGGCTTTCTTCGGGTATGTTTCCACACACAATCCCTGACCTCACTGGACAGCATGCTAACTTGGCTGTCTGCAGAATGCAAGCACCTCATCTCGCGCATGTTGGTGACTGACCCCAAACAGCGAGCCACCATGCATGAGGTCATGAACCACCCTTGGATGCTCAAGGGTTACAACGGACCCCCCGATAACTACCTCCCGCGCCGCGAGCCCCTGACGCTTCCCCTCGATCCCGAAGTCATTTCGCAGATGACCGGTTTCAAGTTTGGGCCTCCAGAGTATATCACAGCAGAGTTGACCAAGCGCATTAAGTCGCCCAAGTACCAGGCCGCCATCCGCCGTCTTGAAAAGGAGAGAGAACGACCGGAGCCAGTCCCGAAAGATGCCGAGAAGAAGCGTGGCTTTGGTTTCGATTTCTACAAGAGAAGGAATTCTGTGACGAGCAAGGACACGCTGACTGCCACCAGTTCTGAGGGTCTTCCCCTTGGCGATGATCCTCTTAACGCTTTCGACCCTCTTGTTTCCATTTACTATCTGGTTCGCGAAAAGCTCGAGCGCGAGCGCAACCACGTCCACATTGACTTGCAACAACCATCCAAGGCACAGCAGCCACCTTCGTCATCACAGACACAGGTACCAGTACCTCCTTCTCCCGTTGTCCGACCAAGGGAGAAACATTCCCTTGCCGATATCGTGCCACCACAGCCCGTCCACAATGCCGAACCACGGAGCCGACAAAGGACAAGGTCGCACAGTGAGGATCAGCCTAGGGAGCCCATCAAGAGTGGTCTACTCTCGCCCGATATGGTCCCCGCCAAGAAGGAGAGCACGGCCGCCGGTATCCTCCGCAGACTTAGCACCCGTGACAAGCGAAAGGAGCCTCCAGCGACAGCTAACTCAACGGACGGCAAGCCGCCCCTCCGGGGTTCCATGTCCATGCGCGCCAAGTCGCTCGGCCACGCTCGGAGGGAGTCCATCCAGATGCGACGAGCCAAGCGCGAGGCCGAGGCCGCTGCTCAGCAGGCTCAGTCACAAACAACAGAGCCTCAAAGAAGCTACCAGAGCCATCACCACTCTGTCCGCGAAGAGACGGACGCTGAGCTGGTGGATAGCGACCCAAGAGGCGAGACCTCGGGCGGTTCCAACGAGAGGCTAGAGCCTGAAGATCCCGATCTGGCCAAGCCTGTGTTCCTCAAGGGTATCTTCAGCGTATCCACAACCTCGACAAGACCTCTCTCTGAAATAAGGGCGGATATCAAGCGAGTGTTGCGGGTGCTTGGCGTTGACTTTACTGAGATCAAGGGTGGTTTCAGCTGTCTGCATACGCCCAGCATCAACCACGCCGAACGACAACCGACGGTAATGACCGAGGGCGGCAATGATATCGAGTTCGAGATCTTGATCGTCAAGGTCCCGATTGTCAGTCTGCACGGTGTCCAGTTCAAGAGGCTCGCCGGAAACACTTGGCAGTATAAGGCCTTGGCGGAGAAGATTGTTCGGGAGCTGCGACTGTAATGGACTGATTGGGTTGAAGTTTGTTGGATTGTACTGTAAGGTTGCTGGCATGGATGATGACAGCATGGAAAGCAAGCGGATGGTTGCGAGGGTGAGCAAAATGTGCTTTTGATGATTTGACAGTATGGGCGTTCTGCGTTGGGGAGTCACCTACGCTACCTGAACTTTCCCCCTTAATTGTCTCGCTCAGTCTTGAGAAAGGAGTCTTGGGTCTGAGACCGGACTTCTACTCTCTCGCTCAAAACTATAAAACAAGAAAGAAAAGGGACGGGTGTCACAAAGGGGAAAAAGGAAACAGGATTTTGTGTTTGCGGGTTGTTCTTATTTCATGTACTTGCGCGCACAACACTCTCGCTTACACTCTCACACTCTCACACATACTCTGGACTGGTATTGGTCTGGTCGGTCGGTCGTTTTTCTCACTCACGATTGGGGTCGTCACTACTTACACACTCATGTCTGATTTCGTTTTTGCGAGTCCTTTTTTTGCGAGGCATGGCAGCAGCAGACGGAAGCAGTAAAGAGAGAGTTGCGGTTTGCTTTTCTTTGGCTTTTGGCTTTTACAGCAAGGAAGGAGGGGGTTATAACGGCTTTAACTTTTATCTACAGACTAATAATTCTTTTTTAATTGCACCCACACCCCATCAAGAGACAAGGCGGACAGTCACGGTACGAGAGCTGATGTAAGGTACCTACTTTCAGTGGTGGTCATGATTCTTGCTTCTTCTTTGTATATGTAGTAGAAATAAGGAGTAGTGACTTTTGGGGTTCTTGGAGCAAGTTGCTGGGACTTCATCAATAACCAAGTGGTTGAGAATCTCATCGTGATGTGAACTGGATGATAACAAGTGTTATGGGATATTCCAGGCAGGTGCCTGAATGCCCCACTCTATCTTGGCATATACTCTGTTGAGCGTGGGACTGCTCTATCGAGCAGGATATGTTATATAAGAGTGCTCTCCCTATCAACCTCCGTCAAAATTAATTGGATCATTAATTCATATTATATCAACCTAACGTCTATTTTGCTTATACTCTATAAAATCGTATACGAAGTCCCAAATTAAGACTCTCGATAATATTTATCTTTAATTTCCTTTAATAAGATTATCGTCAACTGT